AGAATTAGTTGGCATGTAGATGCAATGAAACTTAAATTCAACAAAATGTGTTCAACAGACCATCAAAATAAAGTGACACCGTTGAGTCTTGCTCTAAATGTTTGACAAAATATTTTTGTGTACCGTATAAACAACTGTTACACAAAATTCTGTATTAGTGAAACATTTTAGTGTTCTGTAAATCATGATAAACATGTATAATAATCATTACTGTTTGTGAAAATAAAAAATAAACAAGACCATGCAGTGTATGATAAAAATAAAAAGCTGTATTACACTTACGTAATGGTTTCTATCTATTTATCTATCTCCATAAATATGTGCAAGCACAAACATTTTATTTGGTTAACCCTTTAACTAGCCCACCAAGAAAAAAATGTTTGAATTGCATTTCTTAACATCTGATGTCTCTAGTTAACACACTCAATGCATTTTTTCCCCAACACATCCCCTACTTTCTAAAATATCAGCCTCTACCAAATGGTTGATATGTTGGTTTATGGTAATAGTACCAGAATTAATACGATACTTTAAAAAATCTGAAAATATGACATGTAAGACCAATTTATTAAAAAAAAAAATTTCAAAAGAAAACATTTTTGAATAATAAATCACCTTTATTTTTTAAGTATGACATTAAAAAAATCAGATTCTCAACATTATTTTGGTTTTATTGTAAGAAAAACCAAAAACAAACAAACAGAAAAAAAAACAAGAAATCAATTGTAGTAGTGCAACAGGATTATGTTTGTTTGATTTTTTTTTTTTGTAAAACAACAATGCTTTTTGTGTAAACCATTATTTAAAACAGTCATTCTTTAAATGACTTTAACAGTCATTTTAAACAGTAAAAATACGGTCAAGTGTTTGGTAGAGCGGCAGTGATAAACATACCCCTGCTGAAAAATCCAGCTTAAACCAACCTAGGCTGGTTGGCTGGTTTTAGCTGGTTGACCAGCCTGGTTTTAGATGGGTTTTGGCCATTTCCAGCTTGGTCCTAGCTGGTTAGGCTGAAAAATGTCCAGCTAAATCCAGCTAAAACCAGCTTGACCAGCCTGGTTTGAGCTGGACATAGCTGGTTTTGGCTGGTCATCTCCCAGCCTGACCAGCTAAGAACAGGTTGAAAATGGCTGGAAACCAGCCTGGAAATGGCCAAAACCCGTCTAAAACCAGCTAACCAACCTAGGCTGGTTTAAGCTGGATTTTCCAGTAGGGACATGTCCCTAAACAGAACATTTATTAAATGTCAATTTTTTATTTTTGAGCTTTAAAGATTAAATAATAATTCTCTGCAGAAATGTTCAATCCTAATTCATTTCCATTACATTTGCAAGATAGTAATCACAATTTTTTTTAATTCCCTCAGATTTTTCATAACCCTTAAACACAAATTATGCTTCACACTAAATACTTAAATCATCCTTCACTTTGAATTGATTAAAGGTGGTGTGTAATATAGGGATTATGTGTGATGATCTATAATGTGGAAATACAATTAACAATCATTAAATCTGAAATAAGCCGGCACTTCAAACACAGAAAAAAATCCTTTGCCATGCCAGACATTAGACAGCAAGGCAAGCATCCAGAGCAGCAGACGTGCATTTAGGCCATTCAGTGATTTCATAACAGCCTTCTTCACAGATGCCCAACTATTACATGTGAACTTTCTATTGAAAAAATGGAGAACGCAAAAAAAGCACATACAATTTTCTGTCTCCAGAGCCTAAACAATGAGACACACATGCTGATGTAAATGCGTCAGCGCTATTTTAGTTTCATATGGACAAAGTGCCATCTGGTCCACTTACATGCTTTCTCTCTCTCTCTCTGTCTCAGTATGACACCTCTTACAGCAAAGCCTCTCCTATAAGAAACAGCATACATAAAACATGGGCAACACACAACATAAGATGCTTCTCTCTCGAGTGCAATACAACAGAGGAATAGGTGCTTAAATCAAATCACCCCATATGAACCACAATATTACATATTGGTCAATTATACCAGAAGTCGGTCCTGTAAATAAAACAAGAGCAATAGGAGCTCAGGGAAATCATACCTAAACCTTTAGAAGGGTGCAAATTCATATGTGGTTATTGGTGTTATAAGCAGGTCATGTCCTGAGAGACCAGGACTGGGCATTTGGAAATTACTTCCACATCATTCCTTTCAGACTTATTTGACTATATTGTGAATCATAATCCATTTTAAAGCCTACAGGATCGATTTCAAAGGCGATGGTGTAGTTAAGGGTTTGATGTCTGACATGAAAGGCGATGAGATCATGACTCGCACCGGTCTCACCATCTAGTGAGCTACAGTACCTACCTAGGCACCATTTTAAGCATCACTGTGGTGGAATACAGCTTGGGGACTCATCTGACTGGGTTTTGGGACACAGTCCGTGTGTTATGAGCGGCGGGGGCGGCGGCAGCATTGACTTACCCCGGAGCGCGCGCTCGCTCGCATCTCTCCATTTCTGACTAAAACCTTCTGTTATAATCTTTTCCACCCAATCATAAAACTATTTGCCAGTCAAAGTCATTTTTTGTCGGTCACACGATGAGAAAGATCGCCCACACATGTTCAGATTAATATAATGCACGGATTACGAAATGAAACGGGCCAACTGAACCGGCAAAATGAGCTGAATATGCCATAAAATATACGTTACATTACTGTCGTTTTAGGAAAACAAATATTGTCGCAGCGCATCGTGACAGGTAGCTCAAATTCACACATTTGCTTTTTTTAGTCCTAATTTTTTCGTAAAATCACATTATAATGTCAACACTTGATATGTTAATAGAGGATGCTGAACGCTGACAGGGCATTTTAATGTGATGCTATGCAGACACGACAGGAAATGTCTTCTTCAGCAAACACAAACGGCTTTCTCAGTCTCCGAATAAACATGATTTAATTCGCGTCCAACAGAAAACAGCAACTTTCATCTATCGGAAAAGTACCAGACGAAGCAGAAACTGCAGAATTTAACCCTTCAAGCCCTGCCACCCAAAGCCAGCGGCTAATTTTGTGACATCCCTGCATGCCGCAAAACAGATACTCTCCTTTGCAGTGTTCACCTTACCTCCAAGTATCCTCATCAAATGATAAGACAGAGATAAAGGGGGAAATCCGTTATTCGTCCGTTCCTGCTTCCTTTCCACCTCGAAAATCACTTAAGCACTAGGAGATGCACCTTAGGAATCCGTCCGGTATCTCGCAGCGTCTCGAGTGCGGTCTGTAAAGCCCGGCGAATCAAGCCCTTATGGGCGTGTCAGCGGATCCGAACACACTCACACACTCCGCCAACCTTTGCAGAAGCGACGTGAAGGTCTTTAAGGTGTTCTTCAGATCGATCCATCACTTCAGACCAACGCCCTCCCTCACCAATACAAATGTGCAATAGATCATTTTGATGACTTAAATCTTCATTTTATTTTTATTTATCTGCATTTGTAAGGCTAGGGGTATTGCAAAAATGCACAATATCTATTTTATTTAGACTTTGATTGGGTTTACTTAAATGATTTCTCTAAAAATACAGAAAGGAGTTAAATTATCCATCACTAACACTTGTCATTCATTGACAGCCACCTCACACTATCACATTCACAGCAAACTGCGGGTGTGTGATTACAAGCGTAGCACTTCATCTATTTCATTGCGGTATTCATAAAACTGGCACATTATTTCATTCAACTTCAGCTGTATGAATTTAAATCTTCGAATGTCACAAATGAATTACACAGAAAGTCCTTTCCTGAGTCACTGTCGCTACTTCCTACGGCCCCTGGCAGCAGCTTTTTTGGGGGCTGGAGGCTGATTGGACGTGTCGAGGGAGGAAGTGAGAGAATAGGCCTGCAGGTCAACTCTCTGCTGCAGAATGCCAGTCAATAGGAACTCTGTGCTGACCACGGGCAATGACATACCCACTGCTTTCGCACAAAGTACTCTGTCCTGCTCACATGACACCACAACAACATGCTCCTGAATAGACAGAGGGAGAAATGATGATAAATGATGATGATATGTAATATGTGCTTTTTAATAGGAGATTAACGTTCACTGATTTTGGCTACCTTGTGAGCAGAGGGCATTTTGGGAAGGAAACGTGCTCCGCAGCAGGTTATGATTTCTTTCATTTGAGATGGCTCTGGCATCACAGATGGCGTTACATGAATCTCATAACCCTATGAAACAAAGATATGGCAAGAAACATGATGCATATGGTACACTTTAGCTTAGAGTGGTGGAAGTGCTTGTCAGGGGTTATTACCTTTAAAAGAGATTGACTTTGTGCAGTTTGCAATGACTTCTCTAAGCAGAAATCAAACTTCTTCTCTTGCTCAATGTCTTTCAATATATAATCGTCAGCAGAAATGAAATGGCCAGCTTTTCCACACTGAGGAAGAACACAGGGATGTTCAATTACACATCTTATGAAAACATTTATGCTTGTACTTACTCATAACTGTGTAGAACACACATTTCACAGGAATCTAAATCATTGCTACATCACAGAGGTTGTCTGAACGTCATATGTTGTGGGTACCCAAAACCTTTACACATACAGTGGTGGAAAGAGTGCTGAAAAATCATATTTAATTAAAAGTACCATCACTTGCGAAACAATATTGTGCAAATAGAGCAAATGTATCTGTTCTAAATACTACTCAAAGTATGAGTGAAAACAGCCCTTCTAATGTCACTTCTAACTTCACACCAGACTCGGAACGCACGGATAAATCACGCTATTCGCGCCGCAGGATGTCTATTCGCGCGTTTGCATTGACTTAACATGTAAATCACTCGCACTTGACGAGCATGCTATGTCTGGTGTGAACGCAGCATCACAGTACCCAAAAATAGTGAGTATTACTAGGTGTACTAGGTAATGAATCCACCTTACATCCTGTAAACTAAAAACGTAGATTGCATCAGTGTCATTTTATTTTATTTATTTAAGATTATTCGCCATACTTGAAATATATATTAAAGTGTGAGATTAATTAAATGTGAAAACCAATTACATTACTATATGCAACTATAATAAGCCGATAGAAATCAGGGCAAAATCCATGTAACCTATTAGGTAAAAACCTTAAGTGTATCTGGCTGCGGATTGCAAGATGGGGGCATAACATGAGGGGGCGTAACATGTAATAAGTTAGAGAAGCGTAACTTGCAGTTATCGAGATCCCATTGATCCATGCGAGATGTCACAATGAGATGCAAGATGGCGGAACAGGGAACATTTTCACCAAATGTTTTCATGAGTTTTCTCCAAATTTATCCACAAGCTATTTATTTTATATATTCATTCATTTAGCAACTCCACCATGCAACTTCCCTGGCTAACGTCTTCATCCTGAATTTTGTCATGACAGCCTACTCGGCGTTGCCCCCTGTGGTTGCAAACAGCATCACAATGGCAAGCACGTCAAGCATAAAAGCCTCCGCAACTTGCGGCTGTACGTTAAAAATAGATGGTTGGGTTTAGGTTTGGGGAAGGTGTAGACGTTGAAAACTATGATGGTTGGGTTTAGGGTTGGGGTAGTTTTAGACCAGGGGTCACCAATCTCAATCCTCAACACACCCGCCTGGGTGTGTCAAGTATACATAGTAGGACCTTGAATATCTTGTTCAAGTGTGTTAGATTAGGGTTGAAGCTAAAATCTGCAGGACACCGGCCTCCAGGAAGAAGTTTGGTGACCCCTGTTGTAAACATTAATAACTATGATGGTTGGGTTTAGGGTTGGGGTAGTTGTAGACATTAATAACTATAATGGTTGGGTTAAGAACTGGGGTAGTTTTAGACATTAATAACTTTGATGGTTGGGTTAAGGTTGAGGTCAGGGCCGGAGTGGGACTCTTTTTCAGCCCTGGAGTTTCAAGCCTCAGACCGGCCCACCTCAGTTCACCACTGACTATATTAAAATAAGGTTATTTCCAATTCAGTTTCTAATTACACTATCACGTCTTTTTTTGAGAAAACAGCATTTTTAGAACTTCAAATGTTCAACAAACCTTACAGTATTATGTCTTAACAATAAAAATGAAAAAAAATAAATAAATAAATTGTTACTCAGACGAGGACCGAACCCAGGATGGCCGCGTCATGATCTAACGTACTAACCACTGTACCACAACAGCTGCATGTTGAATGGCGACTTATCTAGTTATATCATCATCTTGCATCCTGCTCACGAGGCTACGTGAAAATAGATAAAAAGAGCAGAGCTGCGGTAAAATAATGAATAAGGCTGTGGTCAAGTAAATAAATAAATAATTTTTAAAAAGTGTGACTGCTGAGAGCAACCGATTCTGGAACTAGGGACACCGGCCCTCGCGGCCAAAAAACGGACCGGCCCACCGGGAATTCTCCCGGTCCTCCCGATTAGCCAATCCGGGCCTGGTTGAGGTAGTGTGTAGACATTAATAACTATGATGGTTGGGTTAAGAGTTAGGGTAGGTGTAGGTTTATACCTGATGTACAGTGCCATCTTGCTAACAACAGTTTTGACATGTAGGTCTCCATAACTACCAAGCTCAAGCAGCACTCAAAGAATACATTCATTTTATATAAAAGTATACATTTTTAAAACAAATTAGTAAATTATAATTCCTGAAGAAAAAACTCAATGCAGTGATCCCTTGCTATAACGCGGCTCACTTTTAATGGTCTCGCAGTTTCGCAGATTTATTTTTTGAACAATTTGACATGCTTTTTCTTCTACATCGCATTGGGTTGTGTCCTGATTAGTGCATTGTGTTCTGTGTGTTGATTGGCTGTAGATCTATGTCAATCAATCTCCTCCATGCCGTGTTGCCTATACAGTACAGAATGCGTTCAACTTTTGCGAATAACGAGGGACCACTGTACACAGTATTGTATTACTCAAATACACAGTAATTCACGTATTTGTAATTCATTACTTGACATGTAACAAATGCCAATATTTTTTAAATATTGAATAAGCAGTTTACTTAAAAAAAAGTTTGTCAGATGAAAAAATGTAATACTTTCACTAATTTTCAGATATTTCTATGCAATTTTGGATTGACATCATTTGAATCAATAATGATTGTCTCACCTTCTTTAGCCAGTCAGGAGTCACGATTGGTACCCCTCTGGCAACAGCGCACAAAAATTTAACAGTGCGTCTTGCCTTGTCAGTCACCAAGTGAGTCATATCGTTTACCCCTTTTGCCAGAGTTCCACCCAACCGAGAGACCACTCTTTCTCCACTCTCATCTGTCAGTCCAGTGAACAACACCTAATAGAGAGAAGACAGGTTGCTGTCATCCACACAGTGATCAAATTTGATAGTAAATGTCTGAATCTAAGGGATGTGTGACCTTGTGTGCCTGACTGGCCAGCGAGCGCCGTGGAGTCTTGGGTGTGGGAGAAAGAGCCTCTTCTGCAGTAGTGCTTGTGATGGCTGTTCTCTTGCGACCTCTGCTGTTGGTTTGGGAAACAGCAGTATTGTCTTCAACCATCTTCGCATCTTGTTTAAGCTCATTGCTCATTCCGACGTCTACATTTTCCACACCAGAAGTCCTGCCTCTTCTCCCCCTGCCTCTTTCAGAAGGTTTAGTCTGGGAAACTTCCTCAGGTTGTGGTAGATTCACACTCTTCCTGGCTCTTCCTCGTCCTCTTGTTCCTTGATTTGAGGACTGGACACTATTAGCAGATCTCTCAGAACTTCTAGAACTGGAGCGAGATCTTGATCGGGTTGTTAAACTGGAGTCTTGTTCTGTGTCTGCGACTTCAAAAGCTGGACCTCTACGGCTAGACTGTCTAGCACTGATGGGCTGCTCGCCAGTTGTCTGTTTCCCTCGGCCCCGTCCTCTACCCCGCCCTCTACCCCTCTGGCTGGTTGGCTCCTGTTGTGAGGTTGCAGACTGATCAGAATTCAGAGAGGAGCTTGAACAGCGGCGTGATCGCCTGGTTGGAGGAAGTAGAGGAGGTTCTAGTTCAGATTTGTTCTTGTCCAACTGCTTATTCTTTTGTCCTTTCTTAAGGCTCCCCTCATCTCTTTCTTTTTGTGCTCTTGCCTCATTTTCTTGCCGCTCCTTTTCTAATTGTTCCTTCTCTGCCTGTAATATTTCATTTTCTTTTTGTTCCTTATCTCTTTGAATTCCTTCCTCCTCTTTTTGTCTTTGTTCTTCTTGCTCGTTTCTCTTCCTCTCCAACCTTTCCTTCTCTTCTCTTTCTTCATCTTTTTCCCTCTGTATTCTTTCATTCTCTTGTCTTTTTTCATCTTCTTCCCTTTTCAATTGTTCTTTCTGCTCTTGTTCTAGCTTTTGTCTTTCAGTTTCAGCTCTCTCACTCTCTTCATGTTCTTGCTCATTTCTCTCATTTTCTTCCTTCTGTAGTCTCTCTGTCTCCACCTGTTCTTTCTTCATTTTTTCTTTCTCTTCCTGGACATTCCTCTCCTCCACGCTTTCCTCTTCTTCCTTTTCACTACACTTTTGTTTCAAACCAGTTCTTCTGGTTCCTTTCCTTATGATTTTTTCCTCTTCACTTTCTACCTCATCCTCAGACAATTCTTTCCCCCTCTTTCTTTTTCCATCCTGCACTTTTCTACTTTTAACTTGGACTTTACTAGATGCAGGTATTACACTCTCCTCCTTTGCCTTATCTTTCCCTTGTCTCCTGCTAGTTCTGCTACTAGGTTCTTCTTGAGCATTTTCCTCAAACATATGGTGTGCTTCAACCACCGTGAGACCAGCGTTTAGTTCAGCAGCCTTTGGAGGTTCACCTTCATCTTTTTGTCGTCCTCTGCAAGATCTTTTGGATCTAATCACACTCAGATCTTCATCTCTTTCAGTCTCATCCTCATAAACAGACAGCGTTTTTGATATGGTGGAAACAGAACCGATAACCACATCAGAAGGTTGTGGAACCTTCTCTTCCTTAATAAGTCTTGTCCTGCGGGATCTCCTGGATTTGACTTCACTATTCAGCTCAGCTCTTTCAATAAGTTCTTCAGGAATTGGTTGGTTTTCAGCAGTCTCAGCAGTTTGTGAAACCTCCTCTTCTTTCTTCGCCTTTCCTCTGCATGACCTTCTGCTTGCTGTCTTGTTGCTGAACATTTTCTCATGTCCCTCATTTTCCTCAACCACAGGCTGCGTTTCATCTATGGTGAAATGGGAGATAGAGGGCTTTTGAAACTCTATGGAGTTATCTTCATCTATCCGCCTGGGTCTAGCCGCATCAGGCATATCTTCTCCTGGTGCCTGCTGTTCATCACTTATAGGCTCTGTTTCAGCAAGCTCTATAGACTTGAATTCACCTGCTTGTTGCCTTGTACTCCCAGAGCTGACTTCACCCTTAAGATTGTCATCTGGTGCTTTTTCTTCCATGCAGATCGGTTGCGTTTCTGTGATAGCAGGACTGGACACAGCTTCATCAGGCAGTGGGACATCCTTACCTTTTTTTGATAGACCCCTGCATGATCTTCTGCTAGATGTCTTGCTTCTGAGCTCCTGTCTCACATTTTCTCCGCAAACAGGTTGTGTTTTGGAAATGGAAAAACCAGAGGTCGAAGCTTCTTCAGTATATTGCACAGGTTCATCTTTGTCAGTATGTCTTCTGCTGGCCTCAGTTTTCAGGTCATCATCTTGCACCTCTTCTTCCTCAAACATAGGTTGTGTTTCAGCAATGGCAATATGGGAACTGACATGTTTTTCTGTTTGAACACTGCTCAATACATCATCCTGACCTGGTAATTCATCATCATCACACATTGGTTGTGTTTCTGCTAGAGTGACATGGGAGCTGGGGATGTTTTTATCATAATGTGAAGTATCATATTTCTTATCCTGTTTTCTAATACTTGGTTTCTGAAATTCATCCCCACTCAGATCTGCAGCTATTGCTTCTTCATCCTCACACATAGGCTGAGTTTCAGGAATTATAAGATAGGAGCTGGAGTTTTTACTATTTTGAACTGCTCCGGTACCATGGGTTTTCATCCCTTGTTTAATCATTTCCTCATTTTCACCCTCCTGCATTTCATCATTTGATTCAGCTTCTATCAGCTGGGTGGGCTCACTTTGATCAACTTCTTTGCCTTCTCCCTCCCAGACGAGTTGCGTTTGAGCTGTGAAAAGAGAAAAGGCCTGAGTCTGCTCCTCTCTTCTCGGGGTGCTGGCAATAATTACTGTGTCTGCTGTGGAGAGGTGAGAGTCATTTGGTGTCTCTTCATCCTCCTCCTCAGCATAATCACCAGGCTTTGCAACAGGGATGAGTTGAGTTTCAGCAGTAGAGAGGTTAGTGTAAGGTTGGATATGGCTCAGTGGCTCCTCCTGTTCCTCCTCTCTGTCTGTCTCTATTCCATATGCCTGTGTAGCCTCAAGATCAAGCCGCTTTGGCTTTAGAACAGCACTAGTACTGGCAGCTCCTGAAAGTTAAAAGTTAAACTCTAATGATATATTTTGTGGCATAATTTTTCTTATAACAATTAGTTTGACAAAGAAAAATATAAATAGGCAAATACAATATTGTGAGGTAAGGGCATTAAGGCCAGTTTTGAAGAATATAAAAGGAGAAAATGTTTGCAAATGTGTAACCTTCATACATTTTTCTATTAAAACTAGCATTCAGGTGTAAAAAGCTATGGGGTATTTTAATGTTTGTATACTGGCTTTAAAAAAACTACCATTTAACCACCAATTTAAGTTGTACATATGCTAAATTTTTAATAATCATAAACTTCTTTTTGTATCTTCAAAATATTCAGTGACTACACAATAGTCAATTAAAACAAACACAAAACAAATAAAAAATAAATAACAGCTAACTAAAAAAAATCTTTGAAACATTATAAAGTTCTGGAAAAAGTATTAAATCCATAAATCTGATGTATAAAATACTATGAAGAAATTAAAGAATGAGATAAATAGACTCAAAGTGAGTGGGATGTTACCATATGCTTGTGTGGGTATAAAGTCCCAGTCATCTTCAAGGTGGCCAAAAGCTTGTGTTGGTTCCTCAAGACTAGCCTTTGCTTGGGAATGTTGATCTTGTTTTTTAAGGATGCTCCCTTCAGACTGCTCTCCTTCATCACCTCCACCAGAGGCCTCCTGACTCTTGAAAACCTTCACAGTTTTTCTTGCTACAGGTTTAAAAGGATCTTCATCATCTGTTCCACCGTTTGACAGATAATCTTTGGTCTTTTCCTTATCCTCATTCTCTTCATCCACATCTGTGTCACTATCCATGTTAAGCTCTGTCCCTGGAGTTGACGTAGCAGGTTTGACATCAATTCCCTTTCCAATGGGTTGCGGAACCTGCACAGGATTATCATCTTCAACATCAGTATCACTGTCCATATGACACTGTCCAACTGAAGATTCAGATTTATCAAGATCCCCTGGCTTAGCATTACTTGCTTCTGGCTCTTCTTCCTCAACATCAGTATCGCTGTCCATATGAAGATCCGTTGAAGCTACTGATTTAATTATTTCAGCCTTTTGTTTAGTCTTGCTTTTCTCTTCCTCATCTTCTTCTACATCAGTGTCACTGTCTATATGAAGACCAGGAGAAGGTGCAGGTTTATCAAGAGTTACTGCGTTGTGAGCCTCTGGTTTTGCCTTACTTGCATCCGATTCCTCTTCTTCAACATCAGTATCACTGTCTATATGAAGATCTGCTGAAGAGACTGGTGCCAACCTTGGAGTTTCAGTCTGAGCTACTGGATCAGGTTTGCTTTTGTCTTCCTCCTCTTCTTCAACATCAGTATCACTTTCCAAATGAAGATCTCCTGAAGATACTGGACCCACCTTTGGAGATTGTTCAATCTGAGCCTCTGGTTCGGTTTTGTTATTCTCTTCCTCTTCAACATCAGTATCACTATCTACACGTAGACCAGCTGAGGTTACAGACTTCTTAGCTACCTGAGCCTCTGGACCAGCATTATCTGTCTCTAGCTCCTCTTCCTCAACATCAGTATCACTGTCCATATGAAATTCTGCCAAAGATACTGGCTCTATTCTTGCAGCTACTTCTGGTGTAGCCAATGGTTCAGTCTTGCTTGTCTTCATCTCCTCTTCCTCAAAATCAGTGCCACTGTCCAAGTTTAGGGCCAAGGGGCCATGCTTAGATGAGTTTGAACTGGGTTCACAGTTACTTTCACTCCGTCTGAATCGGTTGACTGAGGCAGAAGATGGAGTGAATGAGCTCTCATCCTCACTAAAAGGGAAAATGCACAAAACAGTTAAGTAGAATCAAATTAAGCTATTCGTACTATACACTAGGAGGCAATTGAAATTTTATTTTGACAGTTTATCACAGTGTTATGGTAAGGATGAATGTAAAAAAAATGCTGAATTCTACGCAGCTTGCACAGAAGTCACTTTCAAACATGACCAAGATGAACCCAGTGTAAAACTTTTTTGCCCTCACAGGAAATTCTTGTAGATGTGAATTTCATGAAAAATACGGGACTGTCAGAAAAACAATAAATTAAATGCTTTGGTCCTATGTCTTTTATATTATGAATAAAATAGCAAAAAAAAAAATCTTTCACAAAACAAGTTTTCTTTTTAGATTTGGGTCAACTATCCTTGTAAAGAGCAGGGTTTCTGTAGGTCTCACCAAGTTAAATGTAAGACTTTTAAGGACATCTTAAGACCATTATGAATTAAATTTTAGACTTATACAGGACTAAATGCTAAGGTTTTACTTTAAATATCCCAGTTGAAAAAAGAGTTTCACATGCCCAATCAAAAAATATATAATTTAATACATTTAATTATACAACAATAATAATTTATTAATAAAAATATAAGTCAGGCAGTACAGTGGCGCAGTAGGTAGTGCTGTCGACTCACAGCAAAAAGGTCGCTGGTTTGAGCCTCGGCTGGGTCATGTGGCGTTTCTGGGTGAAGTTTGCATGTTCTCTTCGTGTGGGTTTCCTCCAGGTGCTCCGGTTTTCCCCACAAGACTAAAGACATGCGGTACGGTGAATTGGGTAGGCTAATTGTCCGTAGTGTATCTGTGTGAATGGAAGTGTATGGGTGTTTCCCAGTGACGGGTTGCAGCTGGAAAGGCATCTGCTGCGCAAAACATATGCTGGATAAGTTGGCAGTTCATTCCGCTGTGGCAACCCCAGATAAATAAAAGGATCAAGCCGAAAAGAAAACGAATGAATGAAATATAGGTCAGGTCAGCAGTTACTAAACATATAGAACTATTAGACAAATGTTACTGCAAGGAAAGTAATTAAATACTATTTGTAAATGAAAAGTTAAAAGTTTTATTGAGATGGATTCTTGGTGATTTTATGGGTGTTAATGGCCAAACAGCTATACATGAACAAAGGAAAATTAAGACCCAGAAAAAAAAAAAAATTTTAAGACCTACAACACAATATTTTTGTAGATTTAAAACTTTTAAGGCCTAAAAATTAGCTTTTGAGATTTAAGACATTTGAGGACTTTTTAAGACCCCGCAGACACCCTATCTTTATCTTTTAATTTTCTTGAGTTTTACCTTTGTTAAAGGACAAAAATGGAGAGTATATTTACATAATTATCTACAATAAATGTCACTTTCTGAGTGTTCGCTATCAGTGCATTGCTCCACAAGTATTTACAAAATTTTAATCTTCTTTAAGTCAAAAGATGAAAGTTTTTAATAATAAAATCATATTCAGTTAGGCGTGTAATGTATACACAAATGCAAATAGGCCTGTCACAATAATCAATATGTCGACTTATTGCACAACACATGGACATGAGCTCAATAATTTTGATAATGCAATATATAATCACCCATAGATAAAAAAAAAAAACAATTCGAGCAACATTTTTGGTGATTGTGCAACATTCATTCATTCATTTTTTTTTTCGGCTTGATCCCTTTATTAATCTGGGGTCGCCACATCGGAATGAACTGCCAAGCACAATTTTTACGCAGCGGATGCCCTTCCAGCCGCAACCCATCTCTGGGAAACATCCACAAACACTCAATCACACACACACTCATACACTACGGACAATTTAGCCTACCCAATTCACCTGTATCGCATGTCTTTGGACTGTGGTGGAAACCGGAGCACCCAGAGGAAACCTACGCCAATGCAGGGAGAACATGCAAACCCCACACAGAAATGCCAACTGAGCCGAGGATCGACCCAGCGACCTTCTTGCACAACCTACTGCAACACTGTTTCGCCCTGATTGTGCAACATCTCTATCTTTATTGGAGATGCCAGTGTCAGTATAATTAAAAACACTGTAGTATTTACTATAAATGACTATAGTATTTTTTATGTGGGTGTCTGACTGCTGAAAATGGATTTGGTAGCAGATATCACAAATATTACTCTTTACCTCGCATTTTGCATTAACATTTATAATTATTTAGGATATACGTTTTCATATTCTAATTTCAATGCTTCATTATAACATTGTTAAAATGATGATAACTAAAGAAAAATCCTTAAGAATAAAGTATGATACGTTCTTTGGAAGGGTGTACTTGCATTATGAGGATATTATATTGCCATTCAGGTATTATATAAAGAGTGGCATAAAATGATCTCAAAATGACAATATTATTGTTTATCGCAATATATTTTAGTGCAATATATCATACAACAAAAAAATAGATATCGTGGCAGGCCTAAATGCAAAGATGCAAAAAATTGCTCTCTAATAGCAAAGGTTTCTGAAGTCTATACCCCCTTAAGTATATTTCTTATAATAATTACTATTCGTGTGTTACTACGATAGGTTACGTAATTACATAATTTATAGACTAGCAGCACAAAAGTTAAAATAGAACATTAACCAGTTAAACTCTGCTGTTATTTTGGGATTTATGTCTGGATTTTGCCAACCCAAATTTAAAAGCTTCCCAAATCCACATGCAGAGGTGTAAATGCAAAAATTTGGCATCATTTTTAAGAAAACCCTTTGAATTTTCATAAAACACCATTGAAAGTGTTTAAAATATCTGTATATGTTGTCTGTGTTATAATAAACACCTAAAAAAGAGGCGCTTTAGTATATTATTTTTTTATAAACTCAAATTTGAAAGTGTACCTTTTAGGTTCTGTGTGGTCTAGGTTGCTGTAATTAATTTTGGTGGTTCCTGCACATGTCTGTAATCATAGGAAAAAAGAAAAATGTCTCTACCATAATCTATGCAAAATTTATTGTATTCCAACTGATGAGAGGTGCTGTACAAGCCACATCATTGTTTACATATTTCTCTATTCTTTTGTTTGATCAAACATAATTCACTGTGTTCAGACCATGTCAGACATATAAAAGGATTACTTATGCACATCACCTCAAAAACAGAGGAGAAGTGGCCCTAAAGCACACAGCATAAGGTAAGAGATGACAGCTGTCTGAGCTCGGGTATCCAAAATACAATGTTTTTAAGTGTAAATAACTTTTGTACAGTAGAGTAAAAACCAGTGATGCATATGTGCATAAAATATAGATTCTACACTTTCAAACGAAACCATTTATGGGGGTCTGGTGCAATGCTAGCCCTTTAAATCTTAAAGCGAAAGTTGATGATGACACGGCAACTGGTTAAAAAACGAAACGGTCCACTTACCTCTCTGGAATTACTTTTTTTGCAGGCGTCAGGAAGGATGAACTTGCGGAACTAGACAGATTAGAAGATGACGCAGAGTCTGAAACTACAGCAAGAAAAAAAAAAGCTTAACAACAGTCTGTTATCATATCTTTCAATAATATTCTTTATGTCTTGCTTCGTCTACCAAAATCTTTCCGCTCATCTGTAGCGCTCTCTCCATCGGAGTCTGATTCAGGCACCAGGGTGATTTCAGGCTGTTTGTGAGCTGACTGTGGTGAACATATGCTGGGTTCTTCTTCTTCAGGGCTCCATAAAGGCACAGGAGGCAAAGCCGTTTTCTCTTTGTCATTTAACCCATTCTGCACACTTTTCCTCAACTTTGAGTCACTATTCGGTAGCACTGGACTTTCTTTTTTCTCCTTTACACACACTCCTTTTTCTGGAGTTTTCAATGTATCTCTCTTGGAGATGTCCAAGCCAATGTACTGACAAGGCACGTCAGCGAGCACCACACTCTCTCCTTCCGTCAAAGCGTATCGTACCTGAGGCGTCAGCTTTAATCTGCCCTTTCTGGTACCATTTAAACTTCCCTTGTCCCATATAAGTGCTTCCACAGCCTCACCATTATCAGAACGTTTACTAGAGTGAAATACAGAGATGGAGATGACAGCATGCAGACTGGACACAGATCGGGCCGGAAGCAGAACAGAACAGGCAGCAGGATCCCGACCCAAGATATTTTCTCCGACATAGAGAGGAAATTCTGAAATTTGAGTAAAGGAAGATCAATTTAAAGCATTATCAGCATTATAGGATTAATAGCACACTCTGAAAACTGGACTAACACGGTTTCAATTTACTACTTCTAACTTCTATGTTAAGCTGCTTTGATAAAATCTACATTGTAAAAGTGCTATAGAAATAAACATGAATTGAATTATCGAATCATTCTTGAAGACTTTATGTTTTACAGCATTATTTAAAGGGATAGTTCACCCAAAAATGAAAATATAACCACTAGGGAAGCAACACAGTTAGCCCACGGTTCAATACATACCTCTGCTTTTCAACATGGTTTTCGGTTCGGTTCTCATGGCTTGACACATGTTTTTTTATTTATTTTATAGGCAATAGGAACACTAAGAGGTTTAGGAGAAAAAAATTAAAACGATTTACTACAATACTCATTTTGTTTTACTTAAAAGCCAAGTAAAGTACACTAGTTCCTAGTGTATTGTATAAAAAAGTTAGCACTGAAATCTCACAGCTGCTGGTAGCAAACTGGGGAACACATAAAATCCTACACTTTGAAAATAAACATACATGTGAAGTTAATAAAGATAAATTAGCCATTTCAAATAAACATTTTTGTACTTAAGTAAACATAAATAAAGCATCTTAATTATCTCGGTGCTGAAAAATGCGAGACTGTAGTCTGTAACGTGGATTAAGTGCTTTTTATAAAATGACAAAAGCCCACATCTCCAATCCCTGAAAACACCCGCACTGCCTTTGTTATTTTTATGTGTCTCTCGGAACCAGTTGGGTAGATTCAGCGAGGGATTGTTGTCATTTGGAGGACTTCAGACAGTGATATTGCTGGGTGATGGCGCTGCAGATGTGCAGTCATGGTTATACGTGTAAAGCAATCCTTGCACACAGTTATTTTTTTGTTCACCGTTTTTTCTTTTATTGGCATAATACTTAACGGCAAAATCGAAATGTCCTCACACCGCAAATTTGAAAGACGCCGGCGCTTTCTCGTACTGTTGCCTCACTTCGCCGGCGCTTCCTTGTACTGTTGCCTCACTTCACCACCGCTGGCCATGTTAAAGTGTGGAATGATGGTTAATTGCCCCCTAACTTTAGAGCATAGTGATTGGATATTTACTCGTGGGGAGGAGTTTCCTCATCTCAGCTCATGGACTTACAGGCACACACAGTCAATTCAGGGAGATATAAAACGCACATACATTATTTTAACGCAAAACTGAGAAAAACCACAATTAACAAGCACGTATTGAACCGTGGAGGTTATACCGAATGGTTCAATATTATATTGAGAACCGTGGCATCCCTAATAGCCACTATGTTGCATTATGACTTGTATATGGATCCAAACTCACACATGATTTGATGCTGTATGCGTACAATAGAGAAGAAAAATGTGTTTGTTGTTTTGTTTATCAAAATGCTACATATATGTTTAGGCTATACAAAAAAAATTAGTAAAATTGCCTGCTATCTTATATAGGCAGAATTAACTTCTATTAGTTTTTATAGTTTCGCAGCACAAATCAGACCCCCTGGTTTTTCACAATACTGTGATGACTGAATCCAATGCAAAATCAAGAAAAAGGTCACAAACTTTTAAATTTAAATGCAAAATAATCATAAAACATTTAATTCCAAACCATATAATCAAATTACATATTTTTCAGTTTGCAATTATTTGCTTACATGACTTACAGAGGTTGCGTATGCAGCGCACGTGGGTGTCTCTCGAAAAATGATGTCTCATCTGCACCCTCACAATCCTAACACTACATGAGAGTCGGGGGGCAATGTTTGTAGCCTGTGCAGTAAGCAGACGCCGAGTGATTTACATGTGAAGTCAATGCAAAGATTGGATAAGACATCCTGTGGCATGAATTGGGCGTTCTGTATATTTGACACGCTTCAGACTGCAAAAGAAATTGGAACGAACATCTAACAAACGTAGCAATGGAACAAACAGAAAAGCAAGCAGCTTACAATGATGGAGATTGGTTCAAGGATGACGGCCGTGTTGGATATGACTGAATTGAAGCACATTACTTGCGTTTTACATGCATGGCTGGTTTTATGATGCGAGTCAAATTGATAAACGATTTCATTAAACTCTTTCCCTGCAGTTAATGAGAAAAAACAATTCCCTGACGAGTGACGAGTTTAATGGCAATATGTGTTTTAGGTGTATTACAGTAAGGGAAGCCCTAACGCATGTCCTATGTGGGAGGTACACAATGTCAGAATGATGCTCTGGGGAGTGACATCTAAAAGAAAGTAAGTCATGGGTTAGAAAATTAGAGTTATACAACCTTCCTTTGCCTTAAAGGATCTGTTTTAGATCTTGTCTCGACAAGAGACAAAAATAATGAAGCTTTATTTTTAAGATTTGCATCATTGTCATTTAGTTAGATTGCACACCTAACATAGTAGGCTACCTACTTAATATGGTAAATATTAGATATAATTTTTTTTTCTTTTTATCTCGAAACTGACTGCAAATTTTTGGGAATTCCCACCACAAAATCAGTAATTTTCATCACAAAAAAGTTGTGAAAAACTAGGGGTCTGACATATTTTACGTCATAAAGGAACAGGAACCTCATACTTTAGAATGTCGTGAACTGAGGCTGTCAAAAAAAGGTAACAATATCCTGTTACAGACCTGGCACAGACCAATAATTATTTCACTTTGTTTTATCTGAAGCTGATGAAATATTAATTTATAGATATTTATTTCGATTTGTCTGTACTTGTTTTGACTCTCGGTGTGCAGGTACTGTTAACTTGCATTTTATTAAGCTGGGTTTGAGCTAAAAATCGTTTTAAATACACTATTTTTATTTATTTTACCTTGGGGTGGACTAGACCTCTAAAGTGCACTGTAAAAGGACACTCACCTGCCTCTGGTATGTGGTCATTTTTAAACACCTTTAATGTTGCTAACTGTTCTCTTTTTGGGTCTCCTTTATCCTCCTCTTCCTCTTCTTCTTCACAGAAGGGATCCTCAATCTGCTGAGTGGCATCCATCATACCTTCTAGATTAAAAAGACTGTGGTTACAACATGAATGTTGTTGTCATGGAAACCACATTTAGGCAAAGTGATGTTTTTCAGACATTTCAAAGTAAAAACATTAATATTTTGAAAATTAAGCTATTAATCGCAAGGGATGTTAATCAAACTGTTGAATAAGAAACACTTTTCATGAAGTGAGATTGTAGGTCACTGCTACCACAAAAATGATTTGAAAAAAAGTGCTAACGTTACACTGGGGGCTTTATTTGACTGGTAAAATATTATTCGCCATATTTTTCAGAAAGCTATTGACAGAATGAATGTTTCACTTCATAATGCAAAGTTGAACATGCAAGACACGCGCACTGTTTATGTATGTACTAATATACCGTGCGCAACTCGTTGCATTTAATAAAAACGTGCGCTTACCTTATCATGCACAACACTTGGAAACCATTTCCTGAAGTCTAAGGACCGCCCTTTAAACAAACACTACTGATTCGCCAGTCAAACTGTCAGTCGGGCTCTAACCCTACACTGATTGGTTGACAATGCATCCCTGCGGTTTGATTGGTCATCTGAAAAACAGCTTTCGCCTTTGTCACAAGTTTTACCCGCGTTCTGCACAAGGGGCGTGTTATAAAGTGTTTTTTTCTCTCAGATGTTTCTTAGTTTTTTGTATTAACATTATTCATCTTCTTTTTATTTTTATAAAATATTCAAACAATTCAAGTTATTACAATTAAATATATATTATAATACGTAACTTAATAAGGTAAATACTTTACAAATAAACGTTTTACTCAATATCTTTCAGTTGGAATGATTTTAGGCATTTTTTATTACTAAAATGCATTTAAATATATAGTAAAATACTGAATAATACATATTCTATTCATTTATATAATTTTCATATAGGTTTTTTAGGTCTGGAAAGACCAACTGACTGCAGACTTGCAAAAGCAAGCTGAGAAACACAGTTTTTTTTCAACTGCACAAACCTTCAGGAACATACAAACAAAACAATATAAAATATGAGCATAAAAAATCTTTTAAAGTAAAAAAGGTTTTGTCATTTTAAATATATATTTTGATAGATCCTTCCAGAAACTGTTTACAACGTTGCATTCAAAAAATAAATAACAAAGGCTCTCTTTATCTGCATACAGAAACTACAGATGTCCTCCATTTCAATGTACTTTGATAATAAAGATTTTACTGGGTAACCTGTATGTAATATTTTAAAATGAATGTCCTTAATTTTATTGGTAATTGAGTATTTTAAGGGAGTTAACCAGGCTCTTTTTAAATTAATAGAGTTTCAGAGAAAATTTGCCTTTAGGAGTAATTTTATTTTGGCTCTGAAAAATATTACAAATGTGTTTATCTTTTTTTTCTGTTTTGTTTATCAAATGTGTTTTTTTCAGTTAACTCAACACCTTTTAAACATAATTATGGGTTTACAAAAGATAAAGAATTATAGCAAATATGATTTTTAACAAGTTAGATCATTTTAACAGGGACAGACTTAATAACTCAATTAAACTCTCTAAACAGTATTGGGAAATTGTACATAGACATGAATTGTCATAATAGAATGTTCCAGAAACTGTCAAAAAGTTTTAAAAGATGATAAACGTCTCTAATAAACCAATTTGCAAAGTAAAGATTTATTTAAAGAAGTTATATTATAAGTTGAGAAACGCAGTCTTGGATACTGGATGGAGCTAGTGACGTCAAAAGCAAAAGCATTAAAAGCATTGATTTCAGCTCAGCTAGCAACGCAGGGTTAATGGGTCAGTTGGGGTTTTTGTGTGGAGTTTGCATGTTCTCCCTGCGTGTGCATGGGTTTCCTCCGGGTGCTCCGGTTTCCCCCAGTCCACAGCTGTGGCGACCCCGGATTAATAAAGGAACTAAGCCGAAAAGAAAATGAATAAATGAATGAATGCATCTCAGCTCAGAAAGACAGTAAGTACATTGGTTCTTCAAAGGATGATGATTTTTTACCTTATTTTAATGGTTGCTTTATAATTATGAGCTATGAGTAGGCCCACACGCAATCAGCGCACACAGAAATCCAGATTTTAGCCTATCTTTGAGTCTATTTATTTTCTTGTGTAAATGTGTGTAATTTTTTTTGTATTAATTTTAGTAATATTATTGACTAATATGAAAATGCTCACATGATTTATTTACAATACAGTTGCAATAAAGCAATATTCCAGTCTTTTAGGAGATATATTAAATAAAGACTTGCTTCGTTTACCAATGTATAAATAGAGCTATTTGGATTTGCATTATAAACACTAAATAACAGTTAAATAGGTATTGGTTTTTTTATGTATCAAGTTTTAATTACGGTACTCCCAAAATCATTCCACATAAATATGCAGATTGTCTGTGCAGAAATAGCAAAAAATGTCTGCAGATTCTTTTTGGCCCAAGTTATGAGTCTTACTTTCTACATAATGTGTTTGGTAAAGTGTTACAGAAAAATAAAACATACAGTACCAAATACACACACACACACACACACACACACACACACACACACACACACAGAAAAGACTTGATTTTTAACTAAATTGTTTTCATTTTTATTTTGGTTTTCTCCAGAGGCTCAGTTTCCTTCCACACAGGGACAATCAAGGAACATCAAAACTGTTGAAATATATAATCAACAATATAACACTTAAAACGATGGGCTCAGAAATAAGACATAACAGAGTCCATGAATTAAAAAATTGCACCAACAATCCATTCAACATGCTTGTCTTTCTATTTGCCTAATCTAAAATACTTCCCTTTCCTGTATTGCCCTTGCCATCCATTGATTTATGTCCTCCTGTAGACGTTGGTTGGCGTCCAAGTGAGGCCAAGATTCAATAACCCTGTCATTCCATCAGTCCTTTTCCATAACCATTTCCATGACATGCTTATCTTTTCCAAACATTTCTTGCAATACTGCAATCAGACCCCTGGAGGTCACATTGAAGTGCCATTATTTCACAGAGCTGCCCTGTTCTAGTGCAATAGTAACAAAAGAAATCACACAAATAAAACACGATAAATTTCACTGAAGTTACTTGTAGATAAAAGAAGCAAACGTTCAAATAAAACTTAAATGAGATGTTACAGTCCTCCCAATTTGTAACACTGATTCTACCTGGATGTTTGCCACTTTTCGCTTCCCTGTTCTGTACCGCACCATCAGAATGGTAAACTAATACACTCATACACACTAAAAAGAGTGAACTGTAATCGTAAACACTGTTACCCACTCTAATCCATGTTTAAAAAACATTCTTTCTGCCTTCCTCTGTTCATTTTTGGCCCCTTTTTGTCTAGTGCTAATTTCTACTTCATCTGATTGAGACACTTCCATAAAAGTTTTGCTACATTTACTCAAAACTTAAACACACTACCACCTCCCCAAAACACCCTTTAGTTTCCTTCTTAAGCATCATCCTCGGCTTCTTCCTCGAATTCGCCCTCTTCCTCGGCGGTGGCGTCCTGGTACTGCTGGTACTCGGACACCAGGTCATTCATGTTGCTCTCGGCCTCGGTGAACTCCATCTCGTCCATCCCCTCGCCCGTGTACCAGTGCAGGAAAGCCTTACGCCTGAACATAGCCGTGAACTGCTCGGAGATACGCTTGAACAGCTCTTGGATGGCCGTGCTGTTACCAATAAAGGTGACGGCCATTTTGAGACCCCTAGGTGGAATATCGCAGACGGCGGTTTTAACGTTATTGGGGATCCATTCCACGAAGTAGCTGCTGTTCTTGTTCTGGACGTTCAGCATCTGCTCGTCCACTTCCTTCATAGACATGCGGCCTCGGAAGACAGCGGCGACGGTCAGGTAGCGCCCATGTCTTGGGTCGCAGGCCGCCATCATGTTCTTGGCGTCGAAAACTTGCTGCGTGAGCTCAGGCACGGTGAGGGCGCGGTACTGCTGGCTGCCTCGGCTTGTCAGAGGAGCGAAGCCGGGCATGAAGAAGTGCAGACGGGGGAATGGCACCATGTTGACGGCTAACTTGCGAAGGTCGGCGTTGAGCTGGCCGGGGAAGCGCAGGCAGGTGGTGACACCACTCATGGTGGCGGACACAAGATGGTTGAGGTCGCCATATGTGGGGGTGGTGAGTTTGAGGGTGCGGAAGCAGATATCATATAAGGCTTCATTGTCTATGCAGTAGGTCTCGTCTGTGTTCTCCACCAGCTGATGAACCGACAGCGTGGCGTTGTAAGGCTCCACTACGGTGTCAGAGACTTTTGGCGAAGGCACCACGCTGAATGTGTTCATGATGCGGTCTGGGTACTCTTCGCGGATTTTGCTGATCAGCAGGGTACCCATGCCGGAGCCGGTTCCACCGCCGAGGGAGTGAGTGAGCTGGAAGCCCTGCAGGCAGTCACAGCTCTCGGACTCCTTGCGGACCACATCCAGAACTGAATCTACAAGCTCAGCACCTTCCGTGTAGTGGCCCTTGGCCCAGTTATTACCAGCACCGCTCTGTCCTGTGAGGAGACAAAGAGGAAGAACACACTTCAGACTGTGCAGGATGAGGTGCATTTTTCTTTTTCCTGCTTTAATTGGATCTTTTAAAGTGTTAGTTTAGCCTAAAATGAAAATTCTTTTATTTAATATATACCACGACTACTAATGAGGCTCCAAACCCCTGAGATCTATCTTTGTCTTTGGAATACAAAATAATTCTATTATATTTTAAGGCACCATGGTGGCTCAGTGGTTAGCACTGTTATCTCACAACAATAAGGTTGCTGGTTCGAATCCCGGCTGGGTCAGTTGGCATTTCTGTGTGGAGCTTGCATATTCTCCCCGTGTTCACGTGGGTTTTCCCCATGTATTCCGGTTTCCATCACACACCAACTAAATCGGCTGTTGTGTATAAGTGCACGTGTGAATGCGAGGGTGCATGTGCATTTCTCAGTACTCGGTTGTGGCTGGAAGGGCATTTGCAGCGTAAAACATATGCCAGAGCAGTTAGCGGATCATTCCACTGTGGCAACCCCTGATAAATCAGGTACTAAGTCGAATAAATTAATGGTGTAATGTAGCATGCATTTATATACCGCATTTGTGTGTGGCCATACACCCAAAGCGCTTCACAATCATGAGGGGGGGGGGTCTCTCCACACCACCACCAGTGTGCAGCATCCACTTGGATGACAGGGCGGCAGCCACAAGACAACGGCGCCAGTGCGCTCACCACACACTAGCTATTGGTGGAGTGGAGAGACAGTGATAGAGCTAATTTGGTGGATGGGGATGATTGGGTAAGGGTCGATGGAAGGAATTTGGCCAGGGCACTGTGGTTACACCCCTACTCTTTACAAGAAGTGCCATGGGATTTTTAATGGCCAGAAAGAGTCAGGACCTCAGTTTAACGTCTCATCCAAAAGACGGCGCTCACTGAACGTTATGGTGTCCCCTTCAATATACTGGGGCATTAGGACACAGACCACAGATTGAGCGCACAGACCACACCCTGTTGGCCTCACTAACACCACTTCCAACAGAAACCTAGTTTTCCCATTGGGTCTCCCATCCAGGTACTGACCAGGCCCAGCCTTGCTTAGCTTCAGTGAGTAACCGGTCTTGAGCAGCAGGTAGATATGGCTATGATAATTATGTTTTAGATTAAATCTGAGGGCTTCCTTATTCTCTATATACAGCAATGTTCCAGACTCTTCCAGAAGAAGTTAGAAAAATCATTCAATACAGGGCGCACATTCATGTGTCAGGTGTCACATTCATATTACCTCGGATGCACCAGTGCTTTGTTTCAAACAGAGGAAACCAATCACAGGCATCAGAGGGATATTCGTCACCACACAGTACTTAAAGATGTGTGCAATATACTGACACTTAACAGAAGAAGCCATGGAATAAAGTCCTTGTTTTTGTTTTATATGTGCACAAAAGTATTCTTTTAGTTCTATAATATTCTGATTGAAGCTTTGAAGACATATGGTATGTTTTGAGAAAGTTTTGGTCCCTTTCTTGACTTTAAACAAGCGAGGAACATTGATGTCTATGGAAGATGAATGAGCTCTCAGATTTCACCTTAATTTAAAATCAAAACTTGTGTCCTGAAGATGAACAAAGATCTCAGGGGCTTGGAATGACATGAGGGTGAATAATTAGTAAAATAATTGTGTTTTTGGGTAAGATAACCCTGTGATTCTGTTCCATAATTTTTGTCAATTAGATTTTTTGTGTGATGATAGACTTGTTATCAGTCACTCACCAAATACAAAGTTGTCAGGTCTGAAGATCTGTCCAAAGGGCCCTGAACGCACAGAGTCCATGGTACCAGGCTCCAGATCCACTAGAATGGCTCTTGGCACATATTTACCTCCTCCACGAGACATAGAGAAACAAGAAAAAAAGAGAAACAGACCAGCTCAGTACATATAGGAAACTAAATGTTTGAAATGAGGTATTGTAGTATCTGCATGCAGGTTCAGGGCTTTAAGATGTGGGTTGAGAATGTTTAATTTTAATATTGACCTCTAGATGTCACCTCTAGTTGACCTCAAGTTTAATCTCAACATATTTAGTGAATAGCTCTGGTTTAGGCCTGGAGATTTACAAGGGACGCTCATATTAAAATTATTATTAATTAAATTATTATTAATTAAATTATTATATTAAAATGTAAAATACATCTATTGTATGTAACGTCTTATTTAAAGACCATCATTTTATAAATGGTTCAAAAACTTTGGAAAATGTTAATTTAATAAAAGATTTTATGGATTCACAAACCAATTTACTTTGTTTGAATCCCATTTTATTAAACTACTCTAGTAATTATTAGATTATGTAATATTTATTTACATATTATTTAAGTAATATTTTTATTATATTTTATACTACTGTAATTAAATGTTAATAAAGATGAAACAAATATGATGTTTGTATTATTTGTAATAATATCTGTATGACTGAAGTAAAAAAAAATCAGAAATGGACCATCCAACTTAAGGAGTTAACATTGCTATTGAACGTAATCATTTAAATAATTGCTTTCAATAATTAAATTGCAAAATACATGCATTTACATAGCATATATATTGTCTGTTATGTACTTAACGTTAAAATGATTAAAGTCATATTACATAATTAGCAAAAATCAGATTCAGAAAAGTTTAAAAACTTGAATGAATCAATTAAAATAAATAGAACTGATCTCGTATCACATATTCATGTCACATTTCATGATTTTCAGCCATTTGCTTTAAGAACTATTTGAAAACTTTCCATGTATTTCTCTAAAAATAATTATGAAATAGAAATATATTTTCTCCTTTATTGGGATGAACTTCCAAGTGAAATGCTTGATTAAAGATTAAAACTTAAAGATTATAATGCATTTTATGTTATGACATAACTAATAAAGAATTGGTAACAAATCTTTTCAACAATCATTAAAAAGTAAAAAAAAAACTTTTGATTATCAATACTGTTCATGCTAATAATATACTTTCATCTTTCTTTATACCAATGTCTTAAAGTACCTGTAGCCTCATTGTAGTAGACACTAATTCTGTCCAGCTGGAGGTCACTGTCTCCGTGATAGGTTCCGGTTGGGTCGATTCCATGTTCATCGCTGATCACCTCCCAAAACTACAAACAACACACAGACATTACAGACATCTTCCCCACTGCACATACACACAAAAGTATCCATCAAATCTATCCTATTAAGCACTGAATGTTGAGCATCAGTATAAACCAATCATTAATCTGTAAACTGGAATTGGTTTCGGATGAGTTTTACCTCAGCAGGAGGCTTTATGGACATTTAAATCATTAATTCTAGGTTACTCTCCATGTGACCCTAATCTGATAGAAAAGCGCAGAGATGGAGGTCGAGATAGACGGATATCAGCAAGTGAACGGAAAAAGAAAAGATTGTTCTTGCATGGGATGTTTATTGAAAATAATTGTTTTGAAAGAATGAGGCCAACAAACTAGAATGCGCTGATGGACACAGGCCTACCATGACCCCGTTCTGACACTCTTGCTTATCAGAACCTGTTAGCCACATTTCTGCTGTGTCAACACATAATATCATCATAAAAAAACCTAGCGGACACATGCTGTATGAAATCATTCACCTTCAGTTATTTGACCTTTATAACAAAAAGAAAATAATGTAATCACTTTAATCGTTTTATAATTGTTTTTGCCAATTATTCAATTGACCAAATCAACGGGCTTTCTTTTTACCACATGAATATGCAATTTAGTCATTCATTATTCATGTTTCATTTATATCTGTACTGTAAAAGGGATGGGCAGCAGCTGTTAGAGGCATTAAGTCCATTTGCAGATGCCTCCTCTTCCCCACCCTGACCTCAGACGAGTTCAACAGACACTCGCCATCTCATCATTTAAAAGGCATGTCAAAGTCTTATAACGGATGAGGACGATTTAACCCAATTCTTAATGCCACATAAGTCATGCAACATCTCATGAGCAATCTTTAAAAATAGGCGTGTTTTAAAATTGGGTCATGTATGTGAAAAAGTTCTACAGATTCTACAGATTTTAGGCAAATGTATTTAAGGCTGGGCGACTAATCGAAAAAGTAATCGCAATTGACATTCAGAACCTATAATCGATCAAATTTTTTCAGGTCAATTTTATTAATTACTTTTCCTGCCATGTGTGGAGTCACGTGTCCCCATTTTGTCAAGGCTAATTTATACTTACTCTATTATGATTTATACTTTTTATATTATTCTGACATTATACTTCTGCCAAGCGTACGGTCCGGCGCAGCCTTCGCATACCCACACCTCTCAAAAAAAAGTAATTACACGTCACAATGACACACAGCACAAGCTTTGTGATTGGTCAGTTTGGTAGAGGTAACGAGGGTGGGCGGCGCGGACAATTTCAGTTGTTCACCTTTGATGTTCAATAAATAATCATTTAAAGTAGACAGTGTGCGTTTCCTCCAATTATTTTAAAATCAAGCAATGCACCCTTCATTTAAAGATCTCTCACTTGTAATGTGTGAGGATATTTACTGTACAAAACTAGTGAACTATGAGGGCAAAAACATAAAATAAATACATAAAATAATCATTCATTAATTGTAATCGAGTTAAAATGTTCAATTAATAAAGATTTTGATTTTAGGTCAAATCGCCAGCCCTAAATGTATTTCTCTAAAGGTCTTCCTTCATTTTTGACCAAAAATTGAATGCTTTGGTTCATCAGAACAATATTAAATTATTTTAAAAATATGCAATAATAATAGTCATGATTAGAAAAGGGGGCGACGCAGTGGTGCAGTAGGTAGTGCTGTCACCTCACAGCAAGAAGGTCGCTGGTTTGAGCCTCGGCTGAGTCAGTTGTTGTTTCTGTGTGGAGTTTGCATGTTCTCCCTGCATTCGCGTAGGTTTCCCCCGGGTGCTCCGATTTCCCCCACAGTCCAAAGACTTGCGGTACAGGTGAATTGGGTAAGCTAAATTGTCAGTAGTGTATGAGTGTGAATGAGTGTGTATGAATGTTTCCCAGAGATGAGTTGCAGCTGGAAGGGTACTTGCTGCGTAAAAACATATGCTGGATAAGTTGGTGGTTCATTGCGCTGTGGCAACCCCAGATTAATAAAGGGACCAAGCCGAAAAGAAAATGAATGAATGAATGAATGATTAGAAAAGGTTAAACTGTCACTTTTTGTGTTCGTTATCAATTGGGAAACTTTCATTAAGCAGAAACCTTTGGTCCTGCATTCATTTTTAATTTTAATTAAATGTACTTTTTAATAATTTGGAATTTTATTTAAGGCAAATACATGTTTTAGGAAATATACATTTCATACCAAATTTTAAATTAGCATTATTCATACATAACAAAAACTTTAAAAGTCTATGATTCTTTGAGTTTATGATTTTATATTGAATTATTTTTACCTTTAACTTCAGGGATTAAATGATAAAAATTTGTGGTTAAGAGGTCATCAATAAAAATAACTACTGCATTTAATAGCATTTAGCATGGAAAAAAAGTTTATATATATACTATTTATATATAAAATTGAACTATGAGTAAATTTGTTGAAATGTAAAAGCAAACAAGTTGGTCATATCTGAGGCTGATAAAGGAAAGCTAATCCTTTTGTGAGATCAAAGTAAGAAAGAAACCAATTTTAAAGCAAATTAAGCGATGACTAAAACTAATAATAATGTTACTAATCAAGAGTTCATAATTTACCACTATTAGCCTACTTCAATGGTTATGTCTTCAATTAAATCCTCATTGTCTTCCTGCACAGCCCCACCCTTTCCAGCATCCTCCACCACTGAATCACAGCAGTCAATATCTGCACATCGATGACACTAACGCTTCACTGACAGGACAGGCAGAGACTAACTGGATAAAATACTTGAAATAAAAGAAAAAGATGCCATAGTAATATTAGTGCCACGTGGTGTCAGAGTCCTGACAGCTGTTTAAAGGGCTCGCGACACTGATTACAGGTCGCCATGGTAATAATTATAGAGAGCGCTGCTGCTGCTGTGCCCATCAGATCCGCCACACCCGGTGCATTGAAGACAACGAGAGAAAGAAAGAGGACAGACAGACCCCCCTCTTCCTCTCTCAATCTCTACACCCACAACTCTAATTTACACACAAAGACGTTAATGCTCGGAGTCTGTGGAATTTGAGCATCGTTTACATGAAAAATGCTATTCAGAGCGACTAAAAGACATAATGGGAATGAATAGGAGTGGGAGCCGCATATTCTTGGGCGTGAATAAAGGGGGCTTCAGATGAGACAAAAAGAGGACAAGACAAAGCAGTGTGAGGAGAAGTAGATTCTTGTACATAGTGAAGGAGTTATGAAAGTGCTCTACATGTTGCTATAGTGTTATACATTATTAATAACGTTTGGTAAAGTGTGCAATGCCAAAAACTGGACACACAATTGCTCTGTATTGCCTAACGGTCATGTTAAATATAAAGTAGACAAAATGTTTCTGTTTTAAATACAATAAAAAACTTCAACTATACAACACACAATCATTTTTGCATTTTAAGATATTTTCAGTAGAAGATGCTAAATATAAACGACTCTGATTTTACTCTGAAAAACTCTTCTTACCTTGGCACCGATTTGGTTTCCGCACTGACCGGCTTGGATGTGAACAATCTCCCTCATTGTTAGAAATTGTGCGAGAAGTTCTCCAATGAATGTAAAAAGTAGCGGTGTGGCTCGGCAATAATTTGAGAAAGCCGGACAAAGGCTTTATATTCCTGGACTGTCTCCAGAACGAGGCTGGAATAGTAATGGGCGGGGCACTAATGGATGTTGAGGAAGCTGATTGGTCAATGCTCGAGGAATGGCGCATGGACCGGAAGTATGCAGGGAGTGCCAACGAGGACTGTCTGTAGAAAAAAAGAAAAAGTATGCTGGTTTTTGTATCCTGTTGGGCTATTAAGATTTTAAAACACTTTTTATACCAGTGACCTAATTATTTTTTTTTGTTTACATTAGTTTAATCTCAGGACTACAATTTGACCAAATTGAAACTCTTGTGAATATGAAAAAATCATTTAAATCTAGCCATATTAATTGATATGATGTTGTATAAATATGTGCTTTTACATATGTACTTTATAATTAACTTTAACTAAGACTTGGTTAATTCATGAAGTGTATTGTATTATTGTGGGGCAATTAGTGGAAACTGAGGGAACATACTGACAAAAAATATTCAGACATGATTCCTTGGATTTACTCAATGTTTTAGGTTAAGTGGCTGTAAACAACTTGGGCTGGATTTAAACAAACAAATTAGGTAGAATTTTATTAATTTTAATTTGTTTATTTAAATTCAACAGAAATAAATTGTTAGCAACAATTCTGCAGACATCATTTTTTTTTCAATGCCCCCAAATAAGAACATATTTGTGCAAGGGACCCCCTTACCTCACTAAAATGTCAATTTTAATATTGACTTCAAGCAAATGTGATTTTCTTTGTATTTCATTTCATTTTGCTTTTTGGTGTTTTGACTTTTAGCATTGAAATTAAACCCACACTGAACTAAACTGAACTGAACTTCAACTCTGAAAACTGGACTGACATGATTTCAGTTTACTGTAATCTTCTGTGTTGAGCTGTTTTGATACAATGTAATTTGTAGAAGCGCTAAATAAATTAACATGAATTGAAATAAACATAGGGGCGAAGCAGTGGGTAGTGCTGTCGCCTCACAGCAAGAAGGTCGCTGGGTCGCTGGTTCGAGCCTCAGCTCAGTTGGCGTTTCTGTGTGGAGTTTGCATGTTCTCCCAGAGTTCGCGTGGGTTTCCTCCGGGTGCTCTGGTTTCCCCTACAGTCCAAAGACATGCTGTACAGGTGAATTTGGAAGGCTAAATTGTCCGTAGTGTATGAGTGTGTGTGCATGTGTGTGTGTGGATGTTTCCCAGAGATGTGTTGCAGTCAGTAAATCTGAGAGTACAGCAAATATTTTTTACAAACCTGTTTGCTGAATTAATAAAAGAAAAACTCATTGATGAAGTTATCAAGGCTTTCAGAAAAAGGAAAAAAAAATTGCATGAAACTAATAAGAGCAGACAGAAGAGAGAATAATCTCAGATTTACTCTCAGCACCATAGACTGTGCATTAGAAACACCTCGCTAAGCAGTAGTAATTCATTTTTTGTAATGATAAAAAGATGATATAATACACACATATATGTAAATAAATATACATATGTTTTAAAAAAATCTAAATATTAAAATATTTTAAGGATTTAAGATTATGGTGACCATAATGCATCATATACATCAGGATGCATCAGTCTTGTGAAAAGGGTCACGGCACACTGTTTAAAGGCTTAAACAGAACTCCATGTGTCACACCACCTCTTTGTAATCCATTTGAAACAACAGTGGGTAAAGTTTAGTCTTGTTCCAAACTCAAAGAACAAATTAATCTATGCTTTTTTTTTTAGATAGAAGTTGTCTCAAAATCACATGTTACTTATTGGAGCAAGTTTAAAAATATTTCAAACTGGAGAAAAGTTTGGCTTTTGCCACACACAGATTCTACCCATTAAATAGCTATTTTTAAAAGATTTGAATCGGATATTAACACAGTGTGCACTTCCTGTAATTTACAAAGTGAAACAACTGTACATTTATTTTGGTATTCCTACATAAAAATATTTTGGGGTAACGTTTGCAAATTTGTGATTGTGATTTGTGAGTTTATATATTCCAATTTTTCTTTGTTTTGGGAAAATGTGTTATTTGGTTTTATACAGACAATACTGAGAAAGTGTTCTACTTTTACTTGCTAAATATCACACCCATAAATGTAAATTCTCCAATAATAAATCACTTTTTGAGGTATTCATAAAAGAATTGAAAGGATTGAAAAATTGAAACACTAAGGCTAAAACATTATCTTGTCATGCCCTATTTAAAATTACCCTGTAAAATCACTACTTCATTAGTACTTCATTTTAAATTAATTACACTCTTAATATTTTATTTTAAGCTTTTACTTTTTTTTATTTCTTGTTTAACTTATTGAATTTGTTTTTCTTTAATGTTTTTACCCCTTGCATTGCTCCTTAATAGTTTTCAATGTTTCATTATACTGTATAATTGCTGACCATTTACTGTTCAACAAAAAAGTATATTTTACTTTACTCCCTTACCGTCGTAAATCCTAGTGAACTCCCTACACAGGCTGCATCTTGAACGCTTTTAACTGCTGTCCCGGAAGGGAGCTCAACTAAGTTTTGAGACGCAGCCAGTGAGTGTTTGTGAGGCGTGGTCGAGACTGCGTAATTACGGCGAGTTTTCTTTACCATTGACACAACTTAAACAATCCGAGTCGCATTTCGAGATACTTCGCTTTTAACGAAATATCTGCAATCGGTAAGAACAAATCGTTTTATATTTAAGTGTCGCGGAATGTGTAGACTTGTGATTCCCAACACCAGAGTAAACTTTAGTAGCGTGAAATGCAGCATAGCCGTAGCGAAGGAGTAGCCAAGCATTTCCTGTTCTGTTGTAAATACACTGATGTCTGCGGGCACGGATAAGTTTGTTAAATGCATATACTCGTGCCTGTTTTACTAGTAATCATGCTTTTGGATGTACATTTCATTATAATATAGAGAGGGTCTCTTTTTAATCGCGTTTTCATCGGCACACACATTTTTTCCCGTACGTTAACGTAGTTTTGCGGTTTTGTGCGTTTTCATGTAACGTTAATGTAAGTTAACTTAGGTCTTCATAAGTGTGTCGATTATATGGGAATGATTACGTAATAACTATTTAGACTCAACAATATATTTACTTTTTTAAGCTATATAATATTTGAAAAGTTACCTTGCATAGTATTATTATTATGCCCATTTTTAAACTAGTGTAAATATAAAATATGGCTACCAGGTCTGTGTTTGAAATAACCGTCGTGAACCGCTCTTTTACAGAAGGCAAAGGCAAGAGTAGACCGAGAGGCATAAACTAGTCACCACTGAACTCAGGAGATTATCTAGCTCAGTCTGTGTTTACTCAGATGTCATATCTAAAATATTCCCAGCATGTGTCGATCTAGTGACTGGTGCCTTTTAAAAGGCTTCTGCTTTCTTTCTTTAGATCTAATTAAGGATGTTTTACACCTGTGGTCCCAATGAGGCGATGGTGGTTTCAGGTATGTTGCATCTGTTGGGCTTTATTACACGCTTATGACTTATGAATAGAAAGGAATGTGTTAGGAGGACCAACAACCCGTGGAGTTCTGCAAGTACAAATGAACTACATTTAAAAAGCTTGTCAAGAAAACCTTTAATGTTTGCTTGAGAAATCACAGTCCGAAGGTTTGTATATTGAACTGAAACTGTTCAGAGTAATCCTTCAGTATAAAATAGTTACTATTTTTCTTCACATATAGCATGAGTTGGCACACTTCTAGCAGCTTAATAATCCCTTAGCATGTTCATAGCATGTTTTAAAATGTTGCTTGTCTTAAACATGTTTCTAGGAAGATATAAAACCCTTGTGGTGTGTGTAAACTTGATTTATCAGTGCTAGCATGGTATGTTTTAGCACACGGCTAACAAAGTTCAGTGTATCAATGTTTCCTACATTTAGTATTTGCTGCTAGCATATCTTGGTATGTTGTTGATAGCATAGTCTTGATTGTGCTGTCACACTAATGGTGCCATTGCTTGTTGATATTACAGAAATTTAAAGTAAGTCAAACCGATTGCAATCGTCATATTCTCTAAGCGCACAGCCAAAGCATAATGGATAATTTTGCATTTCATGCAAAAGCTCTATACTAGGGGTCACCAGCCTCTTTTTAAACTGAGAGCTACTTCTTGGGTACCGATTAATGTGAAGCACTACCAGTTTAATACACACTTCTCAAAACATCAAATTTGCTCAATTTTCTTTTAATTATATGTCATTATTAATAATGAATGATATTTATCTGTGTGAAGTTACTTGTCATGTTAATAATTTCTCATAATAGTTGTCAACAATGATTTAACAAGGTAGAAAACAGAAATATCATGCAACACTTTATTTCTATACATCTCTGCACGTATTTACGTTTTCAAATGATCACTTCTACAATATTTTCACTTGCCTCTAAAATTTTTAACAAATCATGCACAACAATGTACCATGTTTGTACAGATGATCAATTGTGTAACATAAATCAACTTTCAGATTTTACTGAATTTATCACCAAATCTGCAGCATTTTTAACATACTGTAGCCGACACTCTAACCATTGCAGTTGCCCCGAGAGAGAGAGTGGAGATTACATTCCATTACATTACATTCAAACACAGTTTTGCTTTCCTGTCTGAAAATGCCTTGTTTTCCTAAAAAAAAAGTAGCTCTAAATGAGGCTTTGGTTGCTTTTTAGGGGGTTTTCACCGGTCTCATGAAAAAAGACTGCTGTTTGCTCAAACCTTCCTTTAGTTCGTGGACTTTTTTCACTTGTAGTGTGCTGCCCTGGGCAGTTAAAATGGTAACGTTGGCTTGCGTGACACGTTCTGAAATGTTTCTCAACATTGTGATGCTTTGCCATCGTCAAATGAAGTAAAAAAGAACTCCTCCTTCTATTCACTGTAAAAATGATGTTTTTTCTTTTTCTGCAATGTTTTTAAATCATGTCCTCTCCTTTACTGCACCCACAACCACTGCTGTGGAGACCAGCTAGCTAATATGAAATATTTTTCACATTTATTTTTATACATAACTTAATGTCTATTTCAAAATGACACCAATGCAAGTGTGATTTAAAAAGAATTGATAAAAAAATATTAGATGCAGCTTACTGGTAAGTGGCGCTATGGTGAGCTACTGCTATGGTGAGCTATTTTTAGAATAGGCCCTAAAAACTCGTGATCCTCGCCGGCTACCTGGTGCCCGCAAGCTACATGTTGGTGACCCCTGGTCTATACAATATTTTACCCCACTGATAGCATGTTTTGCACATTGCTAACATGTTTCTTGCATGATTTACTTACAAAATTAATTATAATTTTATTGTAGAAATATTGTAACCCTGGTTGTTTGATTACTATGGGGTATATGCACAGCAATTGGCTTAAGATTGGCAAGCAAAAATTCAGGACATTGCAACCTGCAGAACCTGGGGAATAAAAGAAAAAAGTTGTGTTTTCCAGCCAACGACAAACTTCCGGTGAAAAGTTAACGTGACTATGATGTTGTAATGAAATTAGAATAAGGGATGCTCAAAATAAACGATTAAGCGAAAGAGTGCGTTTGTAACCAACTAATTGTATCAGTTAAACGATTAAAATTATTTTATACATTTTAAAGTTTGGCTGCATAAGGGACTGATCAAAGCGAACGTGCTTTTTGCATTCAGAGGTGCATCTTTTAAATGTTTTTTTTTTTCTATGTGCGCTCGAGTGGAAAAAGCATGTTACCTCAGTCGCGTCTTTTTCTGTCTTCAATCAAATGAAAGCGGCGGGGTTTCCTTTGAGGTGACAGCAGTGTTTGGGTTGTCTATAGCAAACCTTTAATGATGGAGGAGAGACTTGTGGTCGCTGTTGCAAGTTATACAGTGCTGTATGACTTTACACATCCTGAATATCATAATGTTACAAAAAATTACAATTATAACAACATTAACAGCAACACTCGCGCACAATACGGCTCAGCTGATTCAGTCGTTTCCTAGTGACAGCTAGCACAGCGCTTCTTTTTTTCTTGTCAAATGGCAGTGTGGTGTGTCTCGCATTTTTGGAATGGAAAAGCGCTCGCTGTGATCGGCCCCTAAATGTGCAACACATATTTGTTAACTCGCGCTACAGTAACACACATCTACTCATGCCTGCAGATGTATTTTGCCAAAGAAGCAATATGAAAGAAGGATATTTCTGGTCACAGTTTGACACAGATAAGTTGACAAACCAGCGCTGATGCTGATCGACCCCTGTTCTGCCTTAACTGCCTCATAAACTCAACAAAAATGCTATTGCCAATATAGTGTATAGGCTACCACCAACAAACCAACCTTTTTCCATTTGGAAAATTAAAGTTATTAATAGTTCTTATATTATATAAAATATTAAATAGCCTAATCTACCAATCAAACAAATCCAGAGTTTTTCTTGATTCGCTCCAAACTGAGGCTTTTATTTCACAGCTTATAAAACATGTATGCAAATAAATGCAATTTCATATGTAAACAACAAAATTGTTATATCTTATGTAGTAGCCTATACTTTACAAAAAGTCAACATATGAGTCTTAAGTTTCATTGTCATTTTCTTTCATTACACGCAGCGCACGCACACATGAACCATAAGTGAGACATTTATAATAATAAGTCATAGAAATAAGTCATAATCATAATCAAGACACAATCTTTAAACTAATGACTTCTATTAAAAATGTTGAGAGAGTTTTTGTAATTTAATACTAACAGCAGAGCATTAATAAAATTCATATTTACCATGAAGCAATCTATTTGAGGTAGCCTAATATTTTTTTTTGACGGAAGAAAAAAACATGATTGGACAAACAGCCTATGCCGGACCTTGAAAAGGATTCAGTCAGTGTTTTCAATTTGTAATCTATATTTGGCATTTAAGTAAAAAAGATCTAGAGCAGGATATAAATTATTCATTTTGTTTAGTTTATTCTGTTTTTCTATGCTGCTGAAAACACAGCAGGTGCGTAAAGATGCTCTATTATGTTCTGTTGTGTTCTGTATGCTGTTAAAATTAATCAATATTTTAAAATATTTAATATTTTATGTGTCGCACAAAATTATTTTTTAAAATTAAGTAATATTTTAATATTAATCTGTTAACATTTATAGTTAACGAGTGGTGGTTGTCGCTTGTCAAAATTAACCAAAATGAGCATCCCTAATTAGAATATAATCAGTTAAGTAGACTTAAGCATTCATTGAATTGTTCAAGCCTAAAACAAGATGAAAGACTTTGTAAACACAAGCGCTGTCAGTAGCAGCAGGCTAGTGCAGAAACTCCATTGACAATATTGGGGTAAAAAAAGTTTCCACATTTTAAAGACATGCTAGGAAAAAATGGAATTTAATGCAGTGTTTCTTGTCCGGTCTAAGACCCACTTTATATCACATATTAATCAAGCAGTGGAGATCATTGATTTTTAAAGGAATCAGATATTAAACATGGCAATTTTGCAAGGACGCTACAGTTCACAGGGCCACACGAGACTCACACACGAACATTTACTCAAAGGAGAAGAACCCCCAATATGCCTGTATTGCAGCAGAAATCAAACTGTTAAGCATATACTTGTGGATTGCCCTATTTTTAATGTTATCAGATGACAATTTTTTATCTGTAGAGACTTTAAAGGGCACCTATGATGAAAAATCTACTTTTCAAGCTGTTTGTACAGACATATGTGTACATGTAGTTAGGGCTGTGCAATTAACCGAAAATCCGGTTTCGATTTCGATTACGGCTTCTAACGATTATGAAAACCATTAATCAAGATAAACGATTATTCCATCATATACCGCCTCCTTTCCAGTTCCACGTGAAAGTGACTAAAAGCATGTGCTGTAATGTACTTTTGCAGGATGGGATGCGCATCATTCATATATTTAAAAGCGCGAAAGAGCACATGCTGTTGTGTGTGTGCGCGCACATGTCAAAATGGCGGATGTAGTACTTCCGAATTCCATTCATACTTTTCACATTCATACTGTATAGAACGTACTTTTTTAACGACTGAGTAGTACCTTTAAATTCAAATGCAGTACCTACTGAGTAGTAGGCGGTTTCGGACGCAGCCTATGTGTTGCTTGTGTTTATCTAGCATGATTTAGAACACTGTTTGTACACTTGAGATATCATTATTCTTTATTACAATCTTTTTATCGGTCTTTTGTATGACAATGCAAATTAAATATTGAAAGGTATACAGTAATGTATTTTCCATTATTAATCCAACCCCCTAACCTCTCATTCATTAACTCAACAAAACAATAAATACATAAATACCAAATTAAGAAAATTAAATACATACAAACATGACATCAGAATAACTGGATACAGATGGAATAATAATAATAATGAATTTAAATATAAATAAATAATAATAATTAAAATTAATAAATAAATAAATAAATAAACCCTTCTGATCGGTAGCCAGCACCAGGTGTAATAAGCAGGCTTTTGATGTAATCAAGAAAGGAATCCCAAGTCTTATAAAAGTAATATAGTGAGCCAATGAGTGAACATCTCAGCTTTTCAAGTCTGATACAGTAAAAAATGTCCTGTATCCACTTGTCATGTGTAGGGAGGGAGGTGTGCTTCCATTTTAAAAGTATGGCACATCTGGCTAGAATTGTGGTAAAGGCAAGAACCTTGCCGTCACGGACTGTCAAATCAGGTTCAAGAGATACACCAAAGAGGACTAACAAGGGATCAGGTTGTATTATTATTCTTGAAACTTACAATGAGCAAACAAAATATACTGTAAATATTTGTTGTTAAAATGAAATTAAAACAACTCTTCACTGAGCTGCATAGGTTGCGGATTGAACTAAATAAATACAGAGAGCTATTAGACTAGAGCTATTATTTTTGCAAGAAAGCATGGAGTTTTGCAATGACTTTAAGGATCAATGAAATTGTGTAAACTGCATTCTTTTTCAACAATGAGCAAATGCAGAACTGGTTTGAGCTATTCATGTGACTTTCATTCACAGGTCAAAACAGACACAAAGTTCACTGTTATACAGGTGACGTTTTGTTTAGATAAATGTCAGTGCTTACACATTAAGATCACTATTTAGTTGAGAAGGAAAAACCCCAGCAGGCTCACATTTGCTACAACAAGGTTAATGAAGGCAAATTGCGCTGTGCACAGGGGCAGAAAATATGTCACCAGCTTCATTATGTCTCTGTCGCCCTCTCTGTAAACACTTGACATGCAATGGCAGGAAGTGGGTTCATGAGTGGCTTTGCTAATGTTGGAAAGGAATCGACACGTTGCAGTTCAAAGGAAGCAACTTTTGGTGCTGTGATTTGTTTTTAGATTGGAGGATCGAATGAGGTGATGTAATGATTACATTTGTGTCTTTGTGTCCTGATGATAAAAGTAAATCATGTTGAACGTACACTCACTGGCCACTTTATTAGGTACACCTTACTGGTACCGGTTTGGACCCCCTTTTGCCTTCAGAACTGCTTTAATCCTTTGCAGCATAGATTCTACACGGTACTGGAAATATTCGTCTGAGATCCATATTTGGTCCATGATAGCATCATGCAGTTGCTGCAGATTTGTCAGCTGCACATCCATGATACGAATCTCTTGTTCCACCACGTCAAAGGTGCTCTATTGGGTTGAGGCTGGTGACTGTGGAGGCCAGTTGAGTACAGTGAACTCATTGTCATATTCAAAAAAGCAGTCTGAGATGATTCTCGCTTTATGACATGACGCATTGTCCTGCTGGAAGTTGCTATCAGAAGATGTTGCCATCAAATTGTGCAATTTTAGTGAGTCTGTGCGAATTGTAGCCTCAGTTTCCTGTTTTTAGCTGACAGGAGTGGCACTCAGTGTGCTCTTTTGCTGCTGTAGCCCATCTGCCTCAAGGTTGGACATGTTATCCATTCAGAGATGATCTTCTGCATACCTCAGTTGTAACGAGTGCTTATTTGAGTTTCTGTTGCCTGTCCATCAGCTCGAACCAGTCGGGCCATTCTCCTCTGACCTCTGGTGTCAACATGGCATTTGCATCCACAGAACTGCCACTCTCTGGATATTTTATCTTTTTCTGTAAACCCTAGAGATGGTTGTGGGTGAAAATCCCAGTAGATAAGCAGTGTCTGAAATACTCAGACCAGCCCGTCTGGCACCAACAGCCATGCCACGTTCAAAGTCACTTAAATTATCTTTCTTCCCCATTCTGATGCTTGGTTTGAACTGCAGCAGATCTTCTTGACCTAATAAATTGGCCAGTGAGTGTAGGTTTTGCATGTAAAAGATAGGAAGTGTGAATTACAATCAGTAAAGCATTACACAAGTAATTTTTATTTATTGAAATCTATCTTAAATCTAATTTGTTCCTGTGATGGTAATGCTAATTTTGCAGCGGCTGTATTTTCAGGCTTTAGTATTAGCTGATTTTACAGAAATAGTTTGAATTTTTACTTATTTTTTCAACATTTCTATCTTTTTCTCATCTACTTGAAAACAAATGACTGTTTTCAACATTATTTGATGGATAAAGTTCAAAACAACTGTAAAATATTTATTTAAAATTTTTTTAACAACACAAAGGTTCTGGCTTATGAAAAGTTTTTTTTAAATATAAATTTTACCAATATTATGCATAAATACACAATAAATCACCATTGGTTGATACTGGTTATTTAACTGTGGATTTCCTAGATACCCATGCTTTTATGAAATATCGCTTTACAGCACCAATAAATAAATGACACAGTTAAATGTGATTTGTTTTTATCGATGAACTCTTAAACTATCTTAAAACACATTATCTTTATTTCAATATCAGATCATGCCTAAGACTGTTATATTTACTATTGAAGTGACATAAACGTACATATAACAGAAAATTTAGAATTAAAGATTTAGAACATGAATCCAACAACTAGCTGGTGCATTTTTAAAATGAAGTATTGATGTTAAACCGGCCAACAAAACCCTCTCTGTGTGTTGTGTCTTTCAGGATGTGGCCGCGCTCCTCCTCTCATGATTGCTGGTGGAAGAGTGTTTGTTATTCCTTGCATTCAGCAAATCCAGAGGTATGTATCAAATTACAATAGGAGACTGATTGTTAGAACATGTTAGTGCTCGAAAACACATGGACAGGAATCATTCTGTTTAACCAAGCGTCACGGTGCGAGTCTAATGCAGTCTGAGAGTCACGGGCCTCATGAATGATGGGAATTAAAGCAAGCAACGCTCTATGGGCAGTGAGACTCTTGCTGTTTACATTCCTCTCCATGTATACATGACAGGATTGATGAATCACTTAAAGAAAAAGCTCTTAAAGAAAACCTTTTTACCTTTTTGTAGATCTCTGCAGTAGTTTGCACAGCATCATTTATCAAATTCTGCTTGTAATGGTAGCCACACTCACTTTGAGTCTCATTAGTCAGGTTTTTTGAGGGATTAATTCCCCAGCATAATCTAGAGATACTATATATGTGAGTGGAACGAATCATTTGTCCATATTGGGCTCTATTTTGAGACCTTTTTTAGCTTATTTGCGACTTATAAATTATTTGCAAAAATTAATACGATAAACTTAAAGGGCTCTATTTTGACGGTCCATGCGCAGACCGCAAAACGCAGGGCGCAAACGCTTTCAGGGCGTGTCAGAACGCATTTTTGCTAATTTACGGACGGAAAAAAGCGCTTCGCGCCAAGGCGCATGGGCTAAAAGGGTTGAGTTAATTTTCTTAATGAGTTATAGGTGTGTTTTGAGAATAAACCAGTTAGAGTCTCATCTCCCATTCCCTTTAAGACCCAGCTGCGTCGCGCCAAGAGCGCATTCGCTATTTACAGGACGCAAAGTAAGTCTAAGTGGAAAAAATGAGGATTTCACAAGCAAACAGTTAACAGTTGACAGTTTTTTACCAGAAAACTGTTAAACAGAGCATCTACTGCGTGAGAATGAGAGATAATGGATCTACTTTCACTTTCGCTCTTGGATAGGGAAACCTTTACGCACAGACATCTATTAGCCTATAAATAATTAATTTCGTTTGTTAAGCGCAAAGATTTGTTTCAAAACTATTTCTAAATTCAGTTCTAATTTCTAGCAAACGAATAAATGAACAATAATGACCAAGTGTGGTCAAAATACTGAGTTATTTCCAAATACACCTGCCATGCCCCATATGGTCTAAAACCTGACAGTTGGGCAAATCTAAGCTTGTTTTTAATAAAACAAATATAAATATGGATATATTAAATAATACTGCTAATAATAATAACGTTATACAAATGCAAATTGTTATGAATGAACTGCAAAAGCCTCCCGAGATGAAGAAGGCATAAAAGCAGTGATTTTTCATATTTATGTAGGCTAGAAAATAATATGTTTTGTAATATTTTAATCCTTTATATTTATATCCTATATCTATTCTTATTATATCCTATATATATATCCTTAATATTAAAATTTTTTCGTATGTAAAGATATTGCTCTCTTGTGCGTGTTAAGCAGTACGTAAGTGAGGCGCAACTCTGTGCTGGAGTTTAGACTGGGTTTGTTTTGGTCTAATGAAAAATCTATTATAGTTTCTCAAAATAGCGACGCGCCAGTGGTCCGCCTCAGAACGCCTTCCTTTTTAGACCAGAACGCCTATGGGCGCACAAATGAGCGCTAATGCATTTGCTATTTAAACATCGTAGCGCAACGCCTCAAAACGACTCTTGCGCCAAGCTGAAACTACCAAAAGACTATTGAGCCGCGTCTTGCGCCACACTGCGCCGGGTGTATGATAGGGCCCAAAGACTCCAATAGCCAAGTGCGACTACATTTATATTTTTATGCAAGTTTAAGTTCCGCTGCAGTATTTAGCTCACTGTAAAATGTACAGTAACATTTTTGTATGGCTTATAATGCATGAAACGGTTGAAACAAATTATACTGTGAATGTTAACACTCACAAATCAGCTCTGTAAAATTAGTTTAGGTTTGATGGTTTTTAGTAGAAATCTCTTTTTTGTACACAAACTGTCTCTTACATGAGATTGATAAATAAAAAACACAACAATCCAATTAATTCCAACCATTGCATCTTTATTGCAACTTTAAAAACATCATCATTATAGGTGTGGTCCACTACGATATCATATTTTAAACTTTAGTTGGTGTGTAATGTAGCTGTATGAACATAAACAGCATCTCTGAATGTAAAATGCTCAAAGCTTAATGCAAAATAAGACATTGGTATTTACATAGTTAGCTTAGCAAAGCCTACAATGAACGAATTTTGGGAACTACAAAAAATACCTCCGACCCTTGTGAGATCACAAACGTACCTTTACCGTGCACACACACTGCGCAGCTAAGAGCCATGGCCAGAGGCGATGTAATGTTACAGGAGAGGGAGAAAATGCCATCCTGCTATTTCCACAGAGCTTCTTCTGTTTCTGTATTTGGGCTTCCAAAGGACATGACACAGAGACAGAAGTTCTTACAGTTCAATATTAATTATGTTCCAGAGAATTATAAAATACATAGCAAGCATGATTTGGCTAAACACAGCGACCAGAATCTCTCCCAGTTCAGTGCTGGATTCGGTTAAAATCTCCTCAAAGATAGAGCAGCTACAACAAGCAGACGCTGTGAACTCTGAGCCACGACCTGTAAGTGTTTTTATTTGTTAAAATTGATCATGACATGTACAGTGTCTAGCCTTAACGATATGTTGTAGCAAAGATGTAAAAAACGGGAAATGCTGTTCGCCACCGCTAACGATTTAGCTACAAAATCATATCTATCAGTCAAACTGCTGTAAACACACACACACACACACACACACTTCCAGTGCGTGCGTGTCTCTCTATGTGTGTGCGACTGCAGTGTTTCTCTAAGGGCAGCTTTTTCTTGCATTCTACATTTCAGGTAATGAACTCGCAAAAGATATGTGAACAATTCATGTTACTTACACAGGCATATTCTGAATATATGTGAAAGACGTCGTGTAATGTGTTGAGTTAAAAAATACAGGAGAGCTCGTCTAGCTCGTGTAGCAGCAGAAAAATCAATCAAGGCTCACACAGGTCGCATCCCACATCTTGTGCTTTATTCTCCTGTCAGTGTCTCTGTAAATTACAGAAAATAACTTAATCCGAGCATCAGAGAAAAAGAAAAATAAACATCGGTTCCACACACATGCACTTCTCGTGTTACAGATAGTTAATAGTATACACACGCACACACATGAACACACACACAATGGCACACATACACACTCTTAAAGGAGCCGCACCCCATGTTCACTCATTACAGACACTTGTCAGATGTTATTTTAGAGAGCGAACATGAGGTTGACTGAAAACGCGCATGCTTGTACGGGCGTGACGTGGAGCCGATTCGTGAATCGCAGCACATTATGACACATGATCAAATCAGAGTCACTTGAGGGCGGGCCTTTCAGAGGAACTAGGAAATATATCAGTCGTTTTCACGTTAGCTAAGTAGCTGTATATAATCAAAACGAGAATTTTGAAAAAATAACATGATTTCCTTCAAGTGAAACATGAGCACACATTGCTTTGCATCTTATCAACAATACAAAACCTTTAAATTACATCCTGAACCACCCCTTTAATTGCTACTTTTTCACTTGTTTGCTTTTTTCTTTTTCACCCAGGATCACTCTCAATACTCTGACTCTGAATGTGAAGAGTGACAAGGTCTACACCAGACACGGTGTCCCAATCTCAGTGACTGGCATTGCCCAGGTTAGAGACACACACACTTATCAATTCCCTGTTACGTTATGTTGTTGTCAGTTTCAATTGAGTGCTGATGCTTATGTGCCGCGCAGGTGAAGATCCAGGGTCAGAATAAAGAAATGCTGGCCGCCGCTTGTCAGATGTTCATGGGCAAGTCCGAGGGTGAGATTGCTAATATTGCCCTGGAGACCCTTGAGGGACATCAGAGAGCCATTATCGCCCACCTGACTGTGGAGGTATTTCACTCATTTGTATTTTATATCACACACATGTACATAATGTAAGAAATAGCTGACATTTTGAAAATAGACATGATAAGGTTGTACACACAAGATGTCGAATCGTTCTCTCAAGACTTCTGGATAAATTGTAGAATATTTATCATTAATCAAACTTAAATGTTGTGCATGACTCTTTTAAGTGTTTTGTGATTTGTATGTTATTTTTGTATAATGAATATTATTAAGAAATCAATATGATTGCATGTTATATATTGTATTTTAGTATATGTTTTGCCATGAATATAGCCAATGCTGCTGATATGGCATTAAAACATAAATAAATAAATCACACACACACAGACAAGAAGAAGAAAGATTTTTGTAAAAACCTTTTTAAATAGACCTGAAGGGTTTTAGTGCCAAAATTAACAAGCAACCTTTGGAGACCAAGACATTTTTGTAATACAGCTCTTATCTGATAACTGTACGGTTTCTCTGTGTTTGCCTCTACAGGAGATCTACCAGGACCGTAAAAAGTTCTCAGAGCAGGTCTTTAAGGTGGCTTCCTCTGACCTGGTCAACATGGGGATTGGTGTTGTCAGTTACACACTCAAAGATGTGCATGACGATCAGGTGATTCCATGTACTTCACACTCTAAACCAGGGGTCACCAATCACGGTCCTGGAGGGCCGGTGTCCCTGCAGGGTTTAGCTCCAACTTGCCTCAACACACCTGCCTAGGTGTTTCAAGTATACCTAGTAAGAGCTTGATTAGCTTGTCCAGGTGTGTTTGATTAGGGTTGGAGCTAAAACCTGCTGGACACCGGCCCTCCAGGAACAAGTTTGGTGACCCCTGCTCTAAACAAACATAATTTAGGGGCTCTATGTCTTTTAAAATTAAAATAAAACAGTACACAAGTCTGGCGACACGGTGGCGCCGTAGGTAGTGCTGTCGCCTCACTGCAAGAAGGTCGCTGGTTCGAGCCTCGGCTGGGTCAGTTGGCGTTTCTGTGTGGAGTTTGCATGTTCTCCTCACATTCGCGTGGGGTTTCTCCTGGTGCTTCGATTTAGAGATCTGCGCGGGACTAAATTTTGAATCCCGCTCCCGCCAGGTTTTAGACCGAACCTGACATTTGCTGTTCCGCTGCCCACCCCGCCCTGTTTTCTACCCACCGCGCCCGCTTCCGCTAACGAGCGGGGGGAGAACAAAACAAAAAACCACCCAGCAATACAGATTCCAGGCAGCCGATAACAAGCTGTCTGTATAAAGACACACACACACACACAAACATAAGCACCAAGCAAGTGACACACACACATAGGCATCACAACACACACTCACACACACACACACACACACACACCTCTCATTCGCGCACACACACACCCACGCATGCGCACACACACACGCGCATACACACACATCAACAAACAAGCTAAACGCAGCATCACGCTGTCTAATTCACACACATACATACATGTGCTTACTTGCTTGGGAGTCGGGAGCAATATTGTTAGACCGCCCGCTCTCGTCCAAAATTAAACCAGTTACCGAACGCTCCCACGCTTTATTCGGAAATTTATGCAGACCCCAACTACAGTTTGCCCCTCAGTACAAAGACATGCGGTACAGGTGAAATAGGTAGGCTAAATTGTCCGTAGTGTATGTGTGGGAATGAGATTGTATGAGTGTTTCCCAGTGATGGGTTGCAGCTGAAAGGGCATCCACTACGTAAAACATGTGCTGGATAAGTTGGCGGTTTGTTCCACTGAGGCGACCCCAGATTAAAAAAGGGACTAAATCGAAAATGAATGAATGAATGAAACACAAGTGTTTTGTAAGGGATAGCATGTTTCTCAGGGGGACGCAACACTTAAGGCTGATTTATACTTCTGCGTCAAATGCCAGCGTATGCTACGGCGCTGACGCACAGCCCTTCGCCGTGGCCGTCGGCGTAGCTGACGTGCACCTCTCAAAAAATGTAACTACATGTCGCAACGACGCGTAGTGTAAGCTCTGTGATTGGTCAGCTTGGTAGCGCTGACGAGTCTGGGCGGGACCAAGAGCTGCGTGAATGGTGCGAGCCTGATGGAGCGATTGTTTACAAGTGTGGAGTCCGGTGAAGGAGCTCCGGATGGAAAGTTTTGTTTTGTGTTTACCTCATAGTTAAAGTTGTTGCACATCCGCCAGTTCCTGCCTCAAAATTAGCAAGTTTGAGCCACTTGTACATCCTGGAAGCGCGTTGCATGCACCGTGGGTTACGCCGGTCACTTGAAGCAGAAGTATAAATCAGGCTTTATGTAAAAGAATGCAGATGGTTGCCAGAGAATGTGTTTTTTTTTAACACAACATTTCTTGGGGGAACACTTTAACAAATTGTTTATGCAAGAACACAAACAGATTAAAATATTGCATATGCTTTGCTAGAGAATCCACATTTTTTTGGACTGCGAGGAAATGCTAGATTTTCCTCTGTAATGCATAGTTTTTTCAAGAGAACGCAATAATTTAACAGGAGTATGTAAATGATTTCAACACAATGTCTTTGAATATGCTATATTTTTGGTAGAAAATACAAATGTTCTGTAAGAGAATGCAAATGTTTTGTGAGGTAACTGAAATATACTGTAATAGACTGCAGTGTTTTTTCTTGACATAAATGTTTTGTGAGAGAACAAAATTTTCTTGTGACCCAAAATCAAATGTTTTTATAAATTGCAAATGTTTTGCCAGCTAATTTTTTAGTGCAACTCAAAAATTTTGCGAGAAAATACTAAATTATCTCTGTGGAATTTAACATATGTATTTTTTAGAGAGTGCATACATTTTGCAAGAGAATACAAAGGTTTTGTAAGCAAACTCCCTTTTATTTGATCAAAGAATGCTATGAGAAAATGCAGCGGTTAATGTGCAAATGCATTACTTTTGAAAGTGTTTATGAAAGCTAAATTCTTTGAAAAAGCAGAACTTTTTCAAAAACATTTTCTTCCAATTATATCTTTCCAATTCTGCTTTTTCCTATAGGTTTACTGTAGGCTGTAGTTGTGCTAATATTTCTGTCAAAAGTACAGCAAATATAACAATAAAAAGATTTATGTTTTTGCAGAATAAATAAATTCTTTTACAGATTCTAGACTTTTAAAGCATAATATATTTGTAATAATACATGAATTTAAGTCTGAAACTGACCTGTCTTACAGGATTATCTAAGCTCTCTGGGTAAAGCTCGTACTGCTCAAGTGCAAAGAGACGCTCGTATCGGTGAAGCTCAGTTCAAGAGAGATGCCGTCATCAGGGTGAGATTTTTTTTTTTCAAGATCTTGTTGTGATTATATGATGTTGGATAAAACTAATCAAGTGAAATGTGTGTGTTTGTGTGTATAGGAAGCTCACGCCATGCAGGAAAAGGTCTCTGCTCAGTATAAGAATGAGATCGAGATGGCTAAGGCTCAGAGAGACTTTGAGCTGAAGAAAGCTGCCTATGATGTTGAGGTCAACACCAAGAAGGCCGAGTCTGAAATGGCCTATCAACTTCAGGTACCAAATGATATTAAACTTGGTTTCCAGCTTCCAGAAGGAAAAAAACTTCACCATATGGCGAAAGTGAATAAAAAAAAAAACCTTGAGAGAAACCAGACTTTGTGATCTGAAGAAGTTTGAAAATTTCGTCATTCTGCGTGGCGGGAAACAGCTCTGTTTTTCACTGTTTTTTAAATAAACAACTATGTTCATCTAAATTCATAGTTTGGTATTTCTATGCTTCAGAACAATCAAAAGCTTACTTACAGCACCTTTATGTCACTTCCAACTACATTTTATAATGGTTGTTATTTGAATTAGGTGGCTAAGACCAAGCAGCGTATTGAGGAGGAGAAGATGCAGGTTCAGGTTGTGGAGCGAACGCAGCAGATCATGCTTCAGGAGCAGGAGATCACCCGCAGAGAGAAGGAACTGGAGGCCAAGATCCGCAAACCAGCCGAGGCTGAGAGATACCGCATTGAGAAGCTCGCCGAAGCAGAACGGTGTGGAAACTGACAGTTAGACACAAACACTGGGGTTCAAAGAAGTTGTTTTTGCATTTTGTGCAATTAAACACACATTCTGCTTTAATAATGAAAAAATTGAGATGTTATAATCTTAAAAAACCATGTCGTCTCTCATCCAACAGGCTTCAGTTGATCATGGAGGCGGAAGCTGAGGCAGAGTCCATAAGAGTGAGTTTTCAATCTGTTCAAATTTCCTTTCATTTGGATTTAGTTTGCTTTCAGTCATTTAATCGGAGGTGGTCAGATAAAACTCAATGCTTTTTTTGGACATTCAAGGTCAATAAGGTTGTACTGTCGATAAATCGTAGATATTTTATTGGCTAGTATTTTCTAAAAGTGACTGCAAGTGAAGTTTTTGAAATCAATTGAAAATCTTACACATTTTTGTTTAGATATTTTTTATTGATTTTCAGTTTTTCAAATGGGAAAGAACAACAATACGAACCCCAAACCTATACCAATCCAACAGTGGGATCCGCTCACATTAGCCAAAAATAAACAAATATACAATTGTACATGTAGGTTTAAATGCAAATACAAAGACATAATAATAATTATAATAATAATAACAATAAATAAAAATAAAAACAAACAAATAAATAATAATATTTTTTTAAATTAATAAAACATTTAATCAATAACTTTGCTAACATATAACCATACATACCATATGTACAGCAAAATCAAATTATTTGAGATTTTCCACAAAATCAATAAAAGGTTGCCACAACCTAGAAAATTTCCCCTCCTACCCTCCTAATGAAAACCTGATTTTTTCTAAATAAAGACAAGACATCATTTCTCTAATCCACTGAGCATGAGTGGGAGGATGAGAATCCTTCCATTTTAGCAAAATAGCCCTACGTGCCAATAAAGTCGAAAAAGCACTGATTTTACACTTTGAAGAAGGCAACTGTATTTCCTCTGAAGTAACCCCAAACAGTGCCACCTGTGGATCTGGATCTAGCTTGTGCTGAAGAGTCACAGATAACGTATCAAATATTAACCTCCAGAAATGTTCTAAGTTGGGGCAAGTCCAGAACATGTGAAATAAAGTGCCTTCAGCACAATTACATCTATTGCATAAAGGACTAGTACTAGGAAACATTTGGGCTATTTTAGTCTTAGAGATATAAGCTCTGTGGACTACTTAAAATTGAATGAGAAAGTTCCAGACACACATTAATGATGAGTCAATTTTTTTAAGAATATGGTCCCACAGATCATTCGAAATTGAACCACAAAGATCCTCTTCCCAAGAAAATCTTACACATTTTAAAAACATTATTTAACCCTTGTGTGCTGCTGGGGATGTATTTTATCCACTCTTGGGTGATTTTGAGCCTTATTATGGCCACAGCTTTTTCTCTGTTTCAGCAAATAGAATAATTGTAGGTGCATAGGGCTGGGAGACTAAATAAAGACTATTGTGATTCACCTTTTGTCAGTACAGCCATTTCTAATAAACCTCAAGCATGTCCATTAAGATGGAGCAGCGTTTACTAAACAGAGCTGTAGTTCACTGACAAGCTTCGCAAAATCTTGTTTAAAATCACTCTTTGATAGTTGTCACTTGTCAGTGAACTATAGTGATGGGTCGTTCATGAATGATTCGTTCATTTTGAACAAATCTTTAATATGACTCGGGAACTACGAGTCCTCTCAGGGAGTGATTCGTTCATCCGCGCGTGAGCACATTTGAGCAGGTAGTATCGTTAATTTCAAGTATTCATCACATTGGCAGAAGCCAATCATATGCGTTTAGAGCCGGAAAAAGTTTTGATCCGCTCACCTCTCGAGTCCTCTATCGGGTCTGAGTCACTCGTTCATCACGGGCCAATCATATGCTTTTAGAGCCGGAAAAAGTTTTGATCCGTTCATCTGTCGAGTCCTCTATCGGGTCTGACTCACTCGTTCATCATGAGCCAATCATACGCGTTTAGAGCCGGAAAAAGAATTGAACCGTTCATCTCTCGAGTCCTCTGGTTTGAGTCATTCTGTCACGTGATGAACGAACGATCATGGCTTCTATCGGCTTAGACTGTGCATTGATTAAGATTATATGTGACTGTCAGTGTAACGTGAATGAACCCCTGACATTTGAAGACATGAAGAGGTGAGCTGAGCGAAGAGACAAAAATGCCTTCATAGACAAAAGAGCAGGTAAACATTGAATTATTATTTTCTCCCTCTTATATACTATTTATGACTTATTTGTCATGTGATCAACCTTTTGGGCTAATTGTAGATGTGTTTGGAAGCAATTTGTAACATTTTAATAATATTTTGGCAAATTAAACCAAATGAACGAAATAGCCGCGTTTCCACTTTCGTGCCTAAAGCGAGCGAGCCAAGGCCAGTGGCGTTTCCACTGTCACTTCCGGGGCCTAATCGGGCCAAAGCGGGGCTTTCTTGGGGCCAGCGGCTGGCCTTTTTCGGCCCGCCGAATACCTTGGGCCAAAGAGGGCCAGCCGGGGCTTCGGGGCGGAGTGAAAGGAGAGGCGGGCACAGTTTTCCGATCACACTCGAGTACATGCGCCAAACACATAACAAATAAATAAATAAGAGAAAGAAAACATCTGGAACAAATTATAGGCTGGGGTCTTTTTTGCAAATGATCGCCCTTATGTTTCTCTTTTAAATGTAAGGTTGTTGCATAAAATGATAGTTTTAATAGGCTAAGTCACTTTTCTTTGCTGTATCTCTTTGATGTTTCAATAACGCATACTAATCTTTACACCATTTTAAAGACACAGCAGACAGTAAAGGATTTCAAGAGGTTTTGTCAAGTTTAATAAGTGTTTTTGCGCGTTTAGATACCTGTGCGTGTGCGAGACCGAGGAAAAGAGCGCTCCATTCATAGCTCTGTTGATGCCGCGAGCGGCTTTTTTCTTTTCTTTTTATTGTTTTAATTTATTTCGGAGATAATACACTGTATGAATACAACAGAAAGACATTAAACTTTACAAATTTCATGTCCGCTTTTGTAGGCTCAAAACAATAGTGTCATATCTAGATAAAATAGCCTAAGCTAGCCTATATTTAAATAATTTAAAGAATTACAAATATCAGATAGGCCTATAATAAAATCACATTAATAAATAAATAAACCAATATAAAACTAACAAAAGCTATAGCTATAACAATTAGGTACTATATCAAACTGTTTTAAATTTATATTAAACTTTCATTTTTCAAAAGCCTCTTTGAAAAAAAGATTTTCTAAAAAATAAATAAATAAATAAACACCGGAAAATGTTTTAAATATTATTTATAAAGTATTTGGATACGATGATATTAATCAAATCATGCAAACAGAGCATTTTCGGGGTGAGTGAAAGCAGAAATAGGCGACCTTTTTTTCTGTCTGCAGCTGCGCAGCACTTTTTTGACGGGGAAAACTGCAAGTTCAAAATGTGTTCTGTGTCCTCAAACAAGTGTGTATGTTTTTATATAACAAGGTAAAATTAAAAAATGAAATTTTAAATACATAAAGAGCTTTATTAGTGCATAGCTGCTGAGCGCAACGAAATATAGGCAATATTTTATTACGTGCTGCTCTTATGCTGAAACACTGAACACTTTACTTTACTTAAGATATAATAAGCAACATCTTTAAATAAAGGGAATCACCTATTAAGTGTCGTAAAGCCTATAGGAAAAAATAATCATCTTTCAGTTCTCTCCGGAGCATTTGGGATGAATGTTGGACAGCGTCTGTCTAGAGGATGTTATAAAATACATTTTATATCGAGTTATTAATGAAGAATTTTATATATGTGGTGTTATATTATGGATGTGTGCGCTCCCTGCGCTGGGTCCCTCCGTTGGTGGCAAGACCACTGGATTTCGATGCCAGTCGGTCGGCGAGTAAATGATGAATGAAAACACACAGGCATGTGCGTATAGACATGCGTTGTACTGCTGTACAGTAACGTGTCATTTGTTTGTTTTGGTTGTCCTTATTTTAATAGTTTCGTGATGATGTGGTGTGCTTTATCTGCATGATTCTCGCTGAAGTGGGCGGTTTGAGTGACGTTCGATTCGGGGGATGTTCTGGGGGCGGGGTTTGCTGACGCGCTGCAAGCTACTAGCCCCACAGTGGAAACGCGACATGATTTCGGCCTCACTGCTTAACCTCCCAGGCGATTGGCCCGGCCTGGCCCGATATAAGCCCTGGCTCGCACTGGCCTGATAGTGGAAATGCGGTTATTGACTCGAAAAAAGATTTGTTCATCTCGATGAACAAGACTCAAAGATCCGAGTCAGTAAAATGATCTGAACTTCCCATCACTAGTGAACTATGGCTGTGTGTAGTGCTGCATATATTTTGAATAAGTTGTTTAATTCATAATTATATTAAATAACACTTATGAAGAATGAGATCGCGATGGCTAAGGCTCAGAGAGACTTTGAGCTGAAGAAAGCTGCCTAAGATGTTGAGGTCAACATCAAGAAGGCCGAGTCTGAAATGGCCTATCAACTTCAGGTACCAAATGATATTAAACTTAGTTTCCAGCTTGTAAAATAAAGACTGGGAGACTATTTCAAGGAATACAAAAAATCGTGTAAAACTAGGTAACCACAACAAAAAGTTTATTTAAAAACTAAGTTGTTTAATTCATAATTATATTAAATAACACTTATACTCCCAGCTCTCTTCACAACTTCAGCCCTGTGTTTGAAATGGTTCTGTGAAATGGTTCTGTAGCCGTGTGCATCCCATGCTAGGTGTAAACTGAGCTCTTGTGTGTCAACTGCGCACACAACACACACCTCTTTAACACCCCCTCTCACGTTTTAATCTATTTCTGTCTCTTTCAGATGAAGGGAGAGGCCGAGGCCTTTGCACTGGAGGCGAAGGGTCGGGCTGAAGCTGAACAGATGGCTAAGAAGGCAGAAGCCTTTAAAGGGTACAAAGAAGGAGCCATGGTGGACATGCTGCTGGAGAAACTGCCACTGGTCAGTGCATCACAACTTTTTCAGTGTCAAAAGAAAAAGTTCAGAGTTGTCCAGTTTGTGACAGAACTGTTTTGGGCCCGTTATTTTTTCAGCTCTCTTTATTAACTCAATTAAGTCAATCAAAACTTTCTTTCAGATTTGCATGACTTGCCTGTAGACTTTAGTCTGGGTGGACTCGTCTTAGTCCAAATGTTCATTTTGTTATCTGAATGTAAATGAGGCTAATTGTTCAGCTGATGAAATGCCTTTTCTACACCAAAACTCCATAAAATGGTTTTGAATCTGGCTCATTGTGGATAATTAAGTGGTATGAGATAATAGTATATTATACCTCTAAATTATTTGGGATTTTTTTGTTATTGTTAATTAGACAGTATTTCATGGTCAAATTATGATTATATTTAATTATATGGCTAATGGTTTAGCCCTGTCATAGATAAATAATATTACCCTAAATGCACAACTATGTTGCAACAAGGTTGTGTCTTAGTAAGGATTTAAAAGATTTGTTCAAAATGGCAGATTCATTTATGAATAGGCTCATTTTCACCGTCGAGCCAGTGTGAGCCAGGGCTTTTATCGGGCCGGGCCAGGCCAGGCCAATCGTCTGGTTGCTTGGGCAGTGAGACCGAAATCATGTCGTGTTTTCACTGTCAGGCCAATAACACAAACCTTGCCCCCAGAACATCCCACGAATCAAACGTCACACAATCCACCCAGTTTTGTGAAAATCAGGCATATAGAGCACACCATCGTATCATCACAAAACGGTTCAAATGAAGACAACCGAAACAACCAACTGACATGTTACTGTACAGCATTACATTATATGTCTACACACCGATCAGCTGTTGGCATCTAAACGAGCATGTTTCATGCACAAACACCTTTTAAACTTGACAAAATCTCTCGACAACTGAAAGTTACTGGCTGCTTTATCTTTAATATGGTGTAAAGATTTTTATGCTTTATTGAAACGCCAAGAAGGACGCAGCAAAGAAATATCACTTGTTACATTAAAACTACTTTAATTAATATTTTATGCATCAGCCTTAAATTCAAAAGGGAAACATAAGAGTGATCTTAAGCAAAAGACTCCTATTCTATAAGGTGTTTTATGGAGTATCATAAACTGACCACTAGCTGTTTTTTTCCCTTATTTATTTATTTTTTGGCACGTGTTCTTGTGAGTGATGGGAAAACTAGTGTAATGACAGCGGCACACCATCTTGCAAACTCCACCTCTGCTTTCACTCTGCTCCGAAGCCCCAACTGGCACAAAAGGTATTCAGCAGGCCGAAAAGGGCCAGCCGCTGGTCCTGAGAAAGCCCCACTACGGCCAAATCAGGCCCTGGAAGTGACAATGGAAATGCGACTGGCCCTGGCTCGGTCTGGCTCGCTCGCTTTAGACGCGTCAGTGGAAACACGGCTATTAAGTCTTTATAAATGAATAATTAGCTCAAATGTTTTGTTAAAAAAGAAATTCATTCAGGAATGAAACATTGCAGTGTTGCATTGAGGTACTCAAATAGTCTGCTCAGGGATTTTATATGACTGTTTTTATTGAGAAAACAGAATAAAAAGTTTATTACTCAATATTAACTACTTGTTTGTTGAGTACAGTCAAATCACATTTGCAGTCTTGCTCACATGCACATTCTGTTTTGTGATATTAATTGTATGTCACTAATATTAAAGACAGAAACCCATACAACTCAGTTTTCGCTTTTATAAGTTCAGTGTTTCTCAGCCACATTCCTGGAGGCCCACCAACACTGCTTTTTACCACCAATTACAGGTCTTTCAGTCTCCACTAATGAGCTGATGATATGAATCAGGTGTGTTTGGTTTGGGAGACATGGAAAAATGCAGAGCTGGTGGTCCTTCAGGAATATGGTCAAGAAACACTGACTTAGATTATAGTGTAATTCAGGCTACATTCTGATTCATCAAATAGTTTTTATTTTCATTATTAGTGGGTGCTTTAATAATTCCTTTGCGTATTCATGCATGGCATCATTGTACAATTAAAAATGAGTGACTTTTTTATTGACTCTGACAGAATGCTAGGTTTACTGCTATCTGTAATAAGATCACTCCTTAATATTTGTCCTCCACTCCTGCAGATGGCAGAGGAGATCAGCAAGCCGCTCTGTGCCGCCCAGAAGGTCACCATGGTGTCGAGTGGTGGGTCAGAAGTGGGTGCTGCCAAGCTGACAGGAGAAGTTCTGGATATCATGACTCGCCTGCCAGGCGCTGTGGAGAAACTGACTGGAGTCAATATCTCACAGGTGAACCCACATGACTAGCTGGCAGCTAGAAGACTTTGCTTTCTGCCTATCAGCTTGTTAAGTGTGACGTAACGCGAAGCGGCTTCCGGGTCCAAGCGCTCTATTCAACTGAATGGGGAGACTCATGAAATGGTAATAATAAACAATTACAAAGCGATTTAATGCTTTCGAAAATCACGATCGCAGTATATATGTCCATGCCTAATATCCAATGGCCAGAAAGTGATTCATTTTTTTATAAATTGTAAAATTTTTGGTATTTGTTATGCAGCAAGCCCAGAGATTGTTGTGTACACTATGACTTTATATAAAATTAACTTTAATGTGTGATAGGAATAAAACGTGATCATAAACGAATGATTTCTCCACTCAAATGAGTGGCGGCTTGGACCCGGAAACAGTATACATACGTCACAAACACGTCACCACTTAACAAGCGGATAGGGTCTGATTGTATCAGGCAGCAAATCACATGACATATAGCATCTGCATTTCTATTGGTACTGTATGTAATCTTTGACAAATTTTCTTCTATCGATCATCACGTCTTATTTAAACTGTGTTTGTGTGTTTATTTATGGTACGTCAGTATAGTTATTTACAATATGTGTGTAATTTCTGTGTGATGACTCGGCCCAGGCAGAATCTGTGGACATTTTTTGCTGTTTCTGCATAAACTGTTGTACAAAATGACTGCAGATTTATGTAGAATGATTTTGAGAGTATAGAACTAAAAACTTAACATGAGATTAAAAATAAACACTTTTTAAACTTTTCTTTAAGGTTTACAATGCAAATACAATTAAAAGCACGTCTGCTAAAAAAGCAAGTCTCTTTTAGGTAAATCTATTAAAAGACAGAAAATATTACTTTAAAAATTGTATTGTATTTAAACCATAAAGGTATGTACTTTTAAGGTATTTAAACCTTAAAGTCCCTTTAAGGCAAGTCACTCAGTGGCCATGTTTGAGACACCTCTCAGTATGCTCAGGTATTCTGTCTGAATAAAGAAACATCAAATCCTCCAAAACTGTTTGCCAAGCTTAAGATTACATTATGTATTTGAAATCACCAATTAAGTTAAACAACAACTGTCTCAAAAGTTTCATTTCTAAATGTTCAAACAAAATCTGCATATTTTCAGGATTCCCAAGCTAATGCGCACTCAAAAGAAACAAGATCACGACACCGACCTCATTTATGGCTGTGTTACACTTTATCATCCTCTAAGTAATTATCATCAGATCGCGCTGGTCTTCTGAAGTAATTCACAACTTTGTCTTGATGGCGAATCTCCTCCAGAAATGACAGCGACTATTTATTTACATGTTTGTGGGCGTTTGTGTAGTTGCTGTTATGTGATGTGTGTTTGACAGAACGGATTGTACCTCGTGCTAGTTTCATACAGATTATAAAACCAAAAACCTTTTGTTTTCAAGTATAGTTCGTTCATTTAAAAGCACAGATTTCAGCCTATATGAATATAGTCCTCATGTCTGTGAAGCAAGTATTCGCTAAGATTCCAGTGTGTTTGTTGACCGCTAAACTTGTAAAAGCACACGTCTGGTCAGAGCTTTACCCCCCGGAGAAACCTTATGCCCCATTCACACGGGGCGTCAACTTCAATGCTTCCCATTCACTTTGAATGGGTGACGTCAGGTGTTGCCGAACTGCATTGTGGATCTGTCGGCGCCGCTTCAGAGGCGTTGCTTGCTGCAGAAGTTGGGACTTACTTAACTTTTCAAGCGCCGATGGAAGTGTCAGCCTATCAGATTGCAGTATGCAAATACACCAGCTCAGACAGTGGCCTATTACTGACTAATTTTATTGACTGATGCTGCTATGACGAACGTGGCAACCCCAACTTCAGACCTGCCCTCTGTCAAGCATTGACGCTAAAGCCTCATGTGGATCGGACGTTAGTCTACAGCAGGGGTGGCCAATCCTGTTCCTGGAGATCTTCCTTCCTGCAGATTTCAGTTGCTACCCATATCAAACACACCTGAACAAATTAATTAGGGCCTGAACACCACGTGATAATTACAGGCAGGTGTGTTTGATATGGGTAGCAACTGAAATCTGCTGGAAGGTAGATCTCCAGGAACAGGGTTGGCCACAGCTGGTCTACAGCTATCGATGATTGGCTTCTGTACTAGTAGGCGGGGCTTCAATCACCATATAGACTGTTACACTTTCCCCCTTTCAAAACTAACGAGTGACATGTCTTGTGCATTCTATAGTCTTTGAAATTAATAAATAATATTACTGAAATTAATATATATTTACATAAATAAATGGATTGAATGATGGGCTCAAAAATCTGTGATTTCTGCGTGCGCAGATTCCTTGTGAGTCTAGAGATTAGGCATGGGAAGATAAACAGTTTCAAGGTTTATCACAGTTTTTTTTTTTTATTTTTTTTTTTATAAAATCTATGGTGTTCAATGGGGAAAAAGTTATTTTACCCAGACATTAAAAAAAAAAATCAAAAGTCATATTTTAGAGCAGTAATCACAAAACCTTGAAACCGTGATATTTTTATCTAATGTTATCATACTGTCAAAAATCTTAGGGTGCTTTCACACCTAGACTTTTGTTTCAGAACCTGTCTCGTTTGCCCAGTTAGTGCGGTTCGTTTAGTGCGGTTCATATGTGAATCCACCAATTGCTCTCGGGTCCGCGCCAAAACAATTGATCTGAGATCGCTTGAATGAGGTGGTCACGGCTCGATTGAAACAAACTCTGGAGCGGATCGATTGCAGTGAGAAAGCTATACGATCCAAGCCCAGTTATATCATTGTTTTATGGATATGTAATAAGCATACAGCTATATGAAGAGAGAATTATGAGTAGGGCGGGAGGTCATTCAACAGACATCCCAGGTCTCCCTGAAGTTTCGGGAGTCGTGCCTCTCCCTCTCGGTCCTCAAATGCGTCACGCACCCTTCTCACCCCTACCCACCGCATTCCTCCTTGCTCTTTAGACACGTTGCGCGCACCTTGTCAAACACCACCCAAACCACTACCATCCCCCTGACAGCTGAGTGAGACTCTGCAAAATAAACCGTGAAACTCTGACCAATGTGTGGAGAGTTTACTCACATGTGACTTGTTTTAGCTCTTTTGGTCCGTTTAGAAACTTTGCCGTGTGAAAGCGATCCGCACCAAGAGCATAGAGCAACAGTGTAACAAATTGAATCTCTGTTTCGGAACAACTGAATCTATTCACAGTTGTGAAAGCACCCTTATACTGGCCCATGCCTACTAGTAATGACAGAATATTTATATATTTTTTTCAATTTATGACTTAAAATAATTCAGCAACATCACATTTATACAAACAAAATCCAACTTCACTGTAAACCTAAACATCAACAGTAATTCAGTGAAGTTTAAATTAGAGATGCTAAAGCAGAAATAGTCATTTTGGAAAGCTGTTGTTTTTCATAAATACATAATTCTACTTAAATGTTGGATATTTTCAATAGTTTTAATCGAAATAAAAGAAAGTTAAAATCAGCATAAACAGCCATTCAGCGTACATTCAGGACTTTGGTAACTTTAAACACAACTGCTTTTCCGCTGCAGACTAACTAAATGTTTTTTTTGTTTTTTGTTAATCAGGCTGGTTTAACCCGCATGGGTTAATGAAGATGATGATGAAGGAAGCGGCTCTGATCCTGCATCTCCGCTCCTCTCGTCTGTTAGCATGTTTGCATGCCTGTTCTCCTACTGAAGCTGGAACATTTGAGGTCATGCTTTGCTTTTATATTCCACCAGTTACCTTCAGTTTTTATATTGTGTTTTGTGAATTGCATTATTTTGTCATACAGTAGTATAATGATCCTTTATATCACAGGTGTCACATCCAGTTTGCGGAGGGCCACAGCTCTGCACAGTTTATTTCCACCCCTAATTAAACACACTTGATAAAACGAATTGAGTCCTTCAGTTTTGTTAAGAGACCGGCAGGTAATTTTGTGAAAGCGGGGTTGGAACTAAACTGTGCAGAGCTGCAGCCCGTCAGGAACTGGATTTAACCCCTGTACTTTATATGAAGTTAGGTGAACTACATTGAATATTCAGGGAAGCAGGGCTGCATTTTTCCTTTCCTTTTGAAAGTTTTCTGTATTTCTAACTGTTAGAGCCACACAGGCCTGTTGAGTCCGGTTCAGTTTTTCTCCAAACCAAAGCGCGTTTCAGACAAATGCAGATATATAGATTTATATTCACCTCAAGTGCATTACTGAAGTCATACTCATGTTTAACTTGCATATCTTAATAAACTGCAATGTGTTTATGTGTTCTTGCCATTTTAAAACGGAAAAGTTTGCTTAAGGTGTCTTTTTAAAATATGGCACAATAACTCGTGATCCTACAGTCTGTGAAGGATTTTCCTGACACTACAGGTAAAAGAGAACTCGCTGATGTTGGACTATATTGAATTTGTATTATTTTTTTAAATGGGCCAGTGTGTTTCAGCAAAGTTTAGTAAGTAGGGGTGGATTGAGAAGTTTGTTACCAATGGAAAAGGATGTGACAATAGGTTTGGTTTTGAACACGGCCCACAAAAACTGGTAAAGAGTGAAGGTGGTTTTATTTCTCACTTCTTTTGTTGCAAAAATGCATTTAGTCTTTTACCGTGTTAGATGTTAGTTTGTTTTTACCATGCTGCTGTTTACTTCACACTAAAATCTAATTAACGTTAACAGGTAAACCAATAGTTCTTCAGTTAAAAGTGTTTTACTTCCTCATAGACTGACACTGAGTTCGGCCTGCTTTTTTCTTTCTCTCTCGTGTTTCAGTAACTGCGGCATGTCATGTGAAACTTCCTTGCCTTAATGACTAATTACCTTCAGCACTCTGCCGTCAGTTTGCTTTTACTACAGTAAATCCTCTTTTGCTGTCGTTTTTTACTCAACAGATTAACTCCGTATTGCCTTACTGTATGTTCATTGGTGATGTAGATGTTTTCACCTTAAACTGTAGATCTCTATATCAAGACTGAATGTAGATTCATATATGTGATTCTATAAGTATGTACCCTTTAATATGAACAATAAACTGTTAGCGTCTGCTGTACATTAAAACGGGTCCATTTGTGACTTTTGTGAATGTGTTTGCGCAAAGTCTTGAATGTGATTATTCCAGGTCCTGTGTTTTCCCTGTCCTCCTATGCACCATGAATAATTATATGATGTGTTGAAACTGTTACTGAGCTTTATATAATCTTTTACATTTTGGCCCTCAACAATAGAAAATAAAATAACAAAAAAAAAAAAAGTTTAGCATTTAATGTTTTTCAGATCATCACTAGTGTGAACTAAAACAATGACAAAATTAGCATTTAGAACATATTAATGTCAAAAGTTTGCAGTAATTTCTGCCTACATGGATCAACAATTTTTTTCTGCCTAAATGAAACGATTTCAGTTTCTCATCAAATCCTCACTTCCTCAGACCTATCAAATGCTCTTTAGTATGCGACATGCCCCACCCCCTTTAAGACGCTTTTCATTTGATGCGCTTAATCTCAACCTATGGAAGTTTTTTCCTAACAAAATTAAAATGAAAATCCAAATGCTTAAAAGATCAAACAATAAATCAAATGCTCAAACCGACTCGGCAAATGGTGAATCAAATCCTTAAACGACCCCGCAAATGGTGAATTGAATCCTCAAACCGACCCCGCAAATGGTTAATCAAATCCTCAAACCAACTTGGCAAATGGTGAATCAAATCCTCAAACCGACCCCACAAATGATGAATCCTCAAACAACCCCACAAATAGTGAATCAAATCCTCAAACTGACCCCGCAAACGGTGAATCAAATCCTCAAACTGACCCTGCAAATGGTGAATCAAATCCTCAAACTGACCCCGCAAACGGTGAATCACATCCTCAAACCGACCCCACAAATGTTGAATCAAATCCTCAAACCGACCCCACAAACGGTGAATCAAATCCTCAAACTGACTCTGCAAATGGTTAATCAAATCCTCAAACCGACATCGCAAATGGTGAATCACATCCTCAAACCAACCCCCCAAACGGTGAATCAAATCCTCAAACTGACCCTGCAAATGGTGAATCAAATCCTCAAACGGTAAATCAAATCCTCAAACCGACCCCGCAAATGGTGAATCAAATCCTCAAACGGTAAATCAAATCCTCAAACCGACCCCGCAAACGGTGAATCAAATCCTCAAACCGACCCTGCAAACGGTGAATCAAATCCTCAAACCGACCCCACAAATGGTAAATCAAATCCTCAAACCGACCCCGCAAATGGTGAATCAAATCCTCAAACCGACCCCGCAAACGGTGAATTAAATCCTCAAACCGACCCCGCCAATGGTGAATCAAATCCTCAAACCGACCCCCCAAACGGTGAATCAAATCCTCAAACTGACCCTGCAAATGGTGAATCAAATCCTCAAACGGTAAATCAAATCCTCAAACCGACCCCGCAAACGGTGAATCAAATCCTCAAACCGACCATGCAAACGGTGAATCAAATCCTCAAACCGACCCCGCAAACGGTGAATCAAATCCTCAAACCGACCCCGCAAATGGTGAATCAAATCCTCAAACCGACCCCGCAAACGGTGAATCAAATCCTCAAACCGACCATGCAAACGGTGAATCAAATCCTCAAACCGACCCCGCCAATGGTGAGTCAAATCCTCAAAACAATTCCACAAATAGTGAATCAAATCCTCAAAACGATTCCACGAATAGTAAATCAAATCCTCAAAACGACATTGCAAATGATACATTAGATGCAAATGAGGTGTCAATCAACAATCTTCTACATAGTGACTTTTTCTGTGATAAAATTTTATCTACTATTGATGATATAAATGGAGACTCAAATTTTGAGTCTTATATAGAGTAATGGGAATATTTAAAGGATAAAATTTGTCAGATATCTGTATCTTATGGTAAATTAGTAAGCAGGAATAAAAAATAAATAAATAAATAAAAAAAACAATTAGAAATTATTAAAGAAATGAACAGCATGTGTACTAAATCTCTCCTAAGTGATCTCCAAAAGCTACTATTACTCCAATCTGCGTTAGACAATATTTATGATGACAAAGCCAAAGGTGCAAATATAAGATTGAGAGCTAAATGGATATAGGAGGGAAATGAGTTCAGCATATTTTTGTAGACTGGAGAAAAAGAGACAAGAATGTAACGGTGTTAAATCCTTAATAATTACTGATCAAGAATGTACAGATCCTAAAATGATCTCTAATGAAATCTATTGTTTCTACAATCATTTATACTCCTCCTCTTATTCACATACAGATGCTGAGGCCTTTTTTAGTTATGTTGAAGATTGGATTCCAAAAGTAGATGAGGTTTTAAAAATGTTTGTGATGCAGATATTATTATGGGAGAAGTTGTAAAAAAATAAACGAGTGAAGAAGAGAGAGAACCCAGGAGTTATGATTAGGGATTATAGATCGCAAATGTCACCGTTCCAGTTACTATGACCATTTACGTGAAGCTGCTTTGACACAATCTACATTGTAAAAGCGCTATACAAATAAAGCTGAATTGAATTGAATTGAATAGATTGCCTAATTTAGCGATTTTTATTTTAGCTTTTTTTTTTAAAGCATGACAGTAAAACATAAACGTGGTTATGAATATATTAAAATGTGTTTGTTTGTTGTAAAAAAAAAAAAGTATTGATCGACAGCCCTACATTACACACTTCATGTGTACACAACTTTAAAAGTTTTTATTCTAAACATTTTATCTCCCAAAAAATAAAGATCCCAAAGCAAATACTTATAAAAAATATTGTAGTTTTATTAAACCTATTCATGGCAGATCATTTCCTTTTCTGAAAAGACGGCGCATCTGTCAATTAAATACATCTAATGTACTTCAATGATGGTGACAAGAAAATTCAAAAGATAAACAACAGAAAGTAAGATAAAAATGGTCTACATGGTACCACACAGTATCTATGATGGCCCGTTTCCACTGAGTGGTACGGTTCGGTTTGGTACACTTTTATGGCCGTTTCCACTGTCAATAAATGTAAGTAGATAAACGAAATGTTCAAATAGACTGATATGAGCAGCATATAATAGTGAAGAAAACAATACAGCATGCATAACATTCAGAAATACAGGAATGGAAGGGGTGGGGGTGGGGGTGGATATTGAAAAAAATATAAATATATACAATATTTCATTATCTTGTTCCAGGTTTAATATCGGTAGTTTTTAAAGGGCCAATTTGATTTTTCCTCCAAACAGGGGGGATCTGCAAGAAGAAAAAATACAATTACTATAAAACACTGTAATGTTGAAAACAATTTGTGCAAAACAAACATTTTATGAGTATTACTGTACATACAGGAGTTGGAGAGCTGGGTTCTAAATGTCGGCCTAGAAAAGAGAGAAGCTTTCTCCAGATAAGTCCACTTCCTAGAAACATGAATCCTGTCACCAGCCAAAACACACGTGGGTCCTAAACACACACACACACACACACACACACACACACACACACACACACACACACAAATATATATATATATATATATATATATATATATATATATCAATAAACAATGTTTTCTCATACCCATTTTAACCCTGGGTAAGGAAATGTTTCACTCCTGTAAATTGAGAACTTGAGCAGCGAATCTAATGTCACTGTCAGTGTTGGGGAAAGTTACTTTTGAAAGTAGTGCATGACAATATTGAGTTACTCCCCCAAAAAAGTAATTGTTACGTAGTTACTTTCTTTTTATGGAAAGTAATGCGTTATATTACTTTTGAGTTACTTTTGTTGTGCCAAGCCTGTGGCATCATATTCAAAAAGACTTGAGGCTGTAATTGCTGCCAAAGGTGCATCAACAGAGTATTGGACAAGGGCTGTGAATACTCATGTACACATGATTTTTCAGGTTTTATTTATTTTAAATAAATTTGCTACAATTTAAAAAAAAATTTTTTTTCACATTTTCATTGAGGGGTATTGTGTGTGGAATTTTAAAGGAAATAAATGAATTTAATCTATTTTGGAATAAGGCTGTAAAATAAAAAGTGGGAAAAAGTGAAGCGCTATGAATACTTTCCGGATGCACTGTACACTTTACAAAAATTGTACCAACCTCTTCAAAAGTAGATTCCAAATTCATCCCAAACGCCACACCCATAAGCCCAAACAAGGAGACAGAGAAGGTTCCCATGGTGAGCTGGAGGTTCAGGCGCATCATGACATTTCGGTGACTAAAGACAAGTGAATAAGGTAAATTATGTTAACACTAACTTTCCCAATTAATTATTTATAAAACATTATATTTAATATTACATGTTTTTCCAATGACTTTGTAAAATGCAAATTGACTAATTTGCAATAATTTGTACAAAAAAAAAACCATATTAACAAAATAACTATTTCTCACAAACTGTTGTTTACATATCAGTGTACAGGGTACAGCAACAACAACAAAAACAAAAGAAGAGATTAAGGCCCAATCCCAATTCTACCCCTTAGCCCTTCCCCTTACCCCTACCCCTCGTTTTGTGCGTTCCTGTGAAGGGGTAGGGGTGTCCCAATTCTCTTTAGCTTGAAGGCGTATGGCTAAGTGGAAGGGGTAGATAGCCAAAGATTTTTCAGGACCACACTCGAATCCAAGGGGTAGGAAAATTTCCCAGAATACACCAGCCTCAACGGCAGGATCGCTGCACTTGGAAGTAAGGAGATCCACAAATTAGTATTTTTGTCATTATTGAGAATTTTTACAACAAACAAGTACATGTTTTATTATATTGATAACCACGTTCGTATTATACAGTCATGCTTTAAAAAATTCCTTTTTACAATGTCTGGTAAAATGTGGTAATCTTGTTTTTGGTGTGTTTACATTGATGAGTATGGCCACTGTGTAAACGCACAGTACAGTTGCGATCTTATTGCAACATTATATAGTTATGTTAACATTATATATCCCTTTAGTGATTTCCTGAAGATAAATACCAAACAATAACACAACTGGAATGACTACAGCAGTCACGATCCTCTGATCTCATATGAAGCAAGAGATCACAATGTCATATGATGACGTGCGCAGGTGTTGTAGTGCTGTCCCATTTCTTAGGGGTATTTTGAAGCCCTTCCCCTTCACACTCCGTTTTAAGGGCCAAAGGGAAGGAGAAGAGGTAGGGTTACAAAAGAATGGATATAGAATAGGACATAGAATGGGATTGGGCCCAAGTTAGAAAAAAAAAAAGTAGAAATACAAATATTAGAAGTAAAAAAAAAAACCATAGAAAGATTTGATGAATGACATTCATATGCTCAAATAAACATGATCTTTCCAATATTTCCAACTACATGATCCACATATCAAATGTTGGTACTGCCTCAGACTTGTATTGTTGGAAAATAAGTCATTAAGAGAGCAAAATGCTGAGGGAAACTGCTTGTTTCATATTTGTTCAGCCCATTTCTAGTGTCAGTGTTAATGTGTACAGACCTGGGGCCTCATGTACAAAGACTTGCGTTGAATTAATCCTAAAACATAGCGTGCAGACAAAGCTGTAAATGTGCGTACGCACTAAAACATCAGATGTATGAAACCCTGCTTATGCGGAACCCCACGCATATGCTCTTTGTACATCGGAATTAACGTGAAACTCAGTGCACGTGCATGAGCGTAAAACCCCTCCCTGCCTCCACCCCCGTATAAATATGGTAATGACTTCACTTTGGCAAAACCAAATAAAAAAGCAACAGCAAATGTTAGGAAGTAAAGAAACTTCACAGAATGTAAATTGGAGGTGCATGCTCCTATCGGAGGTACACCAGAGAAAAGTTTGTCCTCTGGAATAATTAACAAAAGAAATAAAATTGAGAGGGAGATTTTAGCTGATGCGGTTAATGCAGTGGGGCCTGAACATCGCACTGTGAGTGAATTAGAAACGAAATGGTCCGATGTAAAGGTGCAGGTTAAGAGGACAACAGCGGCGCACTGTCAAAGTGTGTTTGACGTCTGAACTAACACCCTTTGAGGAGAGAGTTGCCTCAATTGTGGGCGACACTTTACAGTAGTATTCGTGTCTGTGAGAGACACAGATGTATTAGAGGAACACTTTGTTAGGGTGGTATAGCAACACCCCTCCACTCTTATCAAGGTAGTGTCACCGGCATTTCAGCTGCCCAATCGCCTACTCTTCAACTGAACGAGTGTGAAAATGGACATCATTGTACCTTGGTCAGTTTGTGGGTTGTTGAGGGGGGTTAACAGCCCCATCTTTAATGGAAAACTGCGATCTCCTGATAATTACGCTCAATAAAATAAATTCAAATAAAAAACTTAGCTGGAATAATACATCACTCACCAAGAAGCCACTCATCGCGCACCCTGCCACCTCGGAGCCTCCTTGCTGTCTCTCTTTCTAAATTTGGACCCAACTCAGCACAGAGTTCTAGATATCTAGTTCAAGACAGCTCTTGGAAATCTGAAACGGCTAATAAGCCAGTTATCATCGTGGGCCAGAAAACCACTGTAATTCCCAAAAAATTAGTTCCCTTAGGATTCGACCATTGACAATGTCAATGTGTTTAATCTGCAACGGGACGGTAGCAATCATAAAAAGTAGGAACGCAAAACGTCAAACCAAACAGAAACAAATTATAATATATAACAGCAAAAACAAAGAATCCTCAAACTGGAAATCTAATCAAAGGCATCAGAATAGCAGCTCTTTAATAAATGGCCTTAGCAGAAGGCATCGAGCATATCAAAAACAGTCAAAGCAACTGATTAATATTATTCAACATATTTGTAATCTTTAACATTTTTATAAGTAACTGTAATTTAGTTACACATTTTTGCTTAGTAACTGTAACTAATAACTGTTACTTTTATTTTGTAATTAAATTACGTAACACTGTTACATGTAACTAGTTACTCCTCAAGACTGGCGAACGAACGCCACCTCATATAATATCGCTCAGGTCCTACTAATAATATATAAGTAAATCCATACAAATTTTAGAAGAAAGGCCATCACTTTACACAAATTTAAAATTTATCTAAAAGAAAATGGGTTAAAAAAATGTAATACCTTGTCAGATGACGTTTATTACTTTTTAATACATTTAAACTTCATTTACTACCTTTTACAACCCCGTGGACACCCTGTAGAAATATGCAGTATATACTGTGTGTGTTTGTGTGCGTGTCTGTGGCTGCGTCCAAAACCGCATACTTCCATACTATATAGTACGCTAAAATCAGTATGCGAGCCGAGTAGTATGTCCGAATTTATAGAATTCGAAAAACAGTATGCGAGAAGTACCCGGATGACTTACTACTTCCGGCGAGATTCATTCCCATGCATGCTGCGCTATCCCATGAAGCCCCGCGAGCGAATTCATGAATGGGAGTAAAGCGACGCTAGAGTGACGCAGGCAGGTCACAAGACCATGACAATATGGCGGATGTAGTACGTTCGAATTCCATTCATACTTTTCACATTCATACTGTATAGAACGTACTTTTCCAACGGCCGAGTAGTACGTTTAAACTCAAATGCAGTACCTACTGAGTAGTAGGCGGTTTCGGACGCAGCCTGTGTGTGTGTACTATATATCTTAAAAATAGACCATTTTTTAAAAAATATTCTCAGTTTTTTTAAACTGAGTAAAATAATATTTTTTTTTGTAAAATAATAAATTTTTCATGACACCTACCTGAATTTAAGGCTTTTTAAAAAAATTAACATGTTAAAAGCTTCTTTTGATTTTGTTTTAAAAGCAGAGTTCAGGGTTGATTCTTTATTTTGCTATTTAATATTGTCAAATATTCCTAGCCAGATATATTCTAGTGCTGTCAAATTTAGATGAAAACCATCAAAAATGCTGGCAGTAGCTGGCAACTTTCAAAAAAGAAAGAAAAAAAGAAAACGCTGGCAGGGAAAGCGTTAGAACACAGTTGTTTGTTCTCAAAGTAGTTTTGAACCAAGGCCATGATCACCACTAGCACTGTTAAAAGTCCTTACATAAGACAAAATAGTAGTTGATACTGTACCTATCCAGGTTAATGAAAATAACGCTTTCAGAGTCATCAATGAGGTCTTTCAACTCTCTGGCCTTGTTGCCCAGCTCTTCTGCCTGCATGAAGTAATTTTCCAGCAATAACTCCATCTCTTCAGCGTGATCTATGCCCAAACTGCTCTCCTCACTGGCTCCAGGTGTCACCATTTAAAGAAAGGCAGATTAAGGTCAGATATTTATCATTTTAATTTTGCTACGAAGTTAAATTATGTGATGACTTACAACACTTGCGGGTCACTCCACTTAGTGAGGCAGAGTTCATCTATCAGTTCATCTTCATCCAGGATCTTTAGCAGACTGTCTTTGAACACTTTAATGTCTGTCTCCAGCTCTGAGAGGCTGCAGGAAGAAAAGTTGTGATATTGTGTTACTCTCAAAGCTTCCACTCTAAAAAAAAATCTTTAGAATAACTTTCTACCCACCTAGAACATTTATGATTTAATAATAATAATAATAATAATAATAACAACAACCACAACATGTTTATAAGTGGATTATTTTAACTGCACACTTTGTGCCAACTTAACTGTAAGCAAGTAGTGCTCGCTGCAGGACCAAATGGCAGGAGCTGAGCTATAGCTCAAACTCCCCTTCGTGATGCAGCGGTTCATCCACTTTCCCTAATTGCATCTAGTTAATCTATAATCTCCTAATGAAGCTAATTATGTTTCTGTGATAGTAGATTTGGTGAATGCAATCTTCTCTATCCCTGTATATCCAGAGTCAGTAATTTATATTCAAAAACAAATGCTGGAAATGGACTGTTGTGCAACAGGGCTCCACCAATCCCCCACCTGTATTTTAGAGGAATTGTCCAGAAATGTTTTTGAAATTTTCTTCCACCAAAGAGAAACACCCTCATCCAATATGTCGATAATTTGACAAATCGATATTACATCCAACAATGAAAATGTATTCATGCAAGTTATTCAAACTTAAAACAATAAAAATCGGTTTAACACTAAAGAAGAAATATTGAAGAAAGGTTAAAACCTGGAACCATCACTTTTTATTTGTACTTTTATTCACTTTTGGTCAGTTTAAAACTAGACAAAAGACTAATCTCTTTCCAAATCCAAATCATGGAAAGGATTGTTAAACTGCATTAATTAGGGGAACACTTCTCAAAAAGACATTATAGTTTGAACTGCATCTACACTTTGACCATGTTAGTCAGGAAAACTGGTGATATCAAGCTGAGTCCGGTTTCTGCAAAGTTTTTTTTCCTTCACTTCAGTCAACTGGTGAAGTTTTCTACTTGCCACTGTCACTGTCACCCATTTCTTAGGTGGGGCTGGTGGAGCTGCGCATTGGTGTAGTTCAGGGGTCTCAAACTCGCGGCCCGCGGGCCATTTGCGGCCCTCAGTGCAATATTTTGTGGCCCGCGCCGGCCGCTGTACACTGACAAAATCAGCGGAGCGGGGAGAGAGAGCGCTCCCCGCTCCGCTGATTCTATCCGTACACAGCGGTCACTGGCATTCCCCGCCCGCCGTGTAAACAAAGGGGCGGGGATGCCGGTGACGTCACCACGCACCCCGCCCCTTTGTTAGACGCTGTGACAGGCGGGAAGTGTTAGGAGGGAACTCGCGCCGGCCAGAACCAAGGTAAGCTGTTCCCGCCCCTGCCTGCCACTTAGCTACCTATCTGCAGCCTGCCACCTACCAGGCTACAGCCTGCATCTTATATATATTATAGGTAGATACAGACTGGTACAGACTGATGTGACTGGAGTGGGGTGGGGGTGTTTTATTTATACATATATACGCCTTTTTTTTAGGTGAGGGAATGGAAGTTTTGAGTGAGTTCCCCCACTTTTTCCCCTAGGACTTCAATAAGTCAAAGTACAGGTCTAGACTTAATGATGATCATCTTCAAGACATACTGAGGGTCTCAACTGCTTCCGCTCTAAAGCCAAATGTGGTTCAGATTTGTGAGAAGAAGCGCTGTCAAGTCTCTGGCAGCAAGGAGTATGCAAAAGATGCCATGTTCAGAAGAACTGTTCATAATCTTCACTCAATGTTCTATTAATGTTCAGGACACTTCATGTTCAGAAGAAATAATTAAAACTGTTAATAATGACATTTGAGGACTTTTTTTTTGTGAAATCCCTTATGCGGCCCAGCCTCACCCAGACTTTGCCTCCTGCGGCCCCCAGGTAAATTGAGTTTGAGACCCCTGGGCCCGGTTTTTCAAAAGTGATCCACTAGGATTTTGGATAAGGGATTGGATCATATCCTGAAAATGGGTTTTTCAAAAGAAAAAATGGATTACATAATCGGATTAGATCACGTAATCCAATCTTGGTTTTGATCCGGATCAAACCTTTAGTTTGGGTTTTTCAGACCTTTTTTGTAGGATCTGGATCACTTTGATCCAAAAAACCTGGATTAAACTGATCCCATCAGAAGGGTGGATTTAGTGTGGATTTCATGCCCAAAATGGAATGAAAACTTTAAAAATTATTAAATAATACTATTTTTGGATCATGCAGTATCTTACGAGATATACTATTTATTCATAAGGTTTTAATTTTATTTGTTCATCTGTCAGGCTATAGTGATTATTGGCTTTAATGTATTTAGACTTTCAATATAGGCCTACAGCAAAATAGAAAGAGTTTGGCCTCATAAAATAATCCCCCAAACAGCTGTCAAAATTGACCAAAAACAATACATTTTATTCTGTTCCTATATTTATATACAATTGTAAAAAGAGACTGGGCAGAAGTTCAGCTTCATCTGGCAAAGGAACAACTGACTCTGACCAAACTGCAACAAACCAAGACCACACTTGAGATCTGCCTCGTAAAGAATACGCTCAGACAAGCTGCTCCCTCCACATCAGATGAGGAAGTCTGACATTATTGTGGAGGTTTCAACATTGTCTTTTTTTTATTCAATGCATCTATATTTAAAACTTATTAAAAATATCCTCAATGTACAGTGTTGTAGATCTCAGATGAGTGGACTGCTGGAAGAGGATGGGGTGGGTTTTTTCTTGCTTTTATTATTTATCATTACAATTATTTTATCATTTATAAAGTGTTCTTAGTTTTCATTTCAAATAAAAATAAAGTTATATTTACCCCACACTGGCTATTCTACTTGTTGCTCTTTACATAGGTCTATCTATCCATCTACATTGTGATTGAGCACTGGTAATCCAGATTTAGTGAACCTGAAAAGTTCCTATCTGGGTCAAATTGATCCAATCCAATGTTGCTTTGAAAAACTGGCTCAAAAAGTAAGCAAAAACAGGATTACTAAATCCGGATCAATTTTATCCGGATTAAACCTTTTGAAAAACCGGGCCCTGGTGTAGTTGCTCTTCAGTGGATCAGTGTCTTCAGCAGTGACATTGGCTTTACACTGATCTGAAAACTGGACTTCAACACTGTTATTTATACTAAACTGAAGGCAGTTTTAATTTACTAGACATACACCAGCATTCTACACTACTCTCCTACCTGCCTGAATTGCTAAAATGTTCTACAATTTCAATTATGGCTTTTAATATCTTTTCATCAGCTATTTTAAGCTTTTTTGACACAATATACACTGTGTAAAACGCTATAGAAATATTAGAATTTTTTAATTTAATTAAATTTGTTATTTATTATTATGTGGCAAGTTTAAAAAAAATTGAGGATTCCAAGAGAGCTAACCTGACTTATGTGAATTCAAATCATGAGATTAAATAGTAATAAAACATATTTGAGTTGATTTTGCCCAGTAACAAGAAAAAGGGTCATATTCAGAGAATACGGACCATGTAATGAAATGACTAAATGGATTTACCTCTCCTATCCCATATAAACTTCCTTTGTTACATGGCTAGAGAAAGATTAAATAATGCAGATTTGCAAGTCAGTTAACTCACCTTTTGCTGTTAAGTAGGAGCATATGGAGTTTGCTGCGGTCAGCAGAGAGGAGCTTTGGGTCGACCAGCGAGTCCAGGCAATCCAAAACCTGAGGTTGAACTTCATTCAGCCGTGTATACAGTACATTCACCTAGACCAAAACACACACTTATTCATAAAAAATGGCAAAACAAGATGACACACAAGCATGGAAAAATAATTAAGTAGAAACAGAGACCATGAAGATATCCAAATATCCACCACTTAAGCTTTAAATGTTTGTGATGCTAAGCTAATCGGAAAGCTCAAGACTGCATTTATTTGGTCATATATATGTATATCAGGGTAAGTGTATTACAACTTAAAATTCCCATCAGATTAAATATTCTACCTTTCTAAATATGGGATTTTTCAGCTCTGAGAACACTAGCTGTTTTTGTTGCCTGTGCCTTTAATGCAAAAGAGCTGGTTCTGCCCACAGTGTCAGCCAGATGTCTCTCTAAGGCTCAGGTGTGCATCTCTATTTCCTGCTGCATCTCATATGAGATAAACAATGACAGATCCGAAGCAAGATGTCCCGTTTATGAAACATACTACAATAAGAACTTTCATAATGCTTGTTTAATGTATTTGTTGTGGAGTTAATTCAAACCTTTCTGCAACGAGTTACACGCAATGTTGTTACAAAGTTTCTGCATGTGTTTAAGTTATATATACACATATATATATAGTATATATAAGTATTCTTTTGATGCATGTAGTTATAACACTGTGTAGGCTCAATAGTAAGGCATGCTTGCTCCTGTTAGTATCGTCAATCTGGCAACCTGCATTTGTGTTGAGTCATAAGAGGAGAGGTCAGATGAAAAAGTCTTTCCTAGTTGAATCTTACATACAATACCTGTAACTGAGGCAAGTGAGGCCTGCTTTGGATGTTGTTGTGTGGACTATGTGACCTCTTGGATGTGTTATCGCTGCACTCTCGAAGTAATTTTTTAAGTTACATTTTCAGCCGCTCCTGGAAAGGTTCTTCACTGTTCCATGTTTTTGCCATTTGTAGATAATGGCTCTCACTACTTTGTCCTAAAGCTTTAGAAATGGCTTTATAACCTTTAACAGACTACTTAATCTCAATTGTTTTTCAAATACTTTGGATCTTGGCATGAGATCAAGCTTAAAACTTTTGATCTACCTTAAATAGTCAAGCAAGTCCTATTTAAGTGATTGCTTGAATTGCGAACAGGTGTGACAGTAACTATGGCCTTGGGCTGCATCCGAAACCGCATACTTCCATACTATATAGTATGCTAAAGTCAGTATGCGAGCCGAGTAGTATGTCCGAATTGATAGATTTCGAAAATCAGTATACGGGACGTACCCGGATGACTTACTACATACATCCGCCGAGATTCTGGAGTGCACATCTCATGCATGCTGCGCTATCCCATGATGCCCCGCGAAGGAATTCATAAATAAGAGTAAAGCGACGCAATTGACGCAGGCAGGTCACATGACCATGACAAAAGGGCGGATGTAGTTCGTCCGAATTCCATTCATACTTTTCACGTTCATACTGTATAGAACGTACTTTTCTAACCGCCGAGTAGTACGTTTAAATTCAAATGCAGTACCTACTGAGTAGTAGGCAGTTTCGGATGCAGCCTTGGTGTGACTAGAAAACTTTAACTCAGGTGTGATAAACCAGTTAAGTAATAACAAGGGGGAAGCACTTTTCACACAAGGCTATATAGTTTTGTAGTTTGTTTTCCATTAACGATAAAAGTCGTAACTTAAAAACTTTATTGTGTATTCATTGCAATATCTTTGACTGATATTAAAATTTGTTTAATGATCAGAAACATTAAAATAAGAAAAACATGAAAAAAGAAATCGGTAAGGGGCAAACACTTTCACACCACTGTATATTGACAAACTAAACGCATCACTAAAGCCTGGTGTATACTTTTGGGTCAAGTGACTGGCGTGACCCACGGCGCATGCAACGCGCGTAGCTGTGCATTTATACTTCTGCACGCTGTCTCTGTTGGTCTGAATTAACACTTCCGAAACGCTAGTTGGCAATGAGGTGTTAATGTTCCTCTGTTTCGAGTTTCTTCGCTGCTGTTTTGCTTTTCCTGAACACTTCTTGGATGTACAAGTGGCTCAAACTCGCTCATTTTGAGGCAGAAACCGGCGGACGTGCAACAACTTTAACTATGAGGTAAAAACAAAACAAAACTTTCCATCAGGAGCTCCTTCACGGGACTCCACACTTGTAAACAATCGCTCCATTGGGCTCGCGTCCAGCTCGCGGCATTCACGCGGCTCTCGGTCCCTCCAAGACTCGTCAGCGATACCAAGCCGACCAATCACAGAGCTTGCGCTAAGCGTCGTTGCGACGTGTAGTTACAATTTTTAAGAGGTGCACGTCAGCAACGCCGACGCCCACGGCGAAGGGCTATGCGTCAGCGCCGTAGCATACGCCGGCGTTTGACCCAGTAGTATAAATCAGCCTTAATAAGTACTAACAACACTATTATAAATGTAGTTGCAACAGTCATTATAATACATTACAGGTTTTGTTGTCTTTATAGATACATTTATAGAATTGGTATGATTGATTATAAATAATCTAATAATTATAATAACTAAAAATGTTAATAATTATAAAGTGACTCATATTATAAGTAACTCATATAATCATAAGCATGACCACCATAACTATTTTTAATAGGAGTTATATAGTTGTTGTTTCTTTCATTAAAATGCAAGAAAAAATATTAAGCAGCATAACCTTTTCCAACACTGGTGACAATATAAAAGGGGGTCACTATACAAAGTTAAAACAAGATAGATCACAATGGAAATATTTTACAAATGCATCACTGATGAAGATCATAAGAATTGCAATATTAATATAGTTTTCTTTTGACCTATGAGAACAGCATTTCATTTAATATACTGATTCCAAATTTTGAAAAGTGGTTTGATGTTTCAAGTTATTATTAAACATTGTTTTTTTTTTTAACTCTCTAAGGCTTACCCTGTGCTGCAGAATGGCTTCCAGAGCTCTGAACTCAAAAGGTAGAGAGTAAGTAGCCAAATTTCCATCTCCTGCCAATTGTGGCCCAAGTTCTAACACCAGCCATTTCTCCAGACCAAGACCTCGGAAATCCAGAACCAACAAACAGCTTGAGGTAACCACTGCCTTCAGGGACTTCACATGAAAATATAAATAAACAAAAACAGAAAACAAGTTAGTCTGCTAACTGCAGCATATACAATGTATCTGGCATTAAGCTCATGCTAAAAACCAACTTTCATTTATAAAACAATCTTTAGTACCTCTTAAACTCTATTCAGATGGTAATTATTTATCAAGGGAACATAAGGAATTTTCACTATTTACAGGGGCTAATTGGTGAATTACCTTATTTTTTAACTAAATTATTTTTATAAATTTTTAGTGATTTTTACCACTGAAATGTACCAGGCAGTTGCATTTAGCGGACATTTTCATGACATTAATATTACAAAAGTGCAATTTAATTTTAACTATTTAGAGGACAATGATACAAAACACAAAAATATGTAAAATAGGCCAGCAAAAGGTAAATTTTTAGTGTATATATATATATATATATATATATATATATATATATATATATATATATATATTTACTTACAAACACATATGCAGTTGAAATTATGAATTATTAAACCCCCTTTGATTTTTTTTCTTCATTAAATAATTTCTTGATGTCTGATGATATTTTTTCTTCTGGAGAAAGTCTTATTTGTTTTATTTGGGATAGAATAAAGGCAGTTTTAAAATTTTTAAAAACATAACGAAATTATTAGCCTCTTTAAGCTGTTTTTTTGATAGTCTACAGAACAAACCATCATTATACAATAACTTGCCTAAATACCCTAACCTGCCTAGTCAACCTAAATAACCTAGTTTGGGCTTTAAATGTCACTTTAAGCTGTATAAAAGTGACTTGAAAAATATCTAGTAAAATATAATTTACTGTCATCATTGCAAAGATAAAATAAATCAGTTTTAATAACTCAGAAATGAGTTATTAAAACTATTATTACTATTAAAAATCTGCTCTCCTAAACAGAATATATATATATATATATATATATATATATATATATATATATATATATATATACACACACACACAATTAAATAAAAGTTCAACTTAAATATATATATATTTATATATATATATATATATATATATATATATATATATATATATTTTTTTTTATAAGCTTTCATACCTCCATCCGAATGATGATAACATTGTTCCGTGATGTAACACTTGTTGAGTGTTGGAATCTCAGATCTCTTGCCTGCAAACCGATCTCCTGATACAGTTCAGTCTTCTTTTTTGCTACAGAACGTAAAATAAAACAGAGAATAAATAGTTAAAATCTAGCATGGTATAATTGGGCCACAAAACACTTAAAAACTCAACAAAATTATTTATGTGAAATAAAATTAAAACAGGAGACTGCTCAATTTAAAAAGTTAAATAACACAGCCGAAAACATTCCAAAAAAACACTTGTAGCCAATCAGCAGTAAATGACTTATAACTAAAATGATCATAAATGCCATGTTTTTTGTTTTTAATGAAATGTTTAAATGAGTGGACCTTGGTGAAATAGGGTGGGCCTTAGTGGATAAGTGTTCAATAACTTGTTTTTTAAATTTATGATTGCAGATAATATAGTAATTGATTTAAGGAGACATTTCTGAGTAGCCAACCCTCATTTTGAATAAAAATAAATTAACAAATTTGCAAAACTGTCGATAATCCATAATCGTTTACTTTTTTCACGAGGTTAATGAAAAACTGACCTCGTCATTCATCAATAAATATATAAATGTAAAAATTTATTTATGCTTTTTTGAGCTAGAAACAACGAAAAAAAGATGATGATGAAAATATTACAACATAAATAAAAAAAAAAGCTTTATCACAGGCTGTGGTAAACTTACTGGCTTTAAATTAGAGGTGTTATTTAAAATATGAATTAAAACACAATAAAAACATTTCTTGATTGTGAAATTATGTTGCATTAATCAGTCCTGTGGAAAACACTTCACAGAATAAAACCAGGTGGCGCATACAGATCAGTAATGATCACCAGTGAAAGATGTAGAACAGTGAACGGCGCCATTTTACGTTTCAAATACAACCAAATAATCTACACATTTTAATAAATAAGCTGTAGTAGAAGTATACTAAATTAAGCCCAATAATAAACAAAAAAAATTATTTAGATGCTAACTAACTGCGAAAAAGCAGTGTTCTAAATAAACCTATATTCTTAATGTCCACATGAACGTGAATGGACGTGGCTTGTTGTGTCTACTGAGAGCTGAATGGTGAAGTAGGCATTTCATTTAGAATGATCAGGGAAGAGGTTTTAGGAGAGTTGATACAACCTAACACGCAACTCCTCAACATTTCTGTTTGCTGTCTAAAATGACAGTTGGAGGGGTGTGGTTCAGTATGTTAGCTACGTCAAAGAGCTTAGAATGACCAAGAGGCGACACTCTAGTGTAATTTGGGAAACAGCCACTAGAGGACGCGGCGGCTATTTTGGAATGAAAACTCCAATAGAACAACAGCATATTATAAGTCTGTAAAATAAACTATTGAAAGTGCTGATGATTGTGATAGTACGTGTTGTACTGTCATCTTTCAGGTTGTATCTTAGCTTTAATGCATTTTTAAAATAAATAAATAAAAACAAAGCAGCTGCTTGCCATCGCGACAGTAATGAGATCCAATGGACGGCCGATCACTTACACTCCAAAATGGCGGAATCCACTGCTGTTGCTGGGCGCTGCTGTTGCAATGGAACGTTCTATTGAGTGTCACCTCTTGGTCATTCTAAGCTCTTTGGCTACGTCCAATACCTCAAAATCATGTAATCTGACAATTTAACGGAAAAAAAAACAGGAAGTGCATTTTTTAGATTTTAATTTTAGATTACAAGAGCAAACTTTTTTTTTAATGACATACACAGATTAATTGTTCACCACAAAACTGGCTATGTGAGCTAACAAAATTATATAATTAGTTTTGATTTTATTTGTATTTGTAAAAACACATATAAAAACACATACATTCACATTACCCTTCTTAAAAAGTAACTAACACATTTAGCTACTTTATTATTATTATTATGCAAAGCGGTACACAAAATTACATTAAAACACTACAAATACAGAGAGAAAAGCAAAGAACAAAGAGGAAAGCAAAAAAAACTGCAGTACACATAAAGGTAGGTGTATGAGACCGAAACTAAAGATGCAACGTCACTTTTAAGGGACTGTTATATATGGATTTATTATTCATTCTTACTTTTAAACAAACATGAACTGTCATGGTTTATCAAAGACACAAAGCCCTCACCGCACAACAGCTGCACCTTTAGCAAACTTCCTAATACCAGTTACACCAGGACCTTTATGATCATTTAGAAGTCAAAAGTGGTCGATCTGTTTGGCAAAAGATTTAATTGTGTCACTGCATATCAAATGACTCAAACGATATAAATAAAGCAATCGCCACTATACTGAGCGAGAGCACTTCTCATCTGTTAAACTGAACAGTCGAATAATCGATGGCTTAAGTGTGTCCAGGTTCTGTAGGTAAAAAAATGCAATGTGAGTACAGACTAAGGAGAAAATTAAAGGGAGAAGGGGGCAATCACGCTTTGGCACAGTTCAAGGCAACTGTACCCAGTGTGAGCATGCTCTTAGTCCTGTAAGTTTGGCTTTCTTTGGAATGGAAATAATGGTAAAGCATTTAAAGCAGGATGGCCCTTCACACAGTTTCAATGATCTCTTAAAGATCAGGGTGAAGGTGGGGCCAGCTGATCAGCACAAGATTTTAGACAGCCTGGTTTTTTACAATCTGGGCCTGGTGCTTTTATCCTCTTCTGCTTTCAGAAAACCTGCCGCACATCTTCACTGAACTGCAGGAGTGGGGAAGATAAGGGATGGTGGAGGTGTTAATGGTCGTGTGAAAAGCAGTTCAGAGTGGGTGTAGGATGCTATCTCAAACCTACAGTGAACCTCTTTTGATCGTCTGCTAGTTGTTTGCGGTCTACAGAGATACTCTATGAAACTTTTCCACACAGATGCTAAGTCGTTGAAAGAGAACTGACTCATTAAGCCTCCTTTCCACTGCACATGACAAACGACAAAGTGACAGACTGGAAGTCATTTATTTCCAATGGAGAGCAGTCTGGGAGCTGCGTGTAGTTCCGATCATCTCCGTATGCGGAAAATTCGGATCCGAGTTGAGCTGCAAATCCGTTGAAATATTTGAACTCCTGCGACTAGACCGTATACGACCGGCCGACCAGATGTGATGTACTCCAGTGTTGTACAAGCAAGTCCGTGCGCGCGAAATGAGAAATAGGAGTTTGTTTTGTTATTTTTTGAATTTTATAAAATCTATATTAAAAAAATCTGTTCATAAATGTAAGTAAGAAAGTAATAAAAATATATATTTATGTTGTCTCCACATTCCCTCCAATATTTTATCGGCCTATGAGTTTCTAGTATTCATTCATTCATTCATTAAACCATGTAAACGCACAGAGAATAAAGGCTCTTGCTTTTGCGCTCCTCAATTTCGGACACTGAGAATCAGCTTCTCCCTCATGGTGCACGACAACTGAAAATACTGTACGACTGCCACAAAGGGGCGTATTCCGACAGTCGTGTCCAAATGTTGTGTGCAGTGGAAAGGCAGCTTTAGTTTTTCAGAATAGCTCCTTTTTGCCACTCTTATCTCCTTTTCCAGTGTGTATTTGGCCTGCTTATACAAGGCCCTCTCCCCGATCCTGTAAGCAACCTTTAGCCTGACATAGCTGCCTGATTTTTACAGGTAACCATAGTCTTTCATTGTTGTATGCAAGTTGAGTGCTGGTAGGAATGCACACATCTGCACAAAAACTGATATAAGATGTTATAGTCTCTGTGAGCTCATCCAGATAGTTTGCAGCAGCTTAAAAAAAACTCCAATCAGTAAGGTCAAAACAGGCTTGTTTCACAAGTCACACACTTTAATAGGTTTGGTTTAGCTGCTTTCAGTCTCTGCCTGTAGGTTGGTATTAAATGAATCAATCAATGATCAGAATGCCCTAAAGCTGACTATTGGACAGAGCAGTGTGCATCCTTTATTGTGGTATAGCAGTGATCCAAGATATTACTGTCTCTGGTGGGACATATTTTAGACAGGTAAAACTATTCTAATCGGGCAAAGCTGATGTAGATTGTGTTGTTATGCACTGAGGTTTTGCTTAGTCTCTGAAATGTTCTGGTGAAAGATTGATGTGATTATTTTCAGCTTCATAAGGGACCTTTTACAGCATCAATAATATACGTTTTAATTTAGTTTAACAACAAAACATCAGTAAATAGCGCTATTCTGCCTAGCCTGTTTTACTGACGCGAAGTTACTTTTATATTCACATTGGGTCATGTTTGAACAATGACAGCCTGTGATGCGCTCCCTATATTATTCACCATGCTACTCTGAATATTCGCACTGAAATAGCATGTAAGTGTGGCTTAGTTTTAAGCATAATTCCTGTACGCCGCCGGCCAACCACTTACTACATTTTTTACTGGCGAATGACATGAACTAGTGGGTTGTCTGCTTTCATGTCACACTGCGCGCGATTTCAGGAGGTGTGGCTTTAAAACACAGTCTCTCCCTTGCCGTCCAAAGATAATATGCTAACCGGTTAGCATTTTGGCAGATCACCTACTGCACCTTTATAATTAAAGATATAGTAGATGCACCTTTAAGTATAAAGAAGCTGCCTCCGAAGCATCTTTTGAACCGAAGGATCGTGCAAATTTACAAATTCAACGTGTAAAAACAATTTGATCACACCAATTGAAAAATGTATAGAAGTTTCTTTTACAACATTAGAAATGATTTCATAAAGTTTATTTGCATGTAGATTCTAGTCTGTTTGGTTTGCCATTGGTGAAAAAAGATCAGTACAAATTTAAAGTCAAAATTTAGCATTGTATCCAACAGTAGCCATATATAATTGCCTAAAATTGTTTTTTTTTAACCATATATTTGAGAAATGACAATAATAATAGCCTAGTAATATTAACCTTTATTTAGCATGCAGTATTAGGCATGCAATATCAACAACTCTATTTTGTCATATTACAATATTTTCCATTTAATTCTAATTACACAGAGTATTGCATCTTGTTTTATTGCCATCTTTTGGTCAGGGGTAAATTTTTTAAATAAGTTTCTACAGAATTGTAATAAAAAATTGAACCAAGTGATTCTTTTATCCAGAATCGTGCAGCCCTAATAGTGCCACTCGTTAAAATATTTAAGCTTGATTAAATTACAGATTAATTATTAGTGTTAGACGAATATGTTGTTTTAACAGTCACCCATTTAATGTCCGGTAGAGATTATATTTCAAATAATAATAAAAAAAGAAATTCATAGTGTTGCACCTAACTTCTTATGTCTGATATAAAGCATATTTCTGACATTTCTGGATAATACCCATCCGTACCATAATAATACACTTTTTTTTTTTTTTTAAATACACAGACACATACACATATACATAGCACGTTAAAATCATAAATCTCACCAAATGTGGTCAGGCTCCCATCTGGCTCAAACCTCATCTGTTGAAATAATAAAGTTATATATTAATCATGGGTGTTGCTAGGTCTATTTAAGGGGAGGATGTAGCCCCCCTATATTTCTACGCAGCCCCCCTAAAACATTTGCGATTAGCTTAACTTTACACCAAGTTATCGCCTCAGTTCCCTTTAAAATTGATAAGAGAACGGCAGCAGATTTCCCCGTCTTTTGTTTTTCATTTTATCAGCAAGCCACAGCCATGGACAGCCAGAGAATGAGGTGTGCGTTTATTGATACATCGTTATAATATCTGCTTATTTTCAGTTCTTTGATATAGATAACCTTGTATCACCTGTCTCCCAATGTCACGGAGGAGTAGTCGGGTTTTCTCTGTGTTCACCTCATCAGCATAGCTGTTTCCTCCAGTGAAAAATTTAACTATTAACAAACATTTCGCTATTTTTATTTCAAAATAAACCACCAATAATAAACACTTTACAGTTTGTGTTGCATTAACTGTACCATACAATCTTGCACAGAAAGGATTAAACACAGTGACAGAAGCACTTAGAGAATGTAATCATCATAACTGTCACTGAGAGAGATAGAAACATCAAGTGTTGTCTATATTTAAAATAAATACTTATTTTTTATTATTATTATCATTTAGATCGTAAAATATGTTAAATAGCCTGCAGGTTTAAAAATATACATTTATATGTGTGTAATTTAATCAGAAAAGTTTATTTATTTAATACATGGAAACAAAAAAAATGCACCTGAATATAGAAAGTGGTTTTTAGTAAACAGATGGGGTGAGCCAATTTGGCTTATTCAGAACTCAAATGGCTGTGCCTGTCTATGTAATACAGTAGATTACTAGCATACAACCCATATTAAACTAACATTTGAAGAGTATTACTATTAAATTACTACTTATGAATATAACATTAGGCTTTATCTATATAATTATATAATTATATATATATATATATATATATATATATATATATATATATATATATATATATATATATATATATATATGTTTTTTTTTTACTTTATAAGAAGCTAAAATCGCCCCTGATATTAATCATAGATAAACTTCACTAACATACACAATATTCGTCTTACCACAAGAAACACTGGAGCAACACTAGAAAGAGCTGCCTGCGATGAATCTGTGCTTCTTTGGCAAAAGGAGAGGTCTGAAAACAAAAATCAGTGCAATCATGTTCGAGCTGCTGAGCATTAAAACAGCACACAGGTGTGGCACCTACATTGTCCCTCAGCATTCAATATTGTGTTGCGATGTGTTCGTCCACATGTTGATGTAACAGAGCGTTTGAAAGGTGATCTTGCGCACTTGACAGACCTCCACGTCCAGCACTTCGCTGAAACTTTCCACAGACTCTCTCGAAACGCGAACTTTAAACATGGCTCCATACTTTTAAATGTTTGAGTTAAAAGTCTAATTTTACTGTAGCAGACGCCATCAACACAAAATGTCACGATGTCATTTATTTTGGTCTTACTAAAAGTCCCACACAGCTTGATGGTTTTGCGATGTTGCTTTATCTGTCAACAGTTAAAACAACATAAAATCGAAAAATAAAAGAAAATTAAGTCTATATTGGATGACTTCAGCTGTAAGCTACTGTTAAATCGCATGTGGTTATACATGTATACTAAAATTTAAAGGCAGTTCCCATGTTTTCTATCGTAGGCTTCCCCATTTCAAAAGGACAACATATGACTATGAACGGAACTGTCTTCTTCTTCTTTCCTTTATTGGCGGATCGCACTAGAACTCATGCATTACCGCCACCTATATGCGACCCGGTGCGTGTGCTTCTTGAAAGCATAGCATATGTCTTGACGGGCAGGGTAGCAGTACAGACATTTGTTATTAAAATAACACATAGTTCTTCATAATTCCGCCAAACTTTATGCTGCTGCATGCAACTGATGCTGAGCAAAGACAGCCATTTCCGAGCAGCGCCTGGTTTGCATGATTGTTTCCGAGCTAGACTTATATAATAGTAATAATAATAATAGTATCATTAATATTAATAATAATAATAAGATAAATAAATAATAATCATTCATTTTCTTGTCGGCTTAGTCCGTTTATTAATCCGAGGTCGCCACAGCGGAATGAACCACCATCCTATCCAGCATGTTTTTCATAGTGGATGCCCTTCCAGCTGCAACCCATCTCTGGGAAACATCCACAAACACTCATTCACACACACACTTACACACTACGGACAATTTAGTATCTCATTCCTAGTACCTCATTTATTCAAAGGTAAACCATAATTAAAAATACACTGCGTTGCCGATGGGGGCAAGTGAAGTGACGTCATTATCAAAGAGGTCTATGACGTCTTTATTCTGTTTTTTTTTTTTTTTTTTGCAATTTTAGATCACAGAGCTTACAAGGGCTATAACAACATTATATTAGCATCCAATCAAGAACAATATGAAAAGGAAAAGAAAAAAAAAATATATATATATATATATATATATATATATTAGGGATGTAACGGTATTGTAAATACCGTCATACCGCAATATTAATTTTTTTCGATATTACCGAAGTCGCATGACTCGGTAAAACTATAGGTCTTCTGAGAAAATTTGCTCAGGCGAATGAAGCGAACGGGAGGTAGCTGAAACTTCATTTCCCATCAGCCCCGGCGTGGCCATAATCCTTTGCGGTCTGTTGTCGCTACAGATCCAGTAATGCGGAAATGGAGTGTGCTGCTAGTAGCGGAGATGAAAAAAAGATGGAAATGATCGAACCTAAAGCGGGTGTTGTCGCCACGCGCTTGCTGAATAGCGGTGCTGTCGCGCGCGTTCTGATCAGCTGTGTTGTGGCGCGCGTATTGTAAAGCGCCGAGGGGGGGTTGAGCGCGCATACTCAAGAGAGGTGTTATCGCGCACCTACTGAAGGGCTGGACTGGACAGAGGTTGTGTCGCGTCGCGGGGGCACTTTTGATCGTTTTGGAAGGGCATTTTCTATCCAAGACTAAAAAGGGCATGTGCACTGCACAGGTTGAGCCCTATGTGTGCACGTGCCTGCAAGTTGGGGAATACGACTTATAACAGTCATGGGGACTGCAGAAACACAGCACTGTTCAGATTGATGCAGACATTGACTTGTACCGCAAAGAGACCTCTATCTCACTCATGGTTTGTCCTCTCAAGTGGGGGAAAGACAATGCACAACGTTACCCCACTGCTGTCAACATGGGCCAAGTCATATCTCTCTTGTCCCAGAATCCTCAGTCCCAAATGAGAGGGGTTTTTTCTGTTGCAGGGGACATTGTAAATACCCAGAGATACCAGCTTACCAGATTACAGTTATATGATAATTTTCCTTTAAACCCATCTCTATCTAAGTGAGTGAGTGATTAAATGTTGAATGTGATGAGTTTTCAACACTACTAAATTGAAACTTTATTTTTTTACATGGTTTAATAATTTTTTGTTATTAAAATTGAAGTTCCTGTTTCAAAGCTAACAGATAGATGGCTAATTTGTATGTCATTGACACTTTTGGCACTTTTTTGGAGTATTTTCAAAAGTTTTTTTTTTTTTCCTGTAAATGATTCAATAAATACCGTACCGTGACATTCATACCGAGGTATTACCGTACCGTGAAATTCTGATACCGTTACATCCCTAATATATATATATATATATATATATATATATATATATATATATATATATATATATATATATATATATATAACTAAATTTAAGGCTTTAAAATAATTAACAGTTCTTTTTGCTTTGGTATTTTTTTGTTTCTTTTATCGTGCATACCATTTTAAATTAATACACTTGCATAAAGTAAATCATATCTCAAAGCTTTTACTGGCTTTTTTTCTCTCCCTTTTTGTCTCCCGATCTGGGCGATCGGTCGTATTGCCAATGCAATTCGCCACTGACCAGGGCACACTACGTTAAATAAAACTTTACATATAATTTGGAAACTTCCTACTGGCTTATGTGATTACTGTCCAGTAGAAGAGTCGGTAGATCATATATTAAGTCAATGTCAGAAATATAATAATGAAAAAGAAATATTCAGGAAAATACAAAAAACAATAGAAGCAAATCAAATAATCAGCTGAACAGGGAACTATAACTATTTAATGTCACTTTTGAAGGAAACCGCGCTAATATATAGAATATAAATAGATATACCAATCGTATAATACTCATAGTCATTCTACAGTGTAGTAGTAGGTGGCGGTAATGCATTTTAAAGTTGGATGCCACCCGCCATAAAACAAGAAGGAGAAGAAGAAAAAGAAGACGAAGAAGAGGAAGAGATTTCATCCTCCAATGAAATGATCCGTTAGTTCAAGCACCCGCCCATCCAAAAAGAAAACTAGAGGCGGGCTTCCATCGTGATGGCTTCACTTCAAGTTAACTTGAGTGTTGATTTTAAGTGCAACATGTCTTTGTATTGATTGGGGTTTCGGCGCTATGTTTGTGTGAATTGGATTATCGAAATACGCTCAAAGAGGTAACTTTAGATGCTGCTTTTCTTCGCATGGTAAGTTTTCGCGATCAGATAACGACTGGCCAAAGAAGCACATCTTAGCACTGATAAAAGGAAGTTTCTGTTTAAATGACGTTTTAAAGTTACTTTATGGCACGATCGTTGTTTTTTTCCTCTTAACGTTAACAGTAAATGTAAACTGATAAAGACTGTATCCTAACTTTAATTCTGCAAGTGTTCATCGCGCACCGTTTATTGTAACGTCACGCTATTTGTGCCAAACAGCCTGTTTTGGCATATTTTGTTTTGTTATATGGCCGATTCACGTTGTAAGCCTGACTTTATTTGTTTAATTTTCTAATTTAATTACTTATTTGGTCTCTCCTTATGTGGTGAAGTCCCCGTGTCAGTGAGTATCAAAGATATGGAGAACACCCAAAACATTGAGGAGGAGCCTTTTCCTAGCTTTCTTTCAAATGCTTCGCTTGGGATGCCCAAGGCCGCCTCCACCGTGGCTAAAATTAGACCGTCAATAGACAACAGGTGAGTGTCTATCCTAGCTTCCTTAGCAATGTTGTTTTTCTCAGTTCCTTCTTTATTAGAAAATATTAAGTATTATTAGTATTAATATGTTACTGAGAAAATCATTGAATTTGCATGATGTTGAGACAATTTTTTTTATTTAAATAAATATTTATCAACACAGCAATTGGTGAATCTTTTTTTGTAACTACTATTAAACAAAAATGCTGCTTAATGGTCCGTAGATAAGATGCAGATGTTCCTCTAAATGTTTAATGCCTGTCCAGGTGCGATAAAATGTGATAGGAATCTGCCACATCTGGGGCCCGTTTCAGAAAGTAGGTTAAGGTGCAGTAGGTGATCTTCCACAATGCTAACAGCTTAGCATAAATCTCTGAATCTCAGTCCCTCCCCTTCCATCTAAAGCCATGCCTCCTGAAACACGAACACCGCAAAATAACCCTCTCTCATGTGTTAAAAGCGACTAGTGCTTGTCCGGCGGCGTGCAAGCCAAACTGACATGCTATTTCAGAGCAAGTATTTAGAGCTGCATGATAAACAATATAGAGAGAGACAAGGCGGAATAGCTGTATTTACTTGTGTTTTGCTGTTAAAACTAATTAAAATCCACTACATCGATGCTGTAAAAGGTCCCCTATGAAACTGAAAGATTGATAAGACTATTTAATTGAAAGATTTTAGTGGCTTAACAACACTTCTGTGAAGATATAACCCATTTTTAACAACAACATCTAACGTTACATCAGCTTTGCGTGAAGCTAAAACAGTTTTAAAACAGAACATTAACTGTCTAAGAGAAATCCTTCAGCCATGGTGTCATCCTTTCTCCAGCATGCAAAGGTAACTCCAATATTGATTTAGGTTTTTAAAAAGTTTTGATTCAGCAGGTTTTTTCTGATCGCACACATGCTCTCTCTCGTGAATGCACGGCGGTCGGCAGAGATGCGTACAAACGGCTGTGCAGTTGTTCAAATCTGCATTTGCTGACAGACAGATTGGGTTACTTATCAGAATTATGAGACATGTCAGTCCGACTATTTAATTGGATGAACATTTTTTTTGCTTTATGCCTTACTTAAAATATAAAAATACATATAAATATATTTAGATCATTCACTGTAATCATTACTATTAGACTGTGAAGAGACTTTCAACCAGCACAACAAAAAATGCTTCTGAAGACAGTCAACTACTGCAGTAACTGAGTATTTTAACCTTAAAATGAGAGAAACTCTGGGTTTTTTCATTTCAAAATGGCAAGTTTTGAGAAAGCAGGGTAAGTCAAACCTGTTTCTAAAGTGAAGTAACTTTAACCATGGTAACTTACTCTGTGAGCCTAACCTGGTCAGGAGCAGGTTTTATTCTCTAAACTCTTTTTAAGAGTTTCTGTCTGTCTCCTCCCCTTTTTCAAAAGACGGAGCGGTATTTCTCGCCTTACGTTTCCACCCACCTATTTTAATGCTCATTTTGAAGATGCACATAAAAATGGTTGATTGAAACGTTTTGATGCACATAACTTTTGAAAATATGCATAAAAAAACATGCATAACTGAGTAGGATAATCTTTTATTCGATAGAAAAGATGTGCCTAAACTACGATGGAAACTTTTACTGAACAAATTACAGTATGTGCAAAAAAAAAAGGTTTGTTATGAGAGATCATATGATGATGAAAATGTGTGCGAATAGACAAACCAGCAGGCTGAGTGCATTGTAATACTTCTTAAATGTTGTTTTGGTCATTCAATGCCTAACCATTTTGGTATTGATGTTATTTTATTAAAAATGACCTCCAGAGCATCTGGAGCGTGTCGAGCGTCTGTTCTTCGCGTCTCATATGGCTTCAAACGCCCCCACGCGTTCATTGTGTATCAGGATTGTCCTCTGAGGCGCAAGTACATTTATTAAATAAAGAAAAGAGCAGGGCGATTTTGTTATCTTTGACACGTTGGATGGAAACGTTGCTTTATTCGCACATCTTTGATATTCCTGTTTTGCGCAGGAATTTAATTAATATATTTGGATGGAAACCTAACTATTGCCTACATTTCAGTCACACAAAGAACGTTTCGTACGTGAATGGCTTGTCCATTTTCAATAAATAATTAGCTTAAATTCCCTGACCTTTGACATGTACTGTAACTAGATTATTGGGATTATTATTCTTTCTAAAAGCTATTGTTTAGTTCTGCTTACTTTTTAAATGTCATATCAACCTCTATCACTTAATCAATTATAAAAGGCAGACACACAAGTGCACTTACAAATCTACTAAAACACTGATCAACAAGTATAAAAGTGGGAACGTGTGTAAAATTTATAAATGTCACACATATCATTACTTATTTAATTATACTTATTTAAATACTTTAAATTTAAAAACACGAATGAACTTGAGCAGCTGTTTTCCCATGCTAGCTGTTTCACTGATGCAGTGGTGTTGCTTTTTAAAATATATCATATTTGCTATAACTTCGCATGAGCACATCAAGTTCAGCTGGAGAAAGAAATGGTGATCTCTTTTTTTTTTTTTTAAGATGTTGCCATGGTCACTTGTAATATCTGCGCTATATTGATAATGCTTTTTTATAGTTGCAGTTTGCGCGCTTCACTCTGAGTTAATTGACCCAACTCTGATCCGCTATTCTGAAATGGAAAAATCTCTCTGTAAATCAACTCATAGTTTAAGTTTAAACTCTGAGTTGGTTGAACCTCCTTACTGAAACAGGCCCCTTATAGGAATCTGTCAAAACAGATGACTTTAATGTCAACTTGGAATGTGCAGGTGCAAAAATATGCAAAAATATGCAGGTTGACTTATCCATTTATTTGCTCAGCAATCATATTTTTTGCCAGAATATAGGCTGGTTTTTAGAGGTGTGAACCTATACTGGTCTCACGTTTCGGTTCGGTTACGATTATCATGCCTTCGGTTCAATTCGATATCTCGGTGCATCACGGTGCATTGACGATGCTTTCCATATACAGTGTTATATTTTAGGGGGGAGGCTATAACAAGCTGTCTGTATAAACACACAGACACACAGCACCACACTGTCTCTGATTCAAACACATACTGTACACAAACATAGACAGCACCAAAGAAACAAACACACACACACACCTCGCAAAAGGGAGAGCTCGCGCTGAGCGGAGCAGAAAAACGAAAAAAAGAAGCACTTTTCCGACAGTCCCTTACTGAGAGCTCCTCTCAGCGCGAGCTCTCCCGGCTAAACACATATTGCGAGGGCTTAAACGGAGCAGTGCTCGTAATGTTGAGCGAAAAAAACAAAACAAAACAACCTTAGATCTTTTTAGGGTAAGAGTTTTTTGAGTTATTGCAGTTTATAACAATGTGTGTCAGGAATATCGAAAACAAAACCAACTGAACCGCGCTCATTTCTGGCGCCCCTCTGGATATACAGCACCCTTAGCATTTGCCTATACTGCCTATGCCACGGGCCGGCCCTGAGTTGGCTGAGTGTTGTAAATACTCGCGCTCACCTCCCTCGCGACAGAGCGCATAGGAGATAAATGACGTCAGTACTAATAGTAATAACCGGTTATGATTATTACTGAACCGATACCTTATTGTCCGCGTCTGGATCGCGGTGCACTGAAGAAACAATTAATTTTGACACCCCTACTGATTTTAAAGCTTCCCACAGATTTGTAACATAGAAAAATGTGGAAAAAGTGAAGCTCTATGAATACTTTCCGGATGCACTGTAGTACATAATTTGATTAACGTCATTGGCACTGCTTATGTACTGCATCCATCCTAGCAATAGTGAGCGATCTCTTTGGCTCCGACACACACATAGGAACGGTGGGCAGGGAGAAGAAGCTCATAGTCATAAAAGTCACAGACACAAAAACAGCTACAAAGTCAAAACAGCTTAAATGTCCAATATACACTTAAAGGCTCCTACACACCGAGACGCTTCTCGTTTGCTTTTATCATCAGCGTTTTACGAGACGTTTTTCCGTATTCAAACCCAAACGATTTTCACTGGCGTCAACCAAAAGAGGATGCAAAGTCACTCCTTGACGTTTGGTGGTGCTACACAACTTTAAGCTTCTGACACCCGCTTATAACACAGAAGAAAAGGAGGAAAGAAAGTTCACATGCTTATTGTTAAAGTTACTGGTGACTCAAACAAGCATGAATGGTTCACACTAGAGATGCGCGGATGGGCTATTATTTCATCCGCAACCGCATCATAAAACTCATCATTCGTCCGCCATCCATCCGCACTAACATTTTTGACCAATTTTTAAAACCGCACCCGCCCGCCATCTGCTGACTGAGCTCTTTATTTGAATGGCTTATTCCTTTTTATTATTAAATGAATGTTTCTTTATTGATTATTAGAAAATAGAGAATGACTTTAATGACATGCAGTTAATTCAAACGTGCAAGTCAAATCCAGCATTAATTGACGCTTTGAAGTGACGCTAAACAATACGAGGACGTGTCTTTTCACTTGATTCGATTCCTCGGTCCTTGAGTTTTTTTTTTTTTTTGCGTCTTTCCCTCGCGTCCTATAGGGGTGGAAAGACGAGGAAAGAAAGCAAGGGAAGGAAACGAGGATACACAAATAAGAAATGAGAAGCACCCTATAAAGCTCTCAGAATATTAGCAGTGAACTCCGTCTCCAATCGGTGCACAGGGACAAAAATAAATAAATAAATAGCCTAAATGAAATGCACTGTACTGTACATTTTTTTTTATTATAGTAGCCTAATAGAAAACGCATTTTGACACATCATTTCAACATTCAGACGAGAGCGCCTAGCCTCTAATGCGCCCTGCTGCACTGAAGGAGCGCTCGCTCGCAGCACTTGTTGCTGGAATGCATAGAATTCTCTTGGCAAGGTGCTGTAGACGTGGGAATGCCTGCCTTGTTTCTCCCAAAAGGAAAGTAGATTTTCCTCTGCTGATCCGTCTATTCTTAATTTTGTAGAGGAAGACTTCTGTACTTCATCCAGAATTAGTGTATCCGATTCCTCCTCTCATTCTGTGAAGTCAGTCCTAGGCTTTTTCGTTGGTGCGCCAGCTATGTGTACAAAAACAGTACAACCGCCCACCACCCGCCCGAATTTAATTCAAATATTATTTTTCGTCACGTCATCCGCCCGATCCGCGGTTTATCCGCGGATTCCGCGGCTGTAACCGCCATCCGCGCATCTCTAGTTCACACAGCAGCTCCAGCGATGAAGAAATGATTATTGTTCACAGAGCAATAGGCAGCTCCACGTTCATATCGCCTCTGGGCATCTTCTTCAATGTGCGCTCGCATTGACAGTTTTGTGCTTGAGTCCCTCCAAGTGCTGTTTACTGTAGCTTTAGCAGCTCCATGCACATGTATAGAAGTGCCGATCTGATTGGTGGAGAAGGTTTTGACGCGGCGCATCAAAACAAAAAAATGAGCATGCCGCTTTTGCGCCTGACGTTTTGCGCGTTGGTGTGCACGATCACATTGACGCCTTCATTTAGTCACGAGGCGTTAAACGTTGACAGAAAACCTGAGCAAAAAAACGTCTCTGTGTTGCCAGGCCTTAAGGTTTAATAAATAATCTGATGGGCGTTTTGAGTTGAAACTTTACAGACACATTCTGGAAACACAAAAGGCTTAACTTAAATCTTGAAAAAGGGGTATAATAAGGCACCTTTAAGTCCATTTTGTCTCTTTCAGAGTAACTGATGTCCAAGCATCATATCTGGAGGAAGCACAGTCACGCATGCATTCTCAGGGATCTGATGGAAGCAAGGAAAAAATAGCTCTTAGTCTCAAGGAAGATTTGTAAGTATCACATTTTTTTTTATATTTGTTTCACAAATCAGTTATCAATTGTTTAAAGTTACGGCGATTGGATGTGCTAATGCTTAAAGTGGAGAGAAAACAGAGGTAGGACATGCTTTGACTATTTATAGGGGCTTGGTCTTATGATGTACAATTGTTTTTATATGCATGTCAATTTAATAAATACTACTTCTGCTACAAAACAAACAAAAGATTATAATAAATCATTCAATTTAAGGCTGAAAGCTGCAAAGCAGTCATAATTAAATAGAAAATTAAGAGCAGGATTCTTGCGATGACCACTCGCGCAATACTGTTCTGTGTTATAAGCCGCATCAGTTTAAATTTAGTAAAGGCGAGCTTCTTTGGCGATGGTGTGTACAGTATTAGATTGTACATTTAGCGGACATTTGCGCTGAACACGCAGTGAATGCAACGCATTGAGATTCTGTGTACTTTTCACTCTTCAGTCGTTTGCAATCCACACAGTCACAAAAGCTCCCCGTCATCTGACAGCGAAAAGTCTTGCGTGATTGACAGTTAATATATGAACCAATATAGCGGCAAGGAAGACCGATTGAGCACGTTTTTAGAAAGAAGAAAAAAAAAAAAACAGGTCGCACTACAGCCATTATATGCAGTCGCACACATGCTCCCAAATATATTATGAGGTCGCATAGCTTAAATTTCAGGCGCATATGCGACCAAAATGGAAAATGCAATTTCAAGCCCTGATGATGTTCTTTTCTTTGAGAAATAACATTTCAAAATGTTATTACAGTGAATTAGTTTCTGAATCATCTGATGTTGCTAAGAGAAAATGCTAGATTAGTTATTTTAACGACTACATCATTGTGAATGATATCTGCAAGATCATATGTAGGTAATGAGCTGTCATTAAAGAGCCCATATAATACATGAAATAGGGTCTTATTTTGGTTGTAAGGGTCTCCAACAACAGTCTAATATGCATGCAAGGTCAAAAAACACTTTCATGGTCTTATAATCTGCATTTATTTTTACCTAATTATTCCAGCGACTCCTGTATGAATCGTCTAGTGATTCATTTGTTCCCAAACCCCTCCTTAGCGCGAAGCTAATCTGCGCTGATTGGACCAATGACAGTCTGTTGCGATTGGTTGACACTAACTGCTTTCAGCCAGAGACAGAGCGAATAGCCAGCAGCTAATCAACAATATAGAAGTAGTCAGAGTTTATATACGCTTGATAGTGTAAGGCGTGGAGTTTAGCTGCCAGTGGATGAATGTAAATACAGACGACTAACTATTTTATTGAGCAGAAACTCAAAACACACACATTACACTCCTCCACGGGAACGTAAACAAAGCAGCACGCGTCGTGTTTTTAACGTGGCTTTGCACACGATATGAGAATATAACAAGTTAACCTGAGACAGTACACACGGTTACAAGTAACAAATCACAACTAAATATATTTGCAAGCTAGAGTAAACAAGGCAAGTTTAATCGCACGTACTTACACTTGAGAAATGGAGGAAGAAACCGATGCATGTCCTGACATGTCTTTACTGATCCTTCCTTTAACAAACGAAGTATTCTTTGTAGCATGTAGTTTCCAGAAGTTTCCTGTAGTTTCCAACTGCTTAAAGCTGGGCTTATGCTGAGGTTTCATCTTTGGGTAGAGACTCAATAATATCCATCTGCAGTGTGACTTCAATCGACCGGCATGTTTGTGTGTGTGTGTTTGTGTGTGTGTGTGTGGGTATCTGTGTCAGAGGGCGGGGCCGCAGGTTTCAAATCTCCCATGTTTGCGCGTGCACGTGAATAACTTGGTTTTGTTCGTACGTCATGGCGAAACACCTAATGAATCGGTATCAAGGCGACTCGTTTGAAGCACTATGAGTCGACTCTTTTATAAATGAATCAACAGGTTTAAACACTGTATTCTTACAGATTTAAGCCTTAGCTGGATATTTCACTTCACTTAGAGCTGTGTTACACACTACATGGAGGGGCATTTTCAAAAACTCATAATATGGGCTTTTTAAGTGACACATCCGTAAAGGATTACAGTAATTTATAGCAAAGAAGAGAGGTGAATTATCAGTTCTAATTTCTGCAACATGGACACATCATAAGTTTCAAATTATTTGTATTATTATTTGTTATAAAACAATCTTAATTGTTTAATCGTTGTGGATGTGACTTCACTAAAGCCTCAAGGCTCTCTACATATGTCCCCTATAAATTGTTTACTGTTTATCATTATTTTATCAGCCATAGATGTTTGAAAACTGTTTTTCCTTTTTTTTTCTTATAGAGACAGTATAGATGAATTCATTGCTGCAAATCGATTCTCTGACCTGCTTGTCAATGTTAATTTTGATGAAACCGAATCTGCTGCTTTTACCAAATCATCATCATCTGGAGGGGCGGTTCCGCTTCTTGTATCAAATTCTGTTCCTCTTCGAACTACTGGTGTGTAACTTACTGTTTTCTTTTTAAGTCATTATTGTCAAATAATATCTTGTTTAATATATTATTGTATAGGACAGTATAATTTCTTTCATTAGACCTCATGTGATCTTCTGTCATTCTCTCAATTTGCAGACAAAGACACAATGGCAGCTGAGGTACCACTTTATTCATATTTATTGACGCATTTTACTCTACAGTGTGTTTCTGTCCATACCATGGTTGTTCTGTTTGTTTTTTCATAGGCCACTGTGTTCCAAGTGATATTGGAGGAAGAAGACGGCGAAGAAACCGACAGTGAGAAGTGCAGTGATAGTTTCTCCAGCTTTCTGGCCAATGAGAAACTAATGTCTTTAGATAGCATGAACAGTGATATGACAGGTTGGTTGAAGCATTTTACAGCTAAATAAAGTAAATTGTTATTTGCTGTGATTTGTTTTTAAAACCAAGCAATAATTTAATCCTTAAACCTTCCTTAAATACTTTTAAACCAAAGAAATAAGCATTATTCAGAGTGGTAAAAGAAAAGTGAAAGCCACTTACAAATGAGAATAAAATAAGAACTTTACATCTTGGTTTAGTGTTTAATAGGAGGATGTTTTTAGTTTTTTTTAAAGAAGAAAATACAAAATATTCACCTCAAGGGTCATGAAAAGCACTGCTATTGTAAGGTTAAATCAGAAGTCAATAAACGGGGCACAGCAGGTACCACATGGGTCAAATCAAATGGAATTAATATAATGGACTGGACAATAAAATGATAGCATTTCCAATGTCATACCACAGTCACATCCGGGGGCTGACCGGGCCAAATGGGTCTTACTCTGGGCCAGCAGCCAGTCTTCAGAGTACCCGCGTGGTCTTAAAAGCATTGAAAAAGTCTTAAATTTGATCATCTCAAATTAAGGCCTTAATAGCCTTGAAGTTGGTATAAAAAGTTTTGGATTTCGTTACAAAGGTCTTAATTTTATTTATTAATTTCTGCCTTTCCTAGGATTAAGTTCATATCGTAACAAAATTAACTGTTACTAATGTAGGCTAATTAAAAATTCATGCAGTGTAATGTTGAGTGCACCTCGTGCTCCACGTCATAGCAGAAAGTGCGAAAGCGTGCACATACGTTACTATGGTTACTAGGCAGGTGAGGTACAGAAGAAGATGGTTGCTAGCCTAGTTTGTCTGCTAAAATGGGCAAGTGTCGGTTTAATCCGTACTAAATTTCATAATCGATTCGTTGTGACAGAGATGTTTGATTAATAAAAACAATATGTTAAACAATATGATTAGACATTAATAAAAGTGAGCCATTGCTCCATATTTTCAATTTCTTATTTTAAATTATCTTCTATTGGTCTCACGCAATCACCCGATGGGATTTCGCAGGTAAGAATTCACTAAGATTGAACTTTCGAATGCAGTGAAATGCGAAAATTGTCGCACCTGCTGTTTCTGGTCTGCCGCATTCACATGCCAATGAATGGAAGTCTAAGGAGTGAAAAGTGCAGTGTGATCACGGCTTTATAATAGAAGTAGTTTTACCTACCATTACTAGTTTGAGACACTTAAGACTATCTAAAGTTAGTTTGACAAATATATGTATATTGGAATGGAGGTTAGTTGTTTTCCCTTCTTTTCTTTTCTTGGCCAAAAACATGTTCTCACATTATGAGTGCTGTGAAAGCAGCATCTATTTTACATAGATATGAAAATAAATTGGAAGCTATTGCATGTTTTATGATATGCTGGAATAAATGTAAACGTTTCTTGTGATTTACCACCTATATGTAGACATTACATCAAACATTAGGTCATGATAATTGACTTTAAAGTCCTGGAAAAGTAAGAAAAAGATAAGAGGATAAAAAAGCTTCTTCACACGGTTTTGTTTTATTTAAGCAGCAGTCAATTATATGGTTTTCTCTTTTAACCACAGCAGTTTGAAGCAGTCTGGATAGCATGGGGTTTAAAGGGATCTAGTTCTAAAGCAAGGTAAGGCATTGTAGCTTTTCTTATTTTAAAGAACTGTTTGTCACTTAGATGATGACATTGACGTCACCCAACTCCATGATGAGGAACTGGAACTGTACTTCAACAAGTTAATACCCCCCGCAATGCAGAGAGGCAGAGTAGAAGGACAAGAAATCTCTGTAGTAGGTTATATTTTGCTGTTTATGTACAAAAGCTTATGATTTGTTGTTGTTAATATTATAAATTGTAATATTACACTACGTTTCTGTTGTAGGAGTTGCCTTCCAGTTCATCCCAACACAACTCCACTGAGTCAGAAAGGAACTGGCAAAGTTTGCAGGTTGACTTCAACAAAGTATGAGCTGATCTTCTTAATCAAATCAGTGAAACATTTACTTTATTGCATGCTGCTTGTGTGTACAAATCCATGTGTTAAATATTGTGAATATGAGTTTATTTTTATATGGAGTTTTGCAGCATTTCTAATATGTACTGAATATCTCAGTCGTCTGAATATTTTGCTTTTGTTACACTACAGAGGAATACTCGCATGGCTGATGTTCGCCTGGCAGCTGCAGGTATGGATTCCAGTCCTGTAAGTGAACAAGTGGATACAGATGATGAATTGGAGACTTATCAGGACCATGGCAGGGAAAGATTTGGTTGCACCTCTAGACAACAGGTTAGTCTTTGGACCTACTCACACTATGCCATTCGTACCGTGCCCAGGCCCGTTTCCCGGATCATTTGAGAAGTGTGAGTGCGCTGAATCGGGCTCAAGCACAGTTCACTTGGCCGGCCCTTGCCCGGTTGGAAGAGGTGTGCCTGAGCGCGCTTCTTGGGCTTTGGCGCGGTACGCTTGTGTGTGAGTGCAAAACGCGCCAAAGCCCGAAACTGAAAGCAAGACGTGACTTTTACGGGGCTGTTTCATATGGATTTATTAATCATTCTTACTGTTCAGTGAACACAAGCTGCCGTAGTTTATTAAAGACGAGAACTCCTCACAGCATGACAGCTGCGCGGCTTCAGCAGACCTCCTCATTCCTGCAGCACAAGAGCTTTATGATTGTTTTTGAGCGACAAAAGTGGCGGATCTGTTCGGCGAAATATCTGACTGCGTGTCACTGCATCCCTAAGGACTGTTTGGCGAAAGATTTGCTTGCACGCCACTGCATAACCAACGACTGAATTCAATTCAATTCAATTCAGCTTTATTTGTATAGCGCTTTTACAATGTAGATTGTGTCAAAGCAGCTTCACATAAATGGTCATAGTAACTGGAACAGTGTGGTTCAGTAACTGGAAAAGTGTGGTTCAGGTTTTAGTGTTTAAGTTCAGTTCAGTTCAGTTTAGCTCAGTTCAGTGTGATTAAATCATTACTGAGAGTTCAAACACTGAAGAGCCAATTCATCGATGCGTAGCTCTACCAATCCTGAACCATGCGAGGCAGAAATGATATAACTACAGAAATCTTCACTGTGCTGCTGAGTGAGAGAGCGCTTCTCACTGAACAGCGCAGCAGCGATTACGTAAGCATGCCAAGGCCCGTTTGTGATGTGAGCGTGGGCCTTCGGGGGAGACGGGAGGGGGGACAAGCGTGCTTTGGCCCGGTTCGAGGCAACTGTACCTAGTGTGAAAACGGCCTTTGACTCTCTTCTGCTTATTTGCCATCTACTACAGTGTTTCCTCTAAGATTTTTTCCAGCTGTGGCGGCAGGCCCACCAACAGATCTACCAACCACCTGTGGCGTTATTATTTCAGTGTCAAATGTCGTGAGCGCAGTATTAGAAGTTGGGATCGCATTTACGTAATAGCCTACGAGCATGCGAATCTCTGTGCTTGTGCACCGATTTCCTCTGCTCGTGCACAAAACTTCTTGCACGCCCCCTCAAATATAAGCTGCTTCAAGAGCGCACAGATCTTCATTTGCGATCTCAATCAAACGCTGCAGGTTGCGATTTAATGCGTTTATGTAACGAGTATGTCTCCAGTATTTATTAGATTTGCTAGGAATGTTTATGAATGTCTCCAATAGACCTACAGAGTAGCATTAATGCATCCTGAAGTTAAGTGAAACGGCTATACGTCGTGTTTGCTGGCCTCACGCATCACGCACCTGTCAGCCAGCACGTCACCTTAAAGGGTAAACAAATGACGCACAGCTCTACTATGGTTACAGAAAAGTTTGCGCTATTATAGTTCACTTATCCTTTATTACGTTTTGGTGCAATTATTACCTGCTATTAAAAAAATATAATGTTTTGAATGAGAAGCTGTAATGCAGCCGGGATGAATTTTGGTGTGGCGCCCTGCCATAGAAGAATGAATGTGGTGGAAACCATGCTACTACTTGTATTATATTGTTTTTTTTTTGTTTTTTTTTTTGCATTTTATTTGTATGTGATCAGGTTTGGGAGGGCCATCTGCCCCATTTTCGACCAGGATTGGAAGGTGGGAGTTCTGATGATGATTTGCCAGCTGGAGGGGAGAACACAAAGACCAGCACAGGTATTGAGCGTTACTGCCCAGCAGAGGAGCAAATCATCAACTTGCCTTTTACTGGTAAATGGAAGTTGATTAAAAAATGGTATGTCATAAAAAAGAAGAAAAAAAAAAATCTTAATGTGTTTATCTGTGGTGTAAGGAAATGGAGCAAGAAGCGAAGAAGAAAATGGTGGCATATCTGTTTCTTCATTGCTACCCACCGCCATCCAGAGCACCGGTGATGTGCTTCGTGGTCTAGGGATTGTCGGTGGAAGTGGAGAGAACAGAGACCATGATCAGATTCAGTCTCTGCTGACCAGATCAGGCATGGTTAATAGCCAGGTAAAGTCAGTGGCAGTTGATTTATCAACACTAAATTCCTTCCTTCCAAGCTTTAAACCAGGGGTCACCAAGCTTGCTCCTGGAAGGCCGGTGTCTTGCAGATTTTAGCTCCAACCCTAATTAATCACACCTGAACAGCTAATCAAGGTCTTTTATGCATACTTGAAACACTCAGGCAGGTGTGTTGAAGCAAGTTGGAACTAAACCCTGCAGGGACACCGGCCCTCCAGGACTGAGATTGGTGACCCCTGCTTTAAACTAACAGTTCAACAACAGAAAACTCACAAAAGGTTTTATTTATACTTGAGTTAGAAATTACAATTTTATGAGGTCATAGTTTATGGATGTCAAAGTCTCTTAAATTAAAATGCTGAACAAAGTGTGTCAAAGAGGACCTCTATGATTCAGAGTTTGCATAAAGAGGATCATTTTTTTTTAATCTTTGCGTAACAGATGGCAGAAACTGGCTCTCAGCTATGTAGTTGAGCTAAAGGCTAATAAATGTAACCCAGCACAATCTTCAGTCTTCCGTTCACAGCATTCCACCAAGAAACACAGGACCCTGCTGTAGGTATAGCTGCAGGTCCTGATGGTATTCACCCAAGAGTTTTGAAAACGTGTGCTGATCATCTGGGTTTTCTTCTCCATATTGATTTTTTTGTCATAATCAAAATACCTATCATGTTGAAGACATCATGTATTGTTTCTATTCATGGTGTTAATAATTTGAGACCCATTGTTTTAACATTACATATAATGAAATGCTTAGAAACGATCATTCTCAGTCATTTAAGTACACAGGTGTCCGCTTTTCCAGGCCTTTACAATTTGCTTACAGAAAGCATGTAGGAGTAGATGGTGCCCTCCTTTCAATATTAAGCAATAATTATAGTCATTTGGAAACAACAGTTAGTTGTCAAAATTATGTATATTTATATTTTTCTTGCGCTTTTATTACAATTTAAACACGTTTTGTTGATAAATTTTTATTTTACACAGAACAGCTATACGATTGGTTTTGGATTATCTTTTAAATCGACCCCAACTTGTTAGGTTAGGTGTCAGATTGTCTGACATGATAATGACTAAACAGGAGCTTCACAGTGAACTGTTTTATCCCCTTTTCTATTTGCACTGCATATGTCTGACTATAGGCACACTCAGACATCATGTTTCACATGATTCTGCCTTGGTTGGTCTGATCAATGAAAATAATGACACAGACTTTAAAAAAGAGAAGTTAAGTTTTTTGTCAAATGGTGTAATGAACTTTCTTAAACCGAATGTGGGGAAGACTATGGAGTTAATAATTGATTTAAGCAATATTACCTGTGACAATTAATGGGCAAAATATAGAGGTAGTCCAAATATCAACTAATTGTAACAACTTATTGTACAGTATATAATGCATATACTAATGTTTATATTACTGTTTTTACACTGTAGATTGAAAGATCAGAGAAAGCCAAATCACAGTAACTGATGTATACAGGCATAACAGTGAGGTTAATTGTAACGTCAAATGTCCACTTTTTTTGTTGTTGTTGTTGTTGTAAAGTCTGCTGTGTTGTTCAGTGACCCATATATTATGAATGAACCTGGCTTAGACCTAACTTAGACCTGGCTTTTTCATCAGGAATTATTTTCAAATAACATGTTTTAATTTTATCTGAACCCATTGTCACTGGAATAAACCTTATACCTAATTCTGATATCAGGTTTGTCTTGTCTCCTGAGCAGCCAGACATGCTTTTATGCAACTTTTTGAGAAGATCTGCTAAATGATTAACCCTTATGTACTGTTGGGAATGTTTTTATTTACTACGGAGTGATTTTGTGTGATAAATTGGCCACAACTTTTTCTGTGTTTCAGCTAGCAGAATGAATTTAGGTGAAAAATTGTACTTCGACACATATTTTGAGAAAATGCTTTGAATTAAAAAAATTCCAATTTACCAGCCTTTTGTTTACTAGTCTTTTGTTTTGTTAGGGATGAAAACCTCCACTAAATTAAACTGCTGTCAATGCATCAGATATATATATATATATATATAATTATTATTTTTTTTTTTTTTGCATAAATCTGTTAATCTGTTAAAACCTCAGTCACGATGAAAACTGCTAAATTGCTTAAAAAATTACATCATGTTAACTCTTTAATTGCCAAATTCATAAATGATGTCATTGGTTTGGTGGAAACAAACACAAAATGTTGTATTTTCAATATAAAAAGTTTTTTATTTTATTTTATTAAAGTTATATTATTATCAAAGTCTTGTAATAACTAAATTGCAACAGTAATAACATTAATAACAATGTAATGACAATGCATTGTTAGATTTTCATTTCCATATATATATATATATATATATATATATATATATATATATATATATATATATATATACACACATATACACATATGCACACACAGAGTGAGTACTTGAAGTACTCTTTACATTAATAACCCTGGGTTCCATCATGTTTCTTTGATTAAATACAGATTTTCAAGGTTATTACTATTATATACTAATAATGCTACTCTTTTTCCTTTTCCTCTTTATAGAATGAAATGAACAATCCAGCGGAAGTTCGGTTGGACACTATAAACTTAAAGAAAGATGTTAGCCACAGCCTTCAGGACCTTTCTGCTTCAGACAACCCTTTCCTTCATAGCACAAATAGTAGTTTTCACCTCTCTAAGATACTTCAGGAATCACATACTAAAACGAAGGAAAATGTCAACTTTATCCAAACAGTGGATCACAGTACTCCTAGCCTTCTTGGTGGCCCTTGTGGGGATTCTTTAGTTCTCAATGCGCACAAGAGGACCAGCAGTGAAAATGTTCTCCCGGGAGAGTCTCTGGAGCCTCGGGACCCTTACCAGAGATTTAATGAAAATCACGAGGAGCAAAATGATATTTGGAATCATCAACCAGAAATGGCGAGGCTTGAGTTACAACAAGGTAAATGTCCATTTCTTAAGTACCAGGGGCCTCATGTACGAAGACTTGCGTGGAAATCTTACTAAAACATTGCGTACGCACAAAGCTGTAAATGTGTGTACGCAGAAAAAAATTCAGATGTATGAAACACTGCGTACGCCGAATCTCACGCATATTCTTTTGTACATCCGAATGAACGTGAAACTGAGCGCAACATGCACGAGCACAAAACCCCTTCCTGCCTCCTCCCCCGTATGAATATGCTAATGACTATGCTAATGGAAAAACCCAACGAAAAAGCAATGGCAAAATCAAGCAAAAAGAGAAACTTTGAACAGAATGTGAATTGGAGGTGCTGCTTTCGGAGGTAGACCGGAGAAAAGCGGTGTTATTTGCAAGTTTGTTCTCCGGAATTAACAACAAAAGAAAAAAAATAGAGTGGGAGAGTTTAGCTGATGCGGTTAACACAGTTGGGTCTGAACATCGCACTGAGTGCATTAAAAATAGAAATAGTGTGGTTTATATGTGTAAAATGTTGCAGCACCCTTAACAGTCTCAGTGGCGCACCTCGTAAGACGCATGTGATCATGTTTTGACACGTTCGAGCATAAACTCCGCTCGAATCCAGCGTCTGATGAACTCTTTCTTCTTTTTTTCCCCGCTACATATCAGATTTTGCCCACTATCACGAGAAAGACAAGTAGGAATCATCAATAAGTTTGTGCATCATATTGTATTTGCACATTTATTGAATGGAAATGTTTCTGATTCACGCATGCAAATTCATCTTCAGATAGTGTCTTTATAGCAATGTGCGTGCAGTAGATCGCTTTGATTACATTGGAAAAACAGGCGACTGCTGCAAATTGTGCTTTAATGTTTAGCTGGTCAACTGTATGGTATGGAAACCTTACATACCTACTAGATGAACCCGTCTCATACAGCTGCCATTGCAAGGCTCAGACACTTTGTAGAGAGGAATTTAACACAACTGCCTCTAGGAGTCGCCAATGGAAATAAAACAGACACGCACAAAAAATGTGCGTACGCCTGCCAGAAAGCTGCCGTGAAGCTGCGCACATTCCCACGTTCAGTTCATTGTTAGTAAATCCAAACGTGAGCGATTCTGAGCGTGAAACCTGGCGTACGCAAAGTTTTTGTGCGTACGCAGCGTTGATACATGAGGCCCCTGATGTTTTGATGCTTCTGTGATATTCAGTGCAGTCAAGAAAAAACACAGAAAAAATGAATTATACAGCATAGTGTGATATTTTGCTCGGAACAATGTGCCAGTATATTAATATATTTTATATTAATAAGTAGAAATGGGAAATTCTGCCAGATTTTTAATAGCATGTATCGGATGAAATTTTAATGAACTAATGGAAATATCCACCAGCAAAGTTAAATTTTTAGAAAAGGAAATGCCATTCATTTTCCTAAATTATGTTTCGTTTCAGTTTAATAATGAAAAGAAATTTGTATGCTGATTCAGTTTGGCGTGTACTGGTACATAGGTAGGGTTTTGGTACCCAACCCTATTATACTGTCAGTAGCATCTTTTGGATGGAATTTTAAAGTCAGGTCTTCACTCTCTGTGATTATTTAAAATCCCATGGAACATCTTGTAAAGAGTAGGGTTGTAACCATGGTGTCCTGTTCATATTCACTTGTAGAGAAACCAAAAACCCCAAAAATGAATTTTGGGTTTTAGTCCAAAAATTACCAGTCTGTCAGATGTTCTGTGGTTGAATCTTTTGCCATGCTGTCAGATCAAGATGCATTTCAAATGAAGGTTGGGTGTGCTTCTACATGTTACATCAGGACTCGACAATAAGGACAGCCAGATGACCTGGGGCCAGTGTGTGGGACAGTATACAGAGTGGTTACTGGCCTGATCGGGCCAGTGCTGCCTTGTCACTAAAGTTTAATTTGGCTGGGACTGTTTGTCAATTGTGTGCAAACATAGGGTGCTTTCACGCCCAGATGTTTGTTTTGGAACTTGTTTTGTTTGCCCAGTAAGCACGGTACATCTGGCATGTAAATCCCGCAATCACGCGTCCGCGCCAAATTAATTAGTCCGAGATCGCCAGAATGAGGAGGTCTCGGTTCGATTAAGCAGATCGATTGTAGTGGGAAAACAAAACGATCCATTGAACTAACGAACTAGGCTATATCACAATGTTTTATGATTGTATAATAGCCACACGTACAGCTATATGAAGAGAGAATTATGAGCAGGGCGGGATGTCATTTCTACCATTAAGTGTACGTTGTCTAAGACGAAAGCAAAAGCTTGTTGAAGAATTACCAAGTGCTGTTTATACGTTTGGAAAATTGACCAAAATGAATCTTATTACATGTTGTATGAGGCCTGTTGTTTTATTAATTTCTGTACTGACACCTTGACCGAAAGATCAACATTGATCTGCTTCATGATCTAACTCCAGAAAAAAAAAAAAAAAAAAATATATATATATATATATATATATATATATATGATGCTAGTCACGGCAGTTGTTTTCACTTCTGTTATTCTGAACTAAGATGGCAATGATGCAACTCAACCCGAGTCTGTTCACATGTTGCATCTAAAAGCAGGTGTGCGTAGTTTCCTTCATTTTCAATGCGGTTTGCGCATTTGGGGTGCTAAAGGGGAGGGGGGGTGGGGGGGATGTGGTCTGGTGTTTTGCGTCGCGGACATCGCCCTCTCTTTTCTGCCGCCCTAGACGGCCACCTTGGCCAATGATTTTAAGCATTACCCTCCTTTAACATATCAAGTCTGCCATTCTAACCTAATCAGCCTGACATAATAATTTCCTGCCTTGTGCTCGTCAACATTCTCACCTGAGTTAACAACACGGTTACGGAAATGATCTCAGCAGGTCTTTTAATGACAGCAATGAAATGCAGTGAAACTTTTTTTCAGGATTAAGTTAATTTTCATGGCAAAGAAGGACTGCAAATCATCTGATCACTCTTCACAACATTCTGGATTATATGTAAATTACTACTATAAAAACTTAAGCAGCAACTTAAGGCCAATTTCCAATATTTATGTAATTTTCAAAGCTTTTGGTCACGACTGTACATACTAACATGCACAGAGCCAGTTCAGAGAATTAAAAAACGGTTTGCTGCTTAGTTTTTTTTTTGTCACACTTTAATGTTTCTGATCATCAAATAAATATGGAAGTTAGTCAAAGATAACACAAGTAAACACATCATGAAGTTTAGAAATGGTTTTTATCATTAAGGGAAAACAAAACTACATAGCTAAAAGGACCTACTGTGTAAAAGGACCTGCCCCTATACCCAATAACTGCTTGGGCCACCCTTAGCATCAACGACAGGAATTAAGCATTTTTGGTAACTCTCAAAGAGTCTGTTACATGATATTGTTTTTCTGATATGCGGTGATACTTTTATGTCCCACATAATGGGACGCACCTTCCAAAAAGTTCAACTTTGTTCTTGTCATGGTATTTTCTCAAAAGTCTTGGGGATCATGAGATTAAATGATTTCTTGATTGGGAACAGGTGTGATAGTAATCAGGCATGGGGGTGGCATAAGAATAGTATGTTTTAATAGGCACAAACACATTTTCAGTGAGGGCTAGTTTTGTATTTTGTTTTCCCTTAATAATAAAAACCTTAATTTAATAGCTTAACATGCTTGCTTGTCATCTTTGTCTAAAGTTTAAATTTGTAATTTGATCTGTATTTGTGTGTTATGATTTAAAATTTTACTTTTAATAAGTTTTATTTCTTTAGATGCCAATGCCACTCATAGTGTGGTTTACCAGAATGAAGAAGGAAAGTGGGTCACCGATTTGGCCTATTATTCTTCCTTTGAGAAAGAAATGGAAGCCAATATGCCTGAGGATGTTGCTTTGGAGTTCCAGTCTGAAGATTTTCTGGCTGGAGGTAAGAGAAATGCTATCATGTTCTTTATTCTCCCTTAAAATTAATTTATTTGAGCGAGTGCAGGGTGAATTAATCTTCCAAACTTTTTTACTTACTAAACTTATTCCTAATTACTACAGTGGACTTGCAAAAACAGTTTGTTGACACATGACATGACATGAATATAAATGAGATTTTATGCATGCTTAGGAATAGAGCTATTGTTCGAAAATCTTCTATAGCGGTTTTGATACTAATACGTTAAATTTAATAGCAAATCCAGTCAACAATTTTTTTAATACCAATTTTATAAAATCTATAAATATGTTAATATTTATGTATTATTTGTAATACAGTTTTGTCCTTTAATACAAGCAGTAAGATATGAACTGCACTTTAAATTGTACCTGCATAAAGAAAACACTCTTTTTGAATGTATCAACTCCAATACATGCACAGAAGACCGCATGAGCATTTATAGCAAATAAACTAATGCAAGTATTATCCCACTTGCTTTTTGAGTGCTTCAAGCTCTATGATTGGTCATTGTCTTTGCCAGCTCAACAGAAAGGGCTGCGCTTGGCTTTAAAAATGAAAGCGCTGTTCACAGATGATTGACCAAGGAAGAACAGCCGCAGTTACTGTCTGTATGCGTGTAATACGCGGTCATCACAGGTAATCTATAATAGACAGTGGAGAAAACTTGCACCACAGGCACACTCATGTCTGTATCCACAACTCAAGAGGAGAGGAAAAGTTATCTCATTAACACCCCATCGGGTCAAATGTCTGAAGTGAAAGAGGCAGAGCTGGATTTTTACAGCCTTTCTCCCTACCAGTGAAATTGCGGCTCCTGTGCTGTACCTTCTTCAGTGTGAATGAAAGACTTTCCAGCAAACTCTTGCTGTGAGGCGACAGCACTATCTACTGTGCCACTGCGTCGCCATACACCAATTCATGTGCATCTTAATAATAAATTACATTTTTGACCTCCAAAAGGATCTGTAATTTATAGGGGTGTAACGATACACTCAGCTCACGATATGATGTGAATCATGATATAATGTTCATGATTCTATATATATCACGATATTTGGAATAAAAATTGAAAATTAAACTGAAATGCAAATTTTACCAAGTAAACTATTTTTTATGTATTTCTTTTGTTTCAACTTGTTAAACTGAACCTTCTTTAAGAAAATAAATTAAACAGGCCTGTCTCTGGAAAATAAAACAATTTAAAAACTTCCTAAAAAATATTATTGAAATGACAGAGACAAAATTAAGGAACAATTTAAGTAAAGGTGCAAAAAAAAAAAAGCTTTCTATTCAATTGAATTTAACAGTAAGAGCTTAAGGCTTTGCTTGGTCACTTGCGTTTTTTGTGTGTGCAAAAACAATCCACATTTCCAGGTATTTAATTCATATTTACTTACATTCATTTAGAGATATCTCTAATTACAATTGTGACTAGTCAAAACTCATTTAGAGATATCTGCAAATATTTTTCAATTGAAGTCAATGAAGGAATATGACTAGTCATAAATATCTCCAATCTGATTTCTTACTAGTACAATTGTAATTGCAGATATGTCTAATTGTCATTCTGACTAGTCGAATTATAATTATGACTAGTCAAAATATAATTAGAGATATCTCTAAATATGTTTATGGATAGTCAGAACAAAGGTTTAAAAGCTAAAACGGCTTGCCATACGCGCGCGTCTATCATAGTCCGCCCTCTGTAGTAACAGCTCACGTCATGTGTGATTTTGCGGCCGCAAATACATCATTATATGAAGACAGAATGATATTTTAGGGTGAATTTTACCTTATAAATACAGTATGTGACTCTTTCAACACCATTAGAAGGTTTCCATGTCGCTGTGCAAAGTATGTAAATCACTGTGAAGACTTTAAAACTTAGGCTATGTTTGACCCAGTATGCGTGTCAAAAAGCGGACGAGTCTAAAGCAATGACTGTACAACCGAAATGTTGCCAGACGTCTGATTTTGAGAGGATGGGCCATCCTCTATTTCAGCTCTACTTATCTTGGTCTGCTAACATTACTGCTGCTGCAATCTGAACTCACCTGCGACAGCAGGTGGAACGTAGCTCACGTGCAAACAGCTCAACTAATAAGAGAAAACGGACGTCAAACGCCAAATCAAATCGTCATAACGCCACGATGCATATTGTAACATTTTTGCATCGCAATAAATCGTACAACGATAAATCGTTACACCCCTAGTAATTTATATAAACAGAAACATGAAAGAATCAAACAGAAAGTGTTTACCCTATAAAAACCCCAAGTCATTTAGACTATATAATTAAAATAAACAACTTTGTTAAAAATCTCTTTAATGATAGCGTTAGAGAGATCATACTAAAGTATATTTATCAAATGTGATGTATTTATTTGTTCAATCAATTAGCTTTGATGGTTCTCTTGTAGGCAACTTTTTGCACCCTTAATATAGTGGTAGGGGAAACACTGAGCTTGACATGCTGTCTTCACTAACATGTAGGTAAGGCCATGGACAAGATAATTGAGGATCAGGAGGAGTTTGAAAAGGAGCACCAGTTTTTGCAGGTATGTAAGGTTTTCTGCTGTTTTTTTATTATTAGAATTATTTCTTTCAACCTGGAATATATTTCACACAAAGACCTTTAGCAGGGAAACATGCTTTCTGTTGTCTTCCTTTAGGAAGAGCAGATTCAAAATGTAAATATGAGTGAAGTGTTGGGAGACACTTCTTGGAAAATCCCATCTAGTAGCAACATCCTCATGAGAGCCTCCCAGGTCTCCTCCGAACTTGAGAGTGGGAACCAAAGTTATCTACGCATTTCGCTTGGGGAGTTTTTTCAGAGGCGATCTGAAGCTCTGGGTTGCCTTGGGCACAGTGAAGAAGACTATGTTAAAAGGGTAAGTGCTTATTTATAATTCTTTTAAAATCAAATCAAACTTCAAAGAACACTGTACACCACACAAATTGCTTTCGCACACAAAATAATAGGCTAACTCCAGGCCATGCATGTATAATACAGCATAAATACAAATCTGACTTATGTTTATAACATTTCAAACAGGAGTATACCTTAGTATATTTTAGGGTAAAGTAGTTATAGGGTATATTTTATTTGGATTTATTTGAAATGTGTTGTATTGAGTTTGGAGCTAACCTTTTAAACTGGGGCTTTCAGGAGAAGTTTACTGCCTTGAACTGATTCTAGGGGCAAATATTTTTCTTTTGATTTATTTGAAGAAAAAAAAAAATTCCTCTTACAAAGCGTACTGGCATAATTATGATATTATTTGTTTAGATGAAAAGAGGCACTCTCGGCAGGGCTGCTCTATTATGGGAAAAATTATAATCATTATCATTTAAATCTATCATTTATGGAAGCCTGTTCTTGTCACGGAATAAAAAAAAAAACAATAATAGTAATAATAATAAAAAAATTAAGAAGTCAAAATTCTGAGTTATAAAGTCACAATTCTGAGTTATAAAGTCGTAATTTTAAGTCGCAATTCTGAGTTAAAAAGTCGCAATTCTGAGTTAAAAAGTTGCAATTCTGAGTTATAAAGTTGCAATTCTGAGTTATAACGTCGTAATTCTAAGTTATAACGTCGTAATTCTAAGTTACAAAGTCGTAATTTTGAGTCTCAATTCTGAGTTATAAAGTCGCAATTCTGAGTTATAACATCGTAATTCTGAGTTATAACGTCGTAATTCTAAGTTACAAAGTCGGAATTTTGAGTCGCAATTATGAGTTCTAAAGTCGTAATTCTAGGTTATAAAGTCAGAATTGGGAGTTATAAAGGAGTTTCCTGTTATGGCGAAAGACCATAGACTGTCACAATTCTGAATTCTGACAAGTCAGAAGTCTCCCTCTGAGAAAGACTCCTTACATTTGTGGGAACTCCGTAAAGGATCAACCTACGTTTAAGGTGGTTCAGGGATTTATTAACTTATTTTAAGGAATCGAATCTTGAAGATTTGAATCACCTGATTCGACTCAAATGGGTCAGACTGAATCCGATTAAAAGCTTTACACTTTATCTACCATTTGTTCAGCAAATAGAAGACCAAGCTCATTTATATTATTTCCATGGCCAGCGATAATAACATAACTCAAGTATTGGGTTAGACTTTAGTAACAAAATCTACAGCTTGAGGCAATGACTTAGAAGCACACAAACACCACAGTTTTTACAAAATTAAACATATTATTAAGCCACACTACAATATGTGCATTACTAAATAAACAAATGCACACACACACACATTCACACGTACACACAGAGGCATTCAGAGGATACAAAATGAGTGACAACCATCCCAAATTAATTCTAGTTCTTATTACGTATTGCTTATTATTACTTGGAATTACACTTGAGAAACCACAAAATCAGGGATTTGGCTTATCGTTAACTGCTTAAGATAAATTTGCATCAAATCAGCAAAAGACAACATTTGTTTGTGTTACTTGTGCTTTTGCTGAAAGACTTGAATTTCCCTCGATGGCTGGCCTTATTGAAACACAGTGCTCCCTATTGGTTGGTGACTCAGCTTCAGTGAGGTCTTTGAGATTCACTTGCTTGTAAATGGAGGTTGTCCTGGGTTACCGGGGCAACGGACTTTGCTGAGAGTCGCTTTGCGGAGGTTCTTGCGGTTTTGACGAACCCGAAACTTAAAGAGGTTACATGGAAAGTTTGTGGTGACCCAATCGCGTGGCGGTGCGGTGTCCCAGAGCAAGGCGAAAGGGAGCAGAGAGCAAACATTAAATGTAACAAGACGAGTACTGTTTGTACTACTAGTTTTTTAATTTACACTAGTGTATTGCAAATGTCACTAGCTTTTGTTTAGTACCAGACATCATACATTTTAGACACATACAAAGTTTTGTCTGTTTATAAGGGTTAAAAACAGATTGATTAACTAGGTTGGTTACAATGGTTGCAATAAACACATAGTATATGAGGAAAACTATGGCATATTATTCAAAGATACAGCTGCCTTAAATGTAACACTTCAAATGATTGTCTTTCATTTATATGCAATATTTCCAAAGTTTTTTTGTCCAACAGGATGTACCACATGACCCAAGAGTCATGAAAAAGAGGCTTGTGATTCACTTCCTATTAAAAGGCTTGTAAAGCACCATTGTTGGTTAATTTACATTTCTCATCTGGTCGAACTAAATGTGCAGAGCTGCAGTCTAGGTGCCGAAGGCTGGAGAACAAAGGACGTCCATCGTGGAGAAGCTGCAGGTGTGAGTAGATCACCAGTAGGTGTTAAGGCTGGCCCACGGGATCATTGTAGAAACTCGTCTGTCACTAGGGTCTTTCAGGAGTCAGTCTCATGTTCTCCACTCCTCCACGACCACCACAGCATCTGCTCTGGATCTGGCCTGGTGAAGGATTATTGAGACCTCGGGATAATGAAAAATACTGACTAACATAAGTGTAGATGCTGTCCTTTTGGGAAGTGTTCCTGGCTCTGGTTGTACAAATTAATGCAGCCTAACAATTCTTTGGAGGATTTCAAATGCATTTGTGTTTTATATCGCAAACAGTGTTCATTTTGTAACATTTGAAGTAATTTAGTTACGAATTTAGAAGATATTTCACCCTGTGAAATTGACAAACGGTTTGTTAATGACTTACCCTAAGTATAGTGGTACAGGGTGTGGCCCTGCCCTCCATGGTGACCGCTCATTGGAAAACAGTGCCATTGGGATGGACCAAACCAGATCACTTAAAACCTACTGTAACAGTAAAACTTTGCTTTTTACATTAGTTTACGCTGTTCTCTGCCCCCTTTCGACTTACTCTCGAATTGCACCGCACCACCACACGATTTCAGGACCGCCAAAACCGCAAGAAGAACTTTTGCAAACAATCTCTCAGCAATGTCTGTCACCCTGGTAACCCAGGACAACCTCCAATTACAGGCGAGTTAAGCCTGGTTTATACTTCTGTGTCAAGTGACCGGCGTAACCCATGGCGCATGCAACAAGCGTAGCTGTGCATTTATACTTCTGCGCGCTGTCTCTGTTGGTCAGCATTAACTTTCCGAAACGCTAGTTGGCAGTGAGGTGTAAATGTTCCTTTGTGTCGAATTTCTTAGCTGGTGTTTTGCTTTTCCTGGACACTTTCTGGATGTACAAGTGGCTCAAACTCGCTCATTTTGAGGCAGGAACCGGCGGTTGAGCAATAACTTTACCTATGAGGTAAACACAAAACAAAACTTTCCATCCGGAGCTCCCTCACAGGACTCCACACTTGTAAACAATCGCTCCATCACGCTCGCACCGTTGGCGCGGCTCTCTGTCCCGCCAAGACTAGTCAGCGCTACCAAGCCGACCAATCACAGAACTTGCGCTATGCGTCGTTGCGACGTGTAGTTACATTTTATGAGAGGTGCACGTCAGCGACGGCCACGGCGTAGGGCTATGCGTCAACGCTGTAGCATACACGTGCGTTTGATGCAGAAGTATAAATCAGCCTTTAATCCTAAGGACATCACTGCAGCTGAGCCACCAACCAATTTGGGGCACCATCGTCAGAAAGAAGCACTGAGTTTTCTTCCTTGTAACATTTGCATTTCAGCCGTCTTTTGGATACTTCATTACTTCTCCTGAAAAGAGGGAACCTGTTGCTTTACTTCGGCCTTCTGATATCTTCTCCAGAGGAAACTCTATCCACGTTGAGACCATTCAGCAAAGTGATGCTGATGAGACACTAAATCAAGGTGCATTTAACACACTTTACTCACATTACTTGTTTACAATAAAAATATTGTTGAATAAATAATTATTGACTGAACAAAACCCCCCTGCATTTTATACATTTAATTTATAATAATTTTTAAAAAGCCATTTTAAGGACAAAATTATTAGCCCCTTTAAGCTAACATTTTTTTTTTCTACAGAACAAACCATCAATATACAATAACTTGCCTAATTACCCTAACCTGCCTAGCAACCTAATTAACCTAGTTAAACATTTAAATATCACTTTAAGCTGTATAGAAGTGTCTGGAAAAATATCTAGTAAAATATTATTTACTGTCATCATGGCAAAGATTAATTAAATCAGTTATTAGAGATGAGTTATTTAAAAACTATTAAGTTTAGAAATGTGTGTTGTGTGTTGAAAAAAATCTCTCTGTTATACGGAAATTGATGGAAGAAAAAAATGGGTTTAATAATTCAGGGGGTCTAATAATTCTGACTTCAACTGTGTGTGTGTGTGTGTGTGTGTGTGTGTGTGTGTGTGTGTGTGTGTGTGTGTGTGTGTGTATAGATAGATGATATATATATATGTGCGTTCTCTCGCCGTTTTGTGGCGAAACGTCAACCATTATTGTTCATTATTACTTCATGTTAGTAAATAATACAGATTTCCTGACTAAAGATGATCCCAGTCAATCAGTTGTCTTTTTCCATTTAAAATTAAACATGCCAAACTTGTTGTTTGTTTTGTTTTTATATCACTCCAAAAATATCCACTTCAGCTTGTTATTATAAATAGTCTATCTTTTCTACAACATTGATGACATAACAAGCTGAATAATAGGTTTCCTTTAACTAATTTTATATCCTTTGTCTAATTTACAGATGATCTAGATAAGACACTTGAGCCCAATACAGCAGAACCTGCTTGTGTTAATGTGCAACAAAAAGAGGAGCAAGTTTCCCAGGTATTTACATGTTTTAAAATTTTGATTGATGCTATGTGATCATTTAAAATAATTTTTTTTTTCCTCTGATGTTTGGATTAGATCTCAACCCAACATGAAAATAATGAGGACCATACTTCTGAACCGCCAAGCTCTAGCAGCAACCTCATGCTCAGCATAAGTACAATTGCCTCAGCAATTGCTGATGCATCTCTCAGCTCAGATCCTGCCCAGCTTGGTGCCATGATAGTGGAGCTGTCTCAACAGAGCCGCTCCAAAAGCCACCAGCAAGTAAAAGAGCTGATAAGAAACCCTGTTGCAGCCTTACAATTAAATGGTTTATTCGAAGACCTGCAGAAGACCACATTAGTGGGAGATGTTAGTGCTCCTGACATGGAGAAATATCTTAAGAAGGCTGAGGTCTCCTGTAGTGACAGCGACGAATCTTCTTCACAGTCCTGCTTTGACGTCCTCACTTTGGCTGATGGTTTGGCTAATTCCAACAATCAGGTCCAACAGCAGTTGGCTCCTGTGAAAAATACTACGATGTATAAAAATGAAGAGCTTTCAGTTATGGAAGAGCAAGAAGCAAGCAAAAAATGTCAGGTCCTTGCAGGCAAGGTGTTCAAAAATCCAAGGTCTGATGTCAAACGGAGTGCAATTCCACGACCTAAGTCAAGCTGTTTACCAACTGCCACTGCAAATCCAGCCAAAAGATCTGTAGGTTCTGACAAGCGGACATCATCTTACATACCTGTTAAATCAAAACCTTTTGGTTTAAAACCAACCAATACTGGCCACTCTGCAACATCATCCAACTCTAAGGATGTTCCTGAATCCAGCATCAAAACAGAAACTGCTTTATCAGCCACTGGTAGCCATTCCGTGAAAGTTGACGAATCGTTGTCAACTTCTACACTAAAATCCTTGCCTGGACTTCAGAATGGTGGGCACTCAGAACTGACATTGTTGAAAACCTCCCCACACAAACCTAGAGCCCAACCAAACGAACCTGTTATCGACCAGGCACGGTTACCCAAAGTATCTGAAGCTACTCTTTCAGTTTCAAAAGAGAAAAGTGAAACCATCAATTCTAATGATGAACTGCCAGGAACACAGGAACAATTTGGTATTATTTTTTCATGTTTTCATGTATTTATGCATACAAGTATGTATAAGACATTTAATTTGTCTTCATCTACTACTTTTTATTCAAGGTTCACCTGAGAACAGTGCCCCCAGTTCAATGGAAGTCACTAATTGTAATTTCAGGCCGTCTACCTCTCCTCTTACCCACTCCAGTCCAAGCCAGACCTCAATCCAAAGTGGATATGGGTAAAAACAAACAAACAAACAAACAAACAAACATACAAACAAAAAATCACTAGTGGTGTAAATATTGTAATTGATTACACAACACATAAAGTAATTATGTGATTATATAACACAATTCTCTCTTTTTTTGTTAATTATAATTCTTATAATTGTTTGTTGTCCTTTCTTTATTATAAATATAATAAGTATAAACTTAAAATAAACAGGGTTTACAACCTCTGAATTATTATGGTATTTTAAAAATGTCTATTCCAGACATTGAATGTTGGTACTTCTTCCCCATGTCATGGAATATCAGGGATTTTTGTTTGTTTTTATTTATTCAAATTTTTCTGTAATTATGCAAGCAAATATGCACTTTCACTCGTATTGTTATGGTTAAGCTATTTTATTCCTTTCACAATCATCAGCTGGCAGTCACTTAAATCAAATGTTCCCAAGACTGTACCTGAGAATCTGAGAAGAATTAACCTTCAAACTGCCCACTTTAAAGACTTGGGGTCCGTTCTTCGTACGTGGATTACTCGGTTAGCTGGATTTGGATATTGACGATTTGACAAGATCCAGGATCGTTTCGTTCTTCAAAGCTGATCCGAGAGTTGTTGTCATAGCAACAGTTCTGCTAGCTTAAACCTGATCGGGAGCAGGTTCAATTTATATAAACAGGATTAAATCGGCTCAGTTCAAGCAAATATAATACAGAAAGTATGTACCGAATTCTGATATTTTCTTACAGTAGTAGTTATATACACTTGGGAAAAGAGTAAATATTTTTTAAACTATATATATATATATATATATATATATATATATATATATATATATATATATATATTGTTATAGTTATTAATAAAATAAAGTTATATATATTAATAAAACTTATGCAATCTGCACTCTCGAAATGAAAGTACAAAGACTGCCACCTGGTGGTGCACAGAGAAAACTTATTGATATGAACTTTTTAGATCGCTTAGTACAAATTGTGTATAATAAACATGCACAATATGTGACTTTTTTTAAAGCAATAATACATTTATGCAGTCATGAACATTTTGACAGTTATGCCAGTGATTCGAGGATTCACAAAAGTTGCAGACGCCTTTACCAATATCAAAATGCTTTTGTAAACAACCAGTTATTCTTTACACCGTTTTAAAAAAATGGCTACTATAATAAAGAAAATCTTTTCTAAATGTAGAACTAAATACATTGATTTGCATTGAAATACATGATGAATACTCTTGACACATGAAAGTGTAAAGCCTGCATTTCACAACAAATGTGGAAGGTTATTGCGTGTCATATTTAACAAACCGTTTACTGCTAATTTGACGTAGTTTTGCTCACATGGATAATTGAATATTAATCAGATGATGTCACTACGCTGCTGTGCCGTCAGCCAATCGCTGCATGGCTGATCATGATTTCGAGGATCGATAGATCTGTCCTTCACAACACACGCAGCGATCTCAGATCAGTTTATCCAGACATTCTAATCTGATTCGCGAACTTGTTTGAAGAACCAAATTAGCGAGAGATCAGTTATCAAGATTAAAAGATCCAGGATCTGCCAAATCATCTTAGATCATTTTAGCGAGGTACGAAGAACGGACCCCCGGTGTTGAAAAGTAACAACAAAAGATTAATGTAGAATTTGTAAAACTTCTATAATGATATCAAATATGGGGAGAACAGTTCACAGCCACACAAATGTTCTCATAGTGGCTATTGCAAAATTATATTCAAGCTAAAACTGTTTTATTGCTGTCATTGTATTTACACCATTTTCAATGTTATTGTTAATATACTAAAAACAATGACAGCATGTTTTTTTCATTCATTTGATGTCATGGAAATTCAGCCTTTAGTCAGTGAAAGTCAGGCTAAAGTCAAAGAATTTGATATTTTATATTATAGTGGAAATCCTGAATAAGAAATGTCTAACATACTTTTATATATTTTAGAGCAGACCCTGCTTTTTTTCATTGAATTTTATTATCAAAGTTTTTAATTGAATGTTATTATCTTGCAATTTCTGTTTACTTGTCAATCCTAATGGTTAAATAAAATGAAAAATGTTTTAAAGATATCCGTAGTTCCGTACATGGATTAATTTAAGATTTCTGTATGTTTTGTAAACAGGGAGACATTTCAAGGCTCACCCACTAGTGAGATGGCTCAGAGAAATCCTGCTGGAGATCCAGGTTCCCCCCAGTCTCATTGTTCAAGCCCATCTATTAGCAGACTGACTTACCTCTCAATTAATGAGAACACATGCGTGCCCACCCCTGATCACCGTAAGGTCAGTGTTTAACTTCATTTTAGAAGAAAGTGAATTATATTAAACACTTCACATCACTAAATCTTCACATCAGCACCAAGACATGGCAACTGGCAGCGCTGTTGACACAAAAGGAGGAAAAGCCACAATAGCACTGAAGCTCAAACACATCACTCACTCATAGTTCACACTGACACGAACATCAAAATACAGAAATATCCTGTTTTAAATTAAACCTAATGTTTCTACTTCATATTTTAATACCTCTTTAACTTTCACCTATAGTACCATAAACCAATGTAAGTAGCCTATATACAATACATAAATCAAACCGTTTTAAAGCCACATATACCTTTCATTTTACAAAGACCTGTCTGAAAAAAAGATTTTAAATATTTTCTAAAAACAAACACCGGAGGAGGTATGAGATATTATTTATAATGTACTTGGATACGATGATATTAATCAAATCGTGCAAACCTTTTTTTCTGTCTCTCAGTTCTGTGCAGCGCTGCTTTAAACGCATTGGGGAAAAGTCTAAACACAAAATGTGTTCTATATCCTCAAACAAGTGTTCATGTTTTTATATGACGTGGTAAAATTTTATAAATGAAGAGCTTTAATGAATAGCTGCTGAGTGCAACAAATATGGCTATATTTTATTAGGTTACTCGCTCTTGTGCTGAAACACTTAACACGACATCTATCAAAAAAGATGTTATAAAATGCATTTCATACCGAGTTATTAATGGAGAATTTATATTATGGATGGGTGCACTCACTGTGCTGGGTCCCTCCGTGGCAAGACCACTCGACGATGCACAATGCTAACAGTCGGTCGGTGAGTAAACAGATGTAATGAATGGAAACACACAGGCCCGTAGGTTTAGACATACCATGTACTGCTGCACAGTAATGTGTCATTTGTTTTATTCGGTTGTCTTCATTTTAATGCTCTCGTGATGATGGAATGGTGTGCTTTATCTGCCTGATTCCCGCTGAAGTGGGCGGGTTGTGTGACATTTTGATTCGGGGGCGGGGTTTGCGTGGCGTGCTGCGAGCTACTAGCCCGACAGTGGAAATGCGACATGATTTCAGCCTCACTGCTCAACCTCCCGGGCGATTGGCCCAGCCCGATAAAAGCCCTGGCTTGCACTGACCCGACAGTGGAAATGCGGCTATTGAGGCCTACTCACCGTTCTTTGTCTCTCTCTCCCTCCCGTCTTTACATCTCAATTTACATCTCATTCATAATAGAGCGACCTGTCAACATTGCAGAGAATGTGTTTAATAGTTTGTGACACTTTAACAATTCATGTGGAATCTCAGAATTTCTGAGCAAGTCTATCATTAAAACAGATTTACAAATTGTGCCTCAATCATTTCATGCTTTTAAAATATAATCATCAATCCAAATAATAGAAGCCTTGTAGACTTTGCTAAAATGTTGTCAATTTTAAACATGTTGATTTAGTTACAGTAGAAATATGTTTATAATATTTGGTACTTTGATTTAATTGCACAGACAACTTACACCAATCTTTTTCTCCGCTTTTTTCAGAAAAATACCTCAATGTCTCTTAGCACCACTATTATCCGTGCCAGCCCAACTCCGCCAATGGAGCCATTCAGTAATGATATTGTTCTGAGATCTATGAAGAGTGCAGAACCTCTTTGCCATTCTGAAGTTGCAGGCCTCAACGTAAAAACTCCAATGCTGGATGTACGCAGTGAAAGCGAACTCGATGGAAATGCATACAACAACAACCGTCAGTCAGAGCCTGGCTCGAATATGTATGGTCAAGGAGACTCTGGGTACTCTAGCAAGCTAACCAATCAGCATCTTCCTGGGGCAGCAATAGAACAAATGCACCAAGCGTTGCCTCAAATCTTGGGGTGTGGGTCTTGTCTTAGCAAATCCGATGACTTGACACATGGGTCAGTCCCGGGCTACAACTCTCAGCGTGTCCTCACAAACTTTCCCAATTTCTTGACAGAGCATTCTCTCTTCAGTTCCCACCTGGCAAAAAGGTATCTGAGCGCAGAAGGGCCTCTGCATGCTCCTTCCTGTCAGATTGCAGGGCCATCTGGATTGTACAGAGTATCAGCTTCTGGTTCAAACACATCTATGGTACACATGCCTTCAAGTCTTCAGTCTGGTTACTTGAGTAATATTCAGCAATGTCCTGCTCAGTATGTAATCAGCAAGAACTATACACACCCAAATGCCGAGTCATGGACCACAGGAGATCTTGCAGACATTAGAAGTGAGTGAAAAATTGCAGTCTTTCAAAGTCATTAGGCTCATATGATGGAATTTGTCAAATGGAATATTTTTTTTCATCTGTACTTTAGCTCAAGTGCTGGTTCCAAGTGAACTGAAGTTTCACAGTTCTTGCTGTGTGGGAATTGCCTCTCATACATCCCTCAACATCTTCAACCCCTCTAAACACTGGCAGCAAGTTTCCATCTCCACGACAAGCATATCTATTGATGGAGAAAAGGTAAGTAAAGTAAAAGTGTTCAAGTTCATTTAGGGCGTACTCACACTATGTACAGTTGCCTTGAACCGGGCCAAAGCACGCTTCCCCCGTTGGCCCACACTCGCATTACATTTGGGTCTCGGCACGCTTAGGTCATCGATGCTGTGTTGTTCTGTAAGTGCTCTCGCTCAGCACAGTGAAGATTTTTTTAGTTATTTTGGTTAAGTTGTTTGAGACGCAGTGACACGCAAATATTTTGCCGAACAGATCAGCTACTATTGACGCTCATAAACTCCTCGAGCTGCAGAAATTGAAGTTTGCTAAAGGTGCGCGCAGCTGTCATGCAGTGAGGGGTTTGCGTCTTTAATAATTATGACATTTTGCGTTCACTGAACAGTAAGAATGATTAATTAATCCATATAAAACAGTCCCTTAAAAGTCACGTCTTGCTTTCAGTTTCAGGCTTAGGCTGGTTTTGCACTCGCGCACAAGCGTACTGCGACAAAGCCCTTGTGAACCACGCTCAGCCCGTGCCTGAGCCCGATCCAGAGTGCCAAACACGCCAAAGAAAATGAAGAAAACTAATATTAGGGTGGTGGATTTCCTAAACAAAACAACTTAATGCAAAGGTCCCCTTCTGTTGACAACCAAACTCGGACACTCAGTTGAAAGTAAATATGAATAGATTTATTTATAGAAAAAAGTAGTAAATATAAATGAGCATCTCTTCAGGGTGGCCAAAGGCCAAAATAACAAACTGAAGAATCTATAAAGTAAATGCATTAAATTACCTATCAAATTTTAAAGAAAATATAGGAAGCTTACTTTTCTCCCTAAACATAAATACAGTCACAAGTAATCAAATAAATAGGCAGAAAGCACGAGAAGAAAGTGATGATGCTCCGGAAGAGATGCATTTCTCTAAAAATGGTGTTATTTTCAAACTGTCACTGATAAAAATAATTAAATAATAATAAAAGGACTATTTGGCCACAAAAGTTTTGTAGTTAAAAATGTGGATTGTGTTGTATTGTATTAGATTAGATTCAATGTCATTGTCATTACACATGTACAAGTACAAGGCATACATAATTATAAAGGTATATGTACAGTAGTTCAAAATGAATTAGTGCAATGTAGTGCGATGAATATGTGCAACTTTTTTCTTTTAAAATGTAATAAAGAGAACCTTATCCGCTTGTTAAGTGTGACGTCACTCGAATCGGCTTCTGGGTCCAGTCGCTCTATCAAACTTTATAGGGAGACTGATCAAATGGTAATAATAAACGTTTACAAATTGATGTAATACTTTAGAAAATCACAACCGCAATGTATATATCCATGCTTAATATCCGATGGCCAGAAAGTAATAAATTTTTTATAAATTGTTACAATTTTGGTATTTGTAATGCAGCAAGTCCAGAGACCGATATGTACACTATGATTTTGTCGAAAATTCTCTTTAAGGTGTGATATGATTAAAAGTAGCCATAAATATTTTCTCAATTCAAATGAATAGCGACTTGGACGCGGACACAGTATTCCATATGTCACTGTTACGTCACGACTTAACAAGCGGATTCCCAGTTGTGCATCAGGTCTGTAATTTTTTGTAATAGTTTCATTGCATCACAGGTGGAGTCTCTTCCATTCCAGTGGCTGATAGTCAAGAATAAAGCCATAATTGGACCCAAATGTTCTGAAGAACATAAGGTTCTGTTTATAGCTCCAAAGGCTGGACTGTATCAGTGTACTCTCAGTGTGTCATCTTGGCCTGCATCTGCAGATGCAGAGACTATAGCTCAAGCTGAAGCCTTTGCCAAGAAAGTTGTGCTGATCGCTGTAGCTGAGAACCCATCAATAGAGGTAAAACGTTTATTCTTCCCTTTTTGTCTGTTCTAAAGCATACAAATGAATTATTTATTATTTAATATGTCATTTATTATTATTAATATTATATTTTCAACTATGAGTTGTAATTAATGGTATTGAACTGTATCGATTGCCTTTCTTTTTTTATTATTCTAGAATTTGTATTGTATGTGTATTTAAGTGTTGTGTATTTTCAGATTGTATTATACTAATGTTTAATAGGTAGATGTTGGAAAGACTGGCTGTCTGGACTTCGGCGACTTGGTGGAGGGTAGTACAAAGGCCCTACCACTCAAGATGGTCAACAGAACTCATGCCACTGTTCCTATTCGACTAGTAATCAGCGCGGTCAGTGAGCTTTTATTTTGGAAAAATGTATAATTATAATGTAATCTTTGTGAAACTTTAAGGGGACCTATATGGCCTTTTTTTTAACCAAATTTGTAAAATAAGTCTTTAGAGCATTGGTTCTCGAACTTTTTTTCATCAAGTACCACCTTAGAAAAAAATTGTCTCTCCAAGTACCACCAAAATGAGCAGTATTAAAAAAGGTAGTGTAGTAGGTCCAGTAAAGCAGCTACAACTCTGCACAGTTAAAAAAAAATGTGTCAGATTACCTCAGAAATATAGCATATACATCATTTTTGATCAATGTTGAAATATTTGTAGTATGTATATGACATTTTATTTCTCCGCGTACCACTAGAAGGAAGCCCGCGTACCACTAGTGGTACACATACCACAGTTTGAGAACCACTGCTCTAGAGTGTGTATGGGAAGTTTGAGCTCAAAATACCCTACAATTTTTTTCAACTGTGCCGTTTAGGCTTTGATCCAAATTGTGCCGTTTTGGTGACTGTGGCTTCCAATTCAAATGAGATTGTGCTCTTTTTCAAAAGAGGGTGGAGCTACAAATTTCTACTCATTAGTATGGTGGCAGATTCTAAGCAGTACTAATGTTATTTCTGTGGAAAATTGAAAATGTTAAAAGAAGTGGCTCAGAAGGTGGTAGTAGTCTATGGAGACTACTTTGTTTATTTGTTTAGTTATATATGTTTATTTATTTTTAATCAGCTGATTATTCTTTTGACTATTTGTTAAATAATATGCACAGTGTATACCATTTTTATTTCAAACTGAAATCGACTCACCCACCATGCCTCTTGCTTTTTGTAAGTTTTTTTACTTGCTATATGCTTGACTTTCCCCCTCTGAGGAATGTCAAGGAGAATGTCAAGAAAAGTGTTTCTGTAGTATCAAGTGTTTATTTTTTCAAGTGTGGTTATGAAAAAATTAATTAATTAACCTTTACCTAAAGAGGCTGTCTATATTTACACATTGTCAACACATAGCTGTGTTTAAATCATACAATATATATTTTTTTCATAATAGCTTCCCTTTAAAGGCTAATTAAGCTCAGATCTGACATGCTGAACAAGATCAATAACAAAAGAATGTATCTCTTTCACAGAATGCCTCAGCATGGCATTGTTTTGGCCTCTCCAAAAGCCCAGTTTCCATGAGCATGGATAGTTCCTTTAACTTTGGCTCAGCAGTGACCTCAATTACAACTTCCTCAGTTATAAACCATGTGCTGCATGCCAGTAATTCAGAGGTGAATATTTCTCTAAATAGTAATTTATTGATTTAATGACAGATTTTATTGTTAAAAGTTGTTTTTCATTTCTTCCACCAGAATCCAGAAAGCTTCTTGTTGTGGGTTCATTTTAGTGCCCCTCAGAATTGCATTTCAAGTTCAGGTATGTATTTTAATTTATGCCTACACTACAACTCTATTAACCCAGTAAAACCAAATAAAATGATTGTTTTAATGTTATTTAAATGTTTGGAAAAACCGGTATGCTGTCATGCCATACTAAGTATCCAACAGCCAAATTTAAGTCAGAAAGTTTTATTAGTGAAAACTTGTATTTAGCGCTCAATTTAATCTAATGACTGATGAAAACCCCGGATATTTTCACAATATGTAATATACAGAACAAAATACCTTGCTTTAACATGCAACGTGGAGTAAGTGGTCAACCTACCCGGCTACCGTGTATTTATTTTGCAATATATATAACGTAAGTTTTATTATTATTTTTTTTTAATCATCAGAAATGAAAAACATTACACAGCAACTATTCAACATTAAATCATGCAAAAATAAATTTTTAGCTCAAGTGAGTGCCTAATAAGGTTCCTGTAGGCTCATTCACTAATGGGTTGTAGACCCTCATGGCACAAATGTTTGTGATGTTTTTCTGGGTGTTCCCAGCTCTGTCAACCAAGTCTATTGACAAAAGCTTTGACAGGAACAAAGAATTTTTAATAATGCATTCACATGAAAAACAATAACTCTTGATTTGGGTTTGAATGTGGAAGACAGACACTAATTAGCAGATAATGAGTTCAGACTGGAGAATTCTGCATTTATTAATTTAAGTTATTAATAAATAACTCGCGTTATTACTTTTTAGTAACTTTGAGAAATAAACACAAATCAATTTTAGGAAATGATCAATGCTCCCTACAAACCTCACCTTTATTTATATATATATATATTTATATATATATATATATATATATATATATATATTCTTATATAATTTCTAAGAAACACAGATGTTCTGGCATGGTAAATCCTTGGCTAAAAGTTAATTGAGCTAATTTATTAATTCTAATGGTGAAGATCTTATTGTTTATGAACAAAATAAAATGTGTAGTTTATAGTGTTTTTAAAATTGTATCTCTTTTCTTATTGTCATTGTCTTGCTAATCTTGTCATAAGTGGGTTATTATGTCATTTCTGACATAATTTATATTTATTTTATTTATTTTACTTTATTTTGTTTACTCTTTTGTTTTTCAGGTGAGTTGGGACCAGCCAATGAATACAATGCACGGGTGGATATTGAAGTGGACCGTCCAGGCACAAGTCATGTGATCCAGAGTGTAGCCCTGAGGGCAAGGTCAGGCACTCCTAGAGTGCATGCACCAAAAGACCTACAGGTAATCTATACAAATGTGTCTCTAAGAAACTACAAATACATCAAGCAGAAGCCAAAGATCTTGAGGAAACCGTGTTGTCGCCACACTTTGGCTGTATCTGGTCTAGACTAAAAAGCTGTGGGTGAACACACCAAACAGGTGACCGCATACTGAAAATGTGTAGACTGTTTTCTTATTCCACAAATGGCAACCAAAACTTGTGATGCTCACATACGAGTCATAAACAAAGTTGCTTTTAGTACCATTTTACTATATTTATTGCTCACATTGGAGAGATTTACTCATGCAAAAATATGTCTGATAGTCTAATAAATCATATCTTTTGGAAAAATTTGAGAAATGCAACAAAATAACAGCTGGCCACTTTGTTCCCTCTTAAGTTGAATTATTTGCTTGATTTTTGCTTGGCCAACTCATTATGATGTTAACACGATGAGGGGGAATGTAGGGAATGCTCCAAACAAACTAGCCGGACAGAGGCTGACTGACAGACTGACATGGCTCAAAAGCTGACTGTCGACTTTGTGTGTCCTGGCCTTAAAGTGTGACAGTTTACAACATCTCTTGTCTCTACATCCTGTGATCAAACATCCCATTCAGGGCTGCTCGATTTTGGGAAAAATCATAATCATGATTATTTTGGTCATAATTGTAATCACGAATATTCAAAACGATTATCAGTTGAAGTCAAAATTATTAACCTCCTGAGAATAATTTTTTAAAATAAATATTTCCCAAATGATGTTTAACAGAGCAAGGAATTTTAACAGTATTTTCTGTAATATTTTTTCTACTGGAGAAATGCTTATTTGTTTTGTTTTGGCTAGAATAAAAGCAGATTTAAATATTTTGAAACCTCTTTTAAGGTTAATATTAGTAGCCCCTTTAGGCAATATATATTTTTGATTGTCTGCAGAAGAAACTACTGTTATATAATGACTTGCCTAATTACCCTAATTAAGCCTTTGAATCACACTTTGAATTTGAATGTTTGTATTTAAAAAAAATATCTAGTCAAATATTATGTGCTGTCATCATAGCAAAGATAAAAGAAATCAGTTATTAAAAATGAGTGATTAAAACTATTATGTTTAGAAATGTATTTGAAAAAATCTTCTTTCCATTAAACAGAAATTGGGGGGAAAGGGTTGCTAATATTCAGGAGGGCTAATAATTCTGACTTCATCTGCATATGTACAGTTATTTTCCTCCCTGCAAATGAAAAGAGAAATAATTACAATAGAATAAAAATATGAAACAAACTGTGCTTTAAGCATCTTCACTGTAAGAAAAACACTTTAGCTACAAAATTCTTCAGTCAAGAGCAGTGAGGGATTTTCTCCTTGTTGTTTAATTGATGATAAAAACAGGCGGCATGAGGAATATCACGCTGTTACTTTAATGGTTTTTCTTTCATGTGTCTTTTGATTTTCAACTCGTTTGTTTATTACACAAATGAGGGTTTATATAAATAATCGCTAAACACCGTGTTTTGACACCTATTTGACGATTAAAGCGCTCACATTAAGATGACTTTAGATGTGTGCGCTCTGCTCGTCAATATGTGCGAATGAGACCAAGTGCTGACCGCATGACACACATAAGCATGCGGTCTTTCGCACTTTTAAGAGCAACAAGTGAGTACAACTGGAAAGGGGGCGGTAAATAATGGAACAATCGTTTGTCTTGATTAATGGTTTATCATAATCGTTAGAAGCCAAAATCAGATTTTCGATTAATTGCACAGCCCTAATCCCACAAACAAGATAACTATTTCGAGGTGGAAACTGAGCTCACAGCTGTATCAGTAATCTGCAGACAAAAACCTGTGTCAACTAAAAAAGTAATAATTCAGTATAAGATGCTATCGCAATCAGGAATTCATACAGAATAATAGCATTCTCACAATACACAAGGCAATATTTACAAACTCGATGACTATTCTTGTGAAATGTAAATATAAAGTATATTGACAAGTTTCACCCAGTGTTAACAAAAACAGCTGTTTCAGACAGGTTTTGTTGTTCTGATATTTCATTAGTTAAATTCGTCAAATGTGAAGTATGAGATAGTAATAACTTACAGTAGAGCTTAAAGAAAAACTCTGCAAAACTGTGATAAAGGAGTTTGCGCTCCAGCTTGGCCCCACCATGAACCCTTTTATTTTCTTTTTCTTATCATTTTTCTTATTTATTTCTTTGCTTACATGATGTCAATCATTTATTACATGAATGTCTCTACAGATGGTGTCTCTTCAGGCTGCTTTGGGGCAGACAGCCAAGCAGACTCTTCCCTTAAAGAATGCAGGCAACATTGATGTTCTGCTCAGACTGAAGGTATTCCTTTTTAGTACTATAATTGCTTGTGTACTCTTCATTTTCCACATGCAGTCCCAATCTTGTGTATAGCTGTGGCCACACAACTTTCAAAGTAACCTGGTAACCCAGTAACCTGGCAATCCTTTGAACTGGTTATATTGTTCTATAGCTGCCATCCAAACAGAAAAACTGCTTATATTCCCTCTTACCCAAAAATGTACATTTTCAGTAGGGTATGACAAATTACCTGATGGGTATTTTGAGCTGGAACTTCAGACACATTCTGGGAAAGCCAATGACTCATTTTACGTCTTGCAAAATGCCATAATACTGTAGGTGTCCTTTAAATTGTCATCAAATCCACCCATTTATGCCAAGCGGCAACCTCCCGCTCTCCCTCAGGAAACCAATACGAAAGTAACTAAAACTGCAATTCATCCGAAATTACGCTAATCCTGGCCGCTCCTGGCTCCAAAATAGAGCAAATTTCAATTGAGCAGAAGAATGGCCAACTTTACAGCAGAAAAAAAGGTGTTTACAGCCTGGTACAAAAAAAGATTTTGGTTAATACAGCTAATATTACCCTTCATGACAACTTTGAGGGGGGTGAATTTTTTTATAACTCATCCGTTTCCTTTATATTAAGTTATATTAAGTTTGCATAATTAAGGGCGTGGCCACTTGAGTGACAGCTAGGTCTCGTTGGTCACCGTCACGTCACCTCAGCTGAATTTTGCAGATTAGCCACTGAACTCGGCATATTTATCGTATTTCTGTGTTGTTTTATGTGGCTTTACACAGTCAACTGTTTTTTGGACTTGTTTCCTACAATTATTGGATGGCATGGCATGCTGAGTGCACTTAATTGTGCTCACAAACCATTCACGTGGCCTCCGTTTCCCATGTGAGTAAAGTTATATACTTGTATACCATCTCTATACGTGTATTTGTTTTATTTAAGATCATTTATCGTTTATATTTATATTTAGAGCTGTAATGCTCTCCAGAATCTGTCAGATTGATTAGCTGTAGGCTCTAGAACAGTCATCTGAAGCGTTGTCATACAGTGTTATGCTGGATTTCATCAATAGTCTTACATTAACTAACACAGACTATATCTGAAGTGTTTGGAAGTAATTTGTGTTTTCCTCCTGTTGAAAAATGTCATAAGAACAATGTTTAGTGGCTCAATGTTACAGCAGTGTTTTTAAAAGTCTAAATACTTTATTGATATAGTGTACAACCAAGCACAAGTGGTCAGAATACAAACGAGTCACAGGTGATGAAGTATTAAGCGTTCTCCCAAAGTAAAGTGTGTCTGAACCAGGTCCAAGCAAAATGCCAGCAGGTGTCTGTAGCTCCGCTCACTCTCTGCCTCTTTGCCCTTGTTTGGTATCCCGTCGTGGGTGTGTTGACGCGCGAACAAAATGGCGACAGTTGGCCGCGCCTACTTGTGGCTTCTTTTGCGCTCTTTAGAAACCTATGGGTGACGTCACGGATACTACGTCCATATATTTTACAGTCTATGATTTATGCCTGGGCATTAGTTTGTGTTCATTGTAGTCTAATTGCTTTTCTGCCTGTTTTTCAGGGCACTGATGACAACTGCTGCTTCTCTGTGAGACCTAAAGAATTGACTCTGAAAGCTGGGGAGGAGCAATATGTAGAGGTTTCCTTTACAGCTCAGGACACACAGAAACACAGAGAGAGGCATGTTTATTCATATACATTTATTTTAATTCTTCTACCTCTTAGGTGTTTTTTTATGACATGCACTGAATGATCAGTCCAAAATTAGAAAATGTTTGTCTGTTTTAATTTGACAGGTCTCTTTTTCTTATCTGCTGCATTAAATTAATTGTTACAATGTCTGAAAACAGAACATGAACAGAGGCTAGGGGTCTGTTATAAATATTTTGATTAAAACATCTGAGATTATTTGACAGGTTTCTTTTAATCGTGATAAAAGTTTTGTGGTTACTTTGATTCTTCAAGTTTGTAAATCATATATAAATGTCTGGATGTTTTTTTCCTGACATTACTACATGTGCTTTTGTTATTATTGTCAAGGAAAGATCTATCGAACCTTGAAATTGTTCAACAACGCAGTGATTGTTTGGGGACAAGACAGCAGCATAATTATGTCATCTAATTAATAATCACCAGCTTTCACCTTCTGTCCTACTTGTACAGTCCTACGCTTGAAAACTTTGTTCTTAGCATTTCATTTCATTTTAGCTGTAGTCATTGACTTACAAATAAACAATACTTTATCTCTGTCATTTAACAAAATGTGTCAAATTATAGTAATATTACAGAATAAAAACGTCAAATGCTGTAAACAGTGGTTAGGGTAAGGAAAAGTTCAGTTTTCATTAACTGAACTGTTAATAAAACGTTAACATTGATCCTGTTAAACAAACCAGCAAATGAAAGTAAAATGATTAAAATAATCATAACCATTTTTATAATTATCACTAGTTATTTGCATTTCTGCTATTGTGTGGGCTTTCTTGGCCTTTGCTAAGCACTTTTGTGAGCGATCCCCTCAGCTCTTATCTTAGTCATCTTTGAAAATAGTCCACAGGTTATAATACTGACTTCAACTATATATATATATATATATATATATATATAAAATAGCTTTTGTTTCACTTTTATGATAATATTTTTTTTTTTTTTTCAGCCTGTTGACTATTCTGGTACTACCCAGTGGACCTCAGTATGAGGTGATGCTTAAAGGAGAGTTGGTCCATGGAGTTTCAAGAAAAGTGGCATCTACACCTGCTGTATTATCACAAGTTGATGTCCCACTCATACTCTCCAACAAACAATCCATTACATGGGGAGGGGTTTCCCTGGGCAGAGCAGTGTGAGTATAACTATAAATGCAATAACATTGTATAATTATATTGAGCATGGCATTTTCACCATAAGCCAGTAACCCATACATATAGAGACAACAGAACTAATTACTTTATAAATTAAGTGTAATAAAATTAAATGACAGGGGAAAAGGATTGAACAT